GTTTTTTTTTTGTATTGATAAGTAATTCGATCCTCCTAGTTATTTCTTCGGGGATAACTATGGGAAAAAAATCTTCCTAGTTTTGTGTTGTTTATAAACGCACTATTTAAATTCAGTATAAATTAATTAAAATGTATTTGTTACATATTGCAATACTGAAAGAAAATATAGTAACTCACAACTCGTTAACTCAAGAACATGTGAAAAATAACACTCCTTACGTGGAGTAGCTTGATCACTTTGGCCTGGAGTTTCTCACGAACCAGGTGACAATCAATTTCGATGTGCTTTGTACGCTCATGGAATGTGGGGTTGTCGACGATGTACAAGGCAGATTGATTGTCACAGAATATGGTTGCTGGTTGCGAGTGAGGGATCTTGAAGTCTTGAAGAAGAAAGAGGAGCCATTGTACCTCACAGGCTGTGTAGGCAAGGGCTCTGTACTCTGCTTCACAAGAGGAGCGCGAGACAGTGTGCTGTTTCTTACTTTTCCAAGAAATCAGAGACTCGCCGAGGTAGATGCAGTATCCCGTGATTGAGCGGCGGCTATCCGGGCAGGCGGCCCAATCGGAGTCACTGTAGCCCTGAAGGTGAAGAGTTGTGGAGCTGGGAAAGAAGAGTCCAGTTGTAGGAGAGGATTTGAGGTACCTGAGAACTCGGAGAAGAGCCCGAAAATGTGTCTCTGTTGGGGATGCCATGAACTGACTGAGCTGCTGGGCGGAGAAGCTTATATCTGGGCGAGTTGTGGTGAGATAGATGAGCTTCCCCATAAGGCGCCTATAGGATTCTGCATCGGTGAGGGGTTGATCTGAAGAACTGGACAGGTGAATCTTGTAGTCCATGGGAGTTGAGGCAAGGCGAGATGAGACAGCACCAGCATCTTCAATTATCTCCAAGGTATATTTCCTCTGAGATAGATGGATCCCTGAGGATGTGCGAGAGACTTCAAGGCCCAGGAAGTATTTGGCATTGCCAAGGTCTTTGATGCCAAATGTTTGATGAAGATGCAGTTTGATGCCTTCAATTTCAGCCATGTCACTGCCACCAATCAGCAGGTCCTCTACATATACCAGAATGCAGGTATAGGCAGATGGGGTGGCCTTGAAGAAGAGAGAGTGATCAACCTTGCTGGATTCAAACCCTTGTGAGTGTAAGCAATCAGCAAGTTTGGAGAACCATTGCCGAGGAGCCTGTTTTAAGCCATAGAGTGACTTTTTCAGTCTGCACACTGGATTGGGAATATTAGGAGGAGGTATAAGGCCTTTGGGAAGTTTCATATACACCTCCTCTCGAAGATCGCCATGTAAGAATGCGTTGTTCACATCAAGCTGGTGAACAATCCAGTTTTTGGCTGCTGCAATGGCTAGGAATAGTCTGACAGTTGTCATTTTGATAACTGGTGCAAAGGTGTCCTGATAGTCCACACCTTCTTGTTGGCTGAATCCCTTTGCCACAAGTCTGGATTTGTGACGTTCAAGGCTCCCATCTGACAAGAATTTCAGTTTGAATAACCATTTGTTGCCAATGGCCTTTTTCTTTGGAGGAAGTGAGACCACATCCCAAGTCTCATTCTGAATCAGGGCTTTGAGTTCATGTTGAACAGAGTTGTCCCATTCTGGATTTAGAATGGCCTCTTCATATGAATATGGTTCCTTGTAGGAAGAAATACTGAGAGCAAATCTCTGGTGCTGATGAGATAAACTGGAATAGTCAATCAAAGCAGCTAAGGATGTTGCATTACCTGGAGTCTGGTGCTTGGAAGAGTGACTGGAAGAAGAAGGCTGCTGAGGCAGGCTGCAAAGGTAAGGGTGAAAGCGAGCAGGTTGTTTAGTTTGTCTGGGAGGTTTTCTCAGGGCAATTGGAAGGTTAGGGTCAGGTTGGTTTGGGGCAGTTGGAGGTGGTGATGGGGTTGGATCAGGGTTTGTTGATGGGATAACAGGTGGGAGTGGTGAAGTGGGGCTGTAAGGAGGGTCTGAGGGATCAAGAGTGGGGACAGTGGAGTAAAGGGGTTGATCAGGGGATGTTGTTTGGTCTTCTGATTGGTGAAAGGGGAATTGGTCTTCATAGAAGATGACATCTCTGGAGATGAAGACATCATGAGAGGTAAGATCATAGATCTTGTATCCTTTGATTCCAGAAGGATATCCTATGAATACCCCTTTCCTTGATCTATTTTGAAATTTGGTCCTATGATTGCTAAGGGTGGAAGCATAGCATAGAGAGCCAAAAACCTTAAGGTCTGAAAGGTCAGGTTGTTTTGTATGTAGTTTTTCATAAGGGGAGATATCACCTAAGACTGTTGTAGGGATTCTGTTGATTAGAAATACAGCATGCTTTACACATTCACCCCAGAATCCCATAGGGAGGTTTGACTGAAATTTTAAGGCTCTGGCAATGGCTAAGATGTGTTGATGCTTTCTTTCTACCTTACTGTTTTGTTGAGGTGTCTCAACAAAGGACATCTCATGGAAAATGCCAGTAGAGGGAAAAAAATCTGACATTTGAAACTCTTTTCCTTGATCACTTCTGATCTTTTTAACTGGATGATCAAATTGTCTTTCAGCAAGAACACAGAATTCTTGAAGTTTTGTTCGAGCTTCAGATTTGTTTGGCAATAAGATAATCCATGTCATTCTGCTAAAATCATCTACAATGGTTAAGAAATATTTAAAACCATCATAAGTAGGACAAGAGTTTGGCCCCCAAATATCAACATGGATTAATGAAAATGGTTTGGAAGTAACTGTGGTACTATCTGGGAAAGGAAGCCTCCTTTGCTTTGGAAAGTGGCAGACGTCACAAGGAAGAGAACTGTTTGTATCTATAGAATTACAGATTTGTTTGAGCTTTGGTATCTTGAAATGAGACACATGACCAAGACGAAAATGCCATAAGTCAAAAGCAGTTGCAGTAGTAGTTGCTATGACAGGTTTAGGTCTACTGGTTTTTCCTAGGTTGGTCATGTGGTAAAGGGCATTGGAAAGCTCAGCAGAACCAGTCACTCTTCTGAGCTCCATATCCTGTATCAAGCACAGATCAGAGGAGAAAGTTAAGCACAAAGCCTTATTTGTGGTTAACTTACTGACTGATATGAGGTTGAAGGCAAAGCGAGGAACAAAGAGAACCCCTTCAAGGACCAGTTCTGCAACAGTGGTGACTCTACCAATGTGTGTAGCTTCTACTTGAGTTCCAGTAGGTAGAGTAATGAAAACATTTTTCAATTCTGCTGGTTGTTCAAGGAGGCTCAGGGAACACACAATGTGATCCGAGGCCCCAGTGTCAAGGATCCAGGTAGAACTGGAATGTTTGCTACCAGACACATTGAGAGAATGTTTACCTGGAGGGCCTTCATAAGAGTGAAAAGCTGTTGCAGTATGAGTGTTTGCTTTCTGGTTGTCCTTGTCCCTCAGTATAGCCATAAACCGATCATAGTCTCCCTTGGTCAGTCTTACTTCTTGATCATCCATTGATGTCGAGGGAGAGGCAGTAGTGTTGTTGTTGAGTGCCATGAAAGCATTAGATGAAGGCCTTGGGGTGGTGGACTGAGAAGTTGGCTTGGATGCAGGGTTGGATGGCCAACCATGTTTGTGGTAGCACCTGTCTTCAGTGTGACCTTTCCGCTTGCAGAAGGTACATTCTGGAGCTTTCCCTTGAGAGGTGGAGTTTGAGGATCATGGTGTCATACCAGGTGGCCAGCCATGCTTTTGGTAGCAAACTTCTTCAGTGTGACCACTCCTGCGACAGTAAGTGCAAAATGGCCTTTTGCCAGGGGGGCCATGAGCAGCTAAGGCAACAGATTAAGCGACCATGACTTTGCTGTGCTGGGTTCCATACTGCTGACGCTCATGTTAAAGAAGTCTTTGAAAGACTCGATCAATGCTAGGGAGTGTCTCACCAAAAAGAATTTGAGATCTGACTGTGTTGTAGTTGTCATTGAGACCTCTAAGAAATTGAATCACATAGTTTGTGTCTCTGTACCCTAGAACTAGCTTAAGAGCAGCACATGTTTGAGGACTGGTGGCTGTGTAGGTACAGGGTTCGAGTGGCTGATATCCATCAAGTTCATCTTGGATGGTAATGAAAAGGCCATAATACTCATTGAGGGTTTAGTTACCTTGCTTGAGGCTGGATAGTGCTTCAATCAGTTCAGCCACTCTGACGATGTCACCCTGGCCATAGCGAGCTTTGAGGCTGGACCATGCTTCAGATGCAAGTTTCAGGGACATGAGGGTTTTGCGAATGCCAGGTTCCACTGCCTGTTGGATCCAGCTGAGCACCATAATATTGTTTCGAGTCCAGGACCAGAGAAGAGCAGCATTTGTTGAAGCAGGAACAGGGATGGTGCCATCGATGAAGCCGATCTTGTTCTTGGCTCCAAGGGCATTCTGCATCGCCTTGCTCTAGTCATTGTAGTTGGTTGTGTTGAGCTTTTCACCTACTAACACCAGGCCAGGTTGCTCTGATGCGTGGAGATATAAAGGATCCGACATAGGATCCACATTTTCAGTGATTTCGGTCGTCATGGTGGAAGGTTGTTAATGGCGGCTAGGGTTTGGCTCTGATACCATAACAGCGGCAGAGAAGTGAAGAAAACCCTAAAACCCTAGGTTTTTTTTTGATGAATGATGAGAATATTATAAGAAACTAACCAATTCATGAAAGTACAAAGGTAAAAAATAAAAAGTCAGCAGCTCAACCAGTAGTAGAGCAAGCAAGCAATGAAGAGAAAAAAAAAAAAAATAATAATAATAAAAATGTGGCATTGCCACTACAATCCAAGGTACAACCTGAGTTGCTGTCCTTGCAGCAGAGTGAAGAACAGGGAAGAAGACAAGAGTACAAAGGAAAAGTGTTCGCTAATTAATGAAGTGGAACGGTGCCGCTTTGCCCAACGGTCGACTGGATTTGAGATGGTTTGATGGAGCCTCGCACGACGTCGCACCAAGTGAACGTTGTCGTTTCCTTTTGAGTGATCGGAGAGCTGGATTGGCGAATTGAATTTTTCAATTCTGCTGTTATTCAGTACTCTAGTTCCACTCGGTAATCGTCTTAGAATCTCTCCATTGGGGTAAGCCCTAATCTCCACAATGTCTCTTTGAATCTCCACTCGGTAATAATAATAATAATAATAATAATAATAATAATAATAATAATAATAATAATAATAATAATAATTTTCAAGCAGATGGAGAGACCTTCTTTCAGGATTAACTTTGCTAAGAGATTCTTGTGATAAAATATTGAACAACATCCACATAATTAATTTTAGAGCTATTATTGCTAAAAAATTAAGTACCAAGTAGATTCACCACTACCAAAACCAAAGGAATTAAAAGTTCGTTACAACTTAATTAATTGATTCCGCCAGCTAAATAAGCAGCTAGCTAGCAAGCTTGATCAGTATAGCTTCCTTCCTCAATCCGCCGTAGCATTTGATTGACGGCAGCTGCCATCTCATCCACCGTGTTCAGACGGCACACTTCCTCCACCTTGAAGCTAAGCGAGTAGAGAACCGTTTGATCCGAGGTACTGGTGGTAACGTTGAGGTGCAGAATCGTGAACCCGAGTCCCTGCATCCCAGCAACCAGCTTCACCAGCTGCCTCTGCTGTTTCCTGGCCAGAATCTTCACGGTGGCGTGACTCTCCGCCATCGCCACTTCTATCTCTCCAACCGCCGCCGCCTCCCTCGCTACTACACCACCCAAACTGCCGGCCATCCCGTCGCCGGGCGACTCTTCCGGCGACTGATGAGCCTGCAAGGTCGGGTTCCGAGTTGAGTACTGCGGGAAGGCGAAAAACTCGGCAAACAACGGCGGCGACGACAAACGGCCGTTATCAGTCAACCCCGCCTGACCGTCGTCGTTTTGAGCATCTTGTTGGTGTTTAGCCTCTTTCTGAGCTTCCATGGCCTGCAGCAGCTGCTCCAGCTCCTTGACGAAATTAATCGCTCCTCCAATTATCGAAGCTTGGTCTCCCTGAACCCCAAAATAAAAAAAATTACAGTTTAGTCCACATATTTTTTTTTATATACTAAAATTGAGGATTCTTCAAGCCGGAGGGAGGAATCAAAACAAAAGCTGACCCTTTGAACGTAGGAAGAGGGCATGAGAGAGCGAAGCAAGGCCAGGTACTCGTTCATCTGTTTCCTCCGGTTGCGCTCCACGGCGATGTGGGTCATCCTCTGGCTCTCTACTTCCTCTTTGTTCTTCTTCGTGTTCTTGCTCCGCCGCCGCTTCCGCCGTGCGGGGGCAACGGATGCGGAACCCAGTAATACCACATCTTCCTCCTGCGGCAGCGGGGGGTTGAAAAATGTGGCGATGGAATCGTTGAACATTATTTTGTCCTCGAGGATTATTCCAAGGGCGCCGTCTTCTTCTTCTTTTTGTTGTTGCTGGAAGCCATAGCCATAGTACTGGTCCTTGAATAATGGTGGGTAACCAAACGGGTCTTGCGGGTAGATCGCAGCTTCCAGCGCCATAAGAGAGAAAGGTACAGAGTGGGAAAAACTGAAAAAGTGCGGGTTTAATTTGCTATTGTGTCACGGTAGTGGAGGCAGAGAGAGAGAGAGACAGGGGAAACAGTAGTCAAACAAAGACGGTATACATAGAACAAAAAACAACAACAACTACTACTACTACCTACAAAGCAGCAAGCTTTACAAGTAGCTACAGTGACGAAGGAGAAGAGAACCAATTACGAACTGAAGGGGTAAGACTTAAGAGAGAAGAAGAAGCCCCTTTTTATTATCAACTCGCTCTCCTTTCCTTTCCTTTCCCTGCCAAGAAGAAGAAGAAGAAGGAGGAGGGGGGAAAAGGTGGAAAGCTTTGTAAGGGGAAAGAACCAAAAAGAGCTGTGCAGGGATTTGCACGTGAGGTTGCGTCTGTAACTGTATAGTGTAGCCCTCAAGAGTGAAAGAAAGAGAAAGAGATTCTCGACTGGACCTGCGCGAATGTGGTTCCTTCTTCTGAGTAATTATATTGAAGCACAGAGAGAAGAGAAGAGCATAATAATAATAATAAGCTCTTCATTTCATTTTCAGGAATCACATTATTATTATTACAGAGGGCTAGAAATAGAGAAGTGTCGTTTTGCGGTCGACAGGCAGGGGGTGTGGCCCAGACTTGGCTTGGGATGTCGCCATTACACGAACAACTGTCATTCCTTCCTTTGAATATCATGTAACTAGGGGTGTTCAAGTGGTTACCATGATAATAACTAAATCAAATAAGTCTAAATTCTATTAACCATGAAATACAATATTATAACCAAACCGTTCAAACTAATACAACAATCAAATTAACTAAACTAAAGTTTAATCGGTTTGGTTAATTGGTTAACCAAAATAACCAATATAACACCACATTATCATTGAGAAAATTTTTCAATTAGTGTATCAATTCGCAATTTATATAATGAACAACACATAACAATCCACATAATTGTAGTTAACCCTTAACCTAAATACATGTAACAAATACAATTATCTTACATTTGACTTTTGAGTGATTATGCAAAGTATTAAGTATGTTGAAATATATTATTATATAATTCATTGTTTATTAAAATAATTAATTTAAAGTGCTAGAGTAAATTATAAATTGATAAATCAATATATGGGGGGAAAGAAAATCAAATAGAAAAGTTGAATAAAAAGTAAAATGGTATTAATGTGAATAGTTGAAGCATGAAATGAAGTTTAATTTGACTATAAAAGTATAAACTTACATGAGAGAAGAATTGAATTTGAAAATCCTAACTAATATACTTATTTTTAATTTCTCAATTTTCAAAACAATCAAATATGAGCGACATAATTAATTAAAAAAATATGAGCTATATATACTAATCTTCTTGTCAATGTGGGTTACGAAATCCACCCCATTACACACTGTCTCCACCCATGATTATCCGGGTTTGGTCTGATTTCAGACCAGCCAATACTGTTTTTTTACTAATTTTTTTTACAGGAAAACTGTGAATTTTATTACTCAAGGTTACTGTTTACATCATCCAGTTTCAAATGTTCAATAATACTATAATTTTACTATAAAAACCAGCGAACACATATCCACAAGTCATTTTCTTTCACCGATTTATTGCGTCCTTTGCAAGCCATCTGAAAAGTGGTTGTCTAATTGCGGCATATTCTCTTGTACTTACTCAGTTATTCTAATGGTGTACTTACACCCGATTAACCATTGACATTGAGATCATTTTCACATAATTAAGTCGCCTCTCGAAATGATCATTATAAGTCAAGTGCATACTATTTACACAAAAAAGTGGGTGTAATGAAATTTTTATATATATAAATGATCACTTGATCATTTTTCTTGCTCTCAGCTTAATCATGAATCATTATAGTAATAGGTGATTCAAGGTAAACAATTTGATTTATAGCTCGCTCTCTCGTAAATCCGCGGGTTATGTATGTCTAAAAATAAGTTTTCAATTGCCCCCTGTTAAAGCTAACCTTAATCAAGTGAAGCACATAATTTTGATTCATGGAGGGCTTTGCTACTGCATCTGCATGCATAATTATTCTCCATACATCCTCGAACGAATATTAGCTTTCTTGCCTTCATTTTTATCCTTTTGCCAAACTTTTAAACAATATATATATAGGTATATATAATATAGTTGTATGTTTTTTATGTTATTGTTAAGGTAACGCGGCAAGTTCAGTGGTTATAGAGAGACAATGAGAAAGACAAAACCAAACAGTATATTTCTGAGAGCACTTGTCACATATACATGATTACATTACAATGATTACATATTAATTAACATCAGCAAATAAAGTCGATAGAGATGTTGGATGAAGCTAGCAGAAAAGGGAATAGAATTATAATAGGGAATCCTTTCCTAAAATTGTACCTGATTTAAACTTTTAATACTAATTAATTAGTCAATTTGGTAATCAGTGTACCCTAATTATGGATCTTAGCATGTGAATCGCCCGCATTCTACGCAAACCAAAGAATTCTGATATTGCCTACCAAGTGGGTACGGTAGAGCATGCATGAGAAATTAATTTGTAGGCATATTTATATATATATATTGATTGTATGTATTTTATCCGTTTAAAATTTTCGTATCCGTATTATTGTCAATCCGTTTCATTTTTTTCCGTTCATTTTTTTCCCATTCAAAATAAAAGGTTTGTAATCGTTTTGTACAAAGTGAATAGGTTTATGATCTTTTATGCTAATTACCCATAAAACAAGTGATCAATAGACACTCACATTTTATTCATCAAACTTTGGATGAATCACTGTTCAAATAGGTGGTAGATGTCACAAATTCAAAGCAAGCATGAGACATTCTGCAAACTTCAATGCAATAAAATGAAATAAATAGATAACTCTGTCAATGTGATTATTGCACATAATATTATTATGTGCCATTATACATTCTGGATGTATAAGAAGTTGTTAATTTCCGATATATATCTACATTCTTCACTACTTTTAGGAATTGAGTATTTATCATCTCCCTCCTATATATATACACACACAATACAGTTAATTAACTAAAAAGTCTGTTGCAACAAGTTGTTATATTTACAAATAAACTAATTATGTTTGGCCCAGTCCTCTCTGGTGCATAGTCAGTTCTCCACACAACCAAATTCCCAATGGGACAAATTTAGCTTGTTTTTATTGTTGAAAAGCCCCGACGATATGGCGTGAATTTTCGAGCTAACATAGACAAACCTAAAACCTTGTACTATTAACTTTGTTGACAGATTCCCAACAATGTCCAACGTAATAATAATAATAGAGGTATAACTATTGCTAATTAACAAGTAAGAAAACAACGTACACCAAGTAAATTCAGTAATTCACCACGGCCAAAATCAAGATCGATAATTATGAGTGCAGGCTCACAGCTGCTTAATTAATTAGTCTAAATAAGCAGCTAGCTAGCAGTCTTGATAGCAACTTCCTTCTTCAATCCGCCGTAGCATTTGGTTGACGCCCGCTGCGATCTCATCCGCCGTGATCAGACGGCACCCTTCCTCCACCTTGAAGCTAAGCGAGTAGAGAACCATTTGATCGGAGGTACTGCTGGTGGCGGTAACATTAAGATGAAGAATGGTGAACCCGAGGCCTTGCAACCCAGCGACCAGCTTCACCAGCTGTCTATGTTGTTTCCTGACCAGAATCTTCACGTTAGCGTGACAATCCACCATCGTCACTTCTATCTCTCCAACCGCCGCCTCTCTGGGTACACCACCCAAACTGTCCGTCATCCTATGGCCGGCCGACTCCTCCGGCGAATGAATAACCTTTCCAGCTGATGAGTATTGCGGGAAGGCGAAGAAGTCGGAAAATAACGACGAAAGGCCGCCGTTATTAGCCAATTTTTCATGACCCTCATCGTCGTGTTGTTGTTGATGATATTGATTAGCCGCTTTCTGAGCTTCCATAGCCTGCAGCAGCTGCTCCAGCTCCTTGACGAAATTAACTGCTCCTCCAATTATCGAAGCTTGGTCTCCCTGAACCCCAAAAGAATATAATTTTACAATTCAGTCCAACTTAAAAAAAATTTAAATTCGGATTCAAGCCCCGGAGGGAGGAATGGATTAAACCGAACGACCGACCCTTTGAATGTAGGAAGAGGGCATGAGAGAGCGAAGCAAGGCGAGGTACTCATTCATCTGTTTCCTGCGGTTGCGCTCAACGGCGATGTGGGTCATCCTCTGGCTCTCTACCTCCTCTTTGTTCCTCGCGTTCTTGGTCCGCCGCCGCTTCCGCCGTGCGGGGGCAACGGATGCGGACGCCGTCGCCATAGCTTCCTCCTGCGGTGGCGGGTTGAAAAATGCGACGTCGTCGTCGAAGGCGTTAGTGCAGGGCTCGGGGGAGTGGTGGTGGTGGTGGTGATTATTGTAGTTGAAAAAACAATCCTCCCAGCAGCAGCTGCTCGTAATTCCATGAATCGGCTGCTGCGTAGGCGCTGGTGGAGAAGTAGTGGTGGTGGAATCGTTGAACATTATTTTGTCGTCGAGGATAAGGTGGGGCGGCGATCTGTTGATGGCACCCTGATCATCTTCTTGTTGTTGGTGGAAGCCATTACAACCGTAGTAATCCTTGAATAATGGTGGGTAACCAAAGGGGTCTTGCGAGTAGATCGCCGCTTCCAGCGCCATAGGGAGGGGAGACTGAGAGAGAGAGAGGTTTAATTTTGGTTCTCACTTCTTAGAGGCAAAAGATCGAACACCTTTCGGGCAATAAGACAGGGAAGGAAAAGGTGGGGTTTTCTTTCGTCACAGTAGTGGAGGCAGAAAAGGGGGGAAAGAACCAAACAGAGCTGCAGAAATTTACACGTGAGATTGCGTCAGAAATTTACAGGACCTGCGAATGTAGGTTCCTTCCTTTCTCTTGAGTAATTGAAGCACACAAGACTGGAAGGAAGAGCATACGCTTACTTCAGGAATCACATTACTATATAGGGCTCGAAAAGAGATTCGTCGTTTTGTGGGCAGGTGGGTACCACCACGCATCGAATCATATCAGTATATAATTTAAAAGAAAAATATTAAAAATATTTTTTTATTATTATTTAAAATCAACAAGCAAACTGATTATAATAAATATCGTAAAATTATTTGAGAAATTGAGTTTCCAACACATCTACAACTTCATTATAGTTAATAAAAGATAAAATTTTAAGTAATTTGAATCATTAAGAAAAAAATGAGTCAAGCATGAGACAGGACATGACAAATCAAGTCTAGAAGAGTACTTATATATACCCCATCTCAAAACAAGTCAACCAAATCAAGTAAAACGAGTCGGATCAAAATTGTTAACATCGCGCAAAACGTACAACACTGTAATTCCTCTGAATACATAAATAAATATCGCAGCGATTCGACAAGATTCGATTGACCGATAGTGAGTTTGCCTTGATTAGTTTCGCATTAGTCAATAATTAAACAACATTTTGGCTTTATTGTTTGTTACTATATTTCTGCTGAGCCGGGGGTCGTTTTCTACTACTTTTCTTTCAACGGATATATGGTTTATTTGGTCCTTTGGAATTAAGCCATCCAAACAAGCAAGTGGTTGCCTAATGGCGACATACTCCTCTACTTACCCTATTAATTAATTAATTAATTAATTAAGTGATACAGTAAAACTAATCAGTAATCTATGCTTTAGCTACTGACTTTCGTACGTATTCACGCACACACATCTGGGCTGCCTAACCTGCAGCGCAAATAAAAGCGGTTTTGCCAATCTGTAATATCGTTTTGGGCAGTTGTTTGTGCCATTGGAATCTAGCAATTATACAAATGGATGAAACAAAGACCACACTTTCACACACATGAGTATAGTGTTGCGGACAATGATAAAGACAAAATATATGAAACAGTATGTTTTAGATGTTATATGGGCTTACTCAATGAATCTGGAAAAAAAAATATTCAATGGCTTGTACGTATCAGCTTTGGGGTGCACTCAAGGCGCCCCTCAACTTGCTTGCGACAATGGCTACAGGAAGGTCCCGTATCCGCGCGGGTTTTACCTGTCCCAACCCGTAGTAGTGTGGGACGGGGAACGGGAATTGAGGTATCCGCCCCGCCCCATTGCCATCACTACTTCCGATGCTCGGTTGATCATCAACATGCAAACAGTGTGCTTGTTTTTCAAGAGCTAGAGATTGCCGTAATGAGAGTTGTAAATGTTTTTCGTGAGGCCGGTCTATTTACTAGCAGATGACTTAGCTCATAAGGGTCATTATTTCAATTTCCTATCCCACATGTCACCATTATCTAAAAATAATTGTATGTAAAATACGTGCGCCATTCATATATTCGTTCATGGATAATTATTCTACAAACCTAAATAATCCAGGTTGAATGAGCACGGATCAAATGAATATTTGCTCTTTCTTGTCTTCGTTTTTATCCTCATGCTGAACTTTTAACAATGGTTACATGTATCTGTACATATTTTATATTAATGTAACGTAGCAAGTCGAGGAGTTGTATATGACGTGACCGGACTATCGTGGTTTACCCGATATTTATTCAACTATCAAGAAATACAGTTTGATTTGAGGCTTACTTAATAAATTTATTTTTATTAGTATATACTAAAAACTAACCTCTTCATAGAAACACCGTTCAAGATCAACAAATTAAGACACTATTCACATTAATATATATACTGTGTGACAATGAGAGAGACAAAACGAAACATTATTTTTTTAGAACACTTGTCATATATTTACATTATTATTCATCAGTATTCAGCAAGCTTGATAGAGGATGTTGGAGGAAGCAAGAAAAGGAATGGGATTGTAACTGGAAATCTTTTCCAAAAATGCACCTGATTTAGACTTTTAATAGTAATTAATTAGTCAATTTGTTAATCAGTGTTCCCTAATCTTGGATCTTAGCATGTGAATTGCCCGCAAAATACGCCAACCAAAGAATTCTCTCTTGCCAAGTGGGTACGGTAGGGCATGCATGAGAAATTAATTTGTAGGCATACATATTCCCCTTTCCCCTTAAGAAATAAATCTGCTGGCGTACATGATTTGGATCAGATCACATGAGATTGCCTTCACAATCACAATTATATATGATTTAAAACACTTTTAATAATTTTTTACCCAACAATTAATTGTATTTTTGAAATATACTTCTCTAAAAGCTCTACAGCTTCTACAAATATTATAGTGAGCACTTCTACTATGCTATATAGCATTGGTGCTTTAATGTACAACTCAAAGTTGTACCATAACATTAAATGTATAAGTTTAGGTTGTACCATAAAGCAATTTGTACCATTATGTTATGGTACAACTTTACAACTTGAAGTTGTACCATCACATAAAGGTACAAGTTCAAGTTGTACCATAAAAGAATTTGTACAAAAAGTATAGGTACAATCTGAAGTTGTACCATAACGTAAATGTACAATTTTAAGTTGTACCATAAAAGCAAAAACCTATAGCACCAATACTATATAGTATTGTAAAATTTCTCATATTATTGTAGGACCAAACTAGACTATTATCACAAACGCCAAATTTTAGACGGTGCAAGTATCCGATTTTACCTTAATAAAGCTACAGGTTACCCGTAAAAAAAAAAAAAAAGACGGTGCAAGTATAATTTGCCAAATCCTTATTTGGATATTTTCCAAGTCATACACGACATGATGGCAACGTTCTAATCCCATAACTGGACTCGGGCCCAGGATAAAACTTGTGTGGGCTAGATAAAAAATTGGGCTCTGTATTGTTTGAGTCCAGTAATCTTAGCTTGATTTATCTAGGTCATACTTAAGCTTACCTGCAGATTACCTTGGATTACTTGGTTCTTCCTAGGATGGGCATGCGATAGGGATGCCTATTTGGTCTGGGCTATTTGGTTTTATCCGAAATCGGATTGTATAACCGGGACCGGATCGAAACCGGATAGAAAACAATCCAATCCAATTTTCGGGCTTAGACTTGAAGTAAAAACTCGTTTTAGACCAGATAAAAAACCGGATAAAGACCGGATAAGATAGCTCAACAACTAAAACTTAACCACTCTTCACTCTTTGAGTCATTAGACCACTCAAATTCCCACAAGTTCAATTTAAAATCAAGATCGAATTGGGACCGGATCGGATCAAGACCTGACTGTATCCAATCCAATATTTGGTCCTTATATTCCCAAAAAAACCGGACTGGGACCGGATCAATTCGGGCCAATTTACCGGACCGTATAGCCACCCCTAGCATGCGAGTCGGGAATCCGCAGTTTGGAATGGATATCCACTTGCAAATCACCCAAATTGTAGTAGATTGGTGATTGATATGGGTGGATTATATATCAATAAATTTCCTACTAGCATTTATTGGTTTATGTGATGGGTGGGCTGTGGGTGACTCGAATGATCGGCACCTCATCTTTACATGAAAAAATAGTTGTTTCTTATTTATACTAACAAATAGTTATAGTGTTTCTTAATCAATTCTACATACGGACTATCAACTTCTAAATGTGAAAGGTAAATAATGTTTTTGGGAGTATTATTGGTCACTATGTTGTGCAATATATATTAGACATTGAAATACAAATTATACCTATTAATTGTATCTAAGTTGCAAAAAAATGTACTTTCTCTACATAATTTGTTGATGAAGTAATGAAAAATTTGATACAAATACTAGACATCTCCATAGTAGAATGAGATGGGATGCTAACTCATCAATAGGTTTGGACCGTGCTAACCCCTGCCATCCTCCTTTATTGATATTTCATTTAATCTGGCGATTCTCATAAGCGGTGGGTATTTTGAGAATTCTAAAATATAATAGGAATATATATATATATATGAACGTGATTTCAGGAGTAAAAGGAGAGGATGAACAAGATTTGGAGATATAAAGAGTCCCAACACGTCTCTTTCTTCTTTCCTTCGTATCTCCTCCGTCGCCGTCATATTTCACGATTAAAACCGTCATCATTTGATGTTCATTTTTCTCTGCCCTCTCCCAGTCTTGAACTCTTGATGGCTCCGGTGTTCCTATTTATCCCGTGGACGTGTCTTTAGTCTCCTGCATCACCCGACTCTCGGTTGTTTCTTCACTAACCTGTTTTGGCTTCCTTCTCCGGCGATCATCATGGGTTTGTAAGAAGCGCAAGTCTTTATCAAAGTATTAGCGTGTTTCATCTCTATAGTAGTAGTGTTTTGGCCCGAGTCTAAAGGCAATATTGTCATACTGTGTTCTTTTTTGTAGGATGTGGTAGTGATTATGTTCTCTTTCTGGTGATTCTTTAGTCCTTGTATTAGTCATTACTGTTTTTTGTGTTTTGAGATTAGTAGTGATTTTGTGATGGTGTGATAGTCTTGGTGGAGTAGTTTGTGAACTCTCGTAGTGGTCTATGTAACATATTCCGTTGGAGTGATTATGTTCTAGTATAGTAGTGATTCTTTGTTTAATAAACACTATCAGCACCACTACTACTAGAACGATTTCGAAAAAAATATTACGAGTACCATTACTATATTGTCCAAAGTGCGACTTAGTTGCCAAATATATCACACCATATCGAAAATACTACTAGAAAAATCACTACAACCGTTTCAAAAACACTATGATTACCCACTACTACATTGACTAAAGTACTACCACTACTTAGTTGCCAAAAATACTTCTAATACGTCTAATACCATTTCAAAAACACTACTTATATCCACTAGTACCACTACAACGACAGCCATTTCGGAAGTACTACCAGCACTTGTACCACTACTACATCGCCCAAACTACTATCACAATTCGGTTGCCGAAAAGTACTACTACAAGCCTTATTGAATTGGAGAACATTAAACATTAACGTATATGTGTTGAGCACAACTATTTAAATAAATAAAGTTTCTCATGCAAAACCACTACACCTAATTGGGATTTGGGAGTAAACGGGTTACATGAAGATAAACGGGTTACGACTTCAAACTTCAAAGCCTCGTCCACCACCTCTAGTTCCTGGGAAGTTCAAAATGGGGAATGTAACCGCAATGCCCAAAAAATCCGCCCGTATAAATGAAAATGAATTTGTATTTTTAATATTTATTGTTGTCTGTCCCTAATATACCCTTACTGTTTTTGTAGCAATTGGATTTGGAATTGTTGTGGACGGTGTAGATCGTAGTTAGGACGGTGCTAACCCCCTATGGAGTTAGCATCCTATCTTCTCCCCTTCATAGTAGACAAATTAGTGTGGGAGTAGACAAATTAGTGTGGGAGGTGTCTAAATTTATGCAATCTTAATTTGCAATGAATTTATTATAAATGTTAGTCAACTTACCTAATTACTAGTTGAAGAATTGTGTATGCAGATTAACCCACAATCTAACCGCACACATCCGTCACCCACCCAACCCTACTTGAAGCAGTGTGTGGATGGATTGCACCGCCAACTCTTTAATAAGCGGGTGATTCAGTTTAAAACCGAAACGCACCCCAACCTACCATTGCCCACCACTATTAGGTTTCAACATTCCAAAGAAAGTAAACTATTCTCCAGTCAGTGGCGGACCCAGGATTTTGGGATAGGTGCGTCGACCATAAAATAGAATTTAAAATAAATTAATTAACGTTAATAAATTAATTAATTTAAAATAAACAGAAAAATTTTATTCGTAAATTTCACAAATTTCATTATTTCTTACAGTGAACCACAACGATTTTTCATATTCTTAAAGGTTTCTTAATTGCATTTGTCCATTAGATTGCAAATCAAATATTTATAATGTACAAAATGAAATAATTATTCATAAACTGGTCACTCAACTTATACCAAAAACTGTTCTTAATTAAACTCATATATGGAAAATGTCATTTTGTAGCTTGTAGTTGCAAGAGGTAAAGTCAATACTAATTTAAGATGAGAAATTTTGTATGAGAAGCTCGAAGGGTGGCCACATGTGTCAACGTGGAAATTTGAATGAGCATGAGGATGTCGTTGGCTCGATTCCGATAATTGAAGGGTGGCTACAGGCGTCAACGTGGAAAGAAATAACTAAACTAGAAAGCAAGTTGAAAATTAACTTAAAGAAAAATCTATGGAAGAAGCTATGGGCAAAGACAGTCTGGAATTCACTATCTAATTATTTGACTCAACCAGCTTATTAATCAAATTTAATTCTCATTCAAACTATCGATGTTGTCTCTAAGGTGATAGCTATCTTTCTAAATACTCATTATTTACTAAGTAGTCAATTAATTGTTTACACTTGTGCAACCAACTAATTAACTACCTAACCTGAAGTACAATAACTACTATATTTACATATTTTAATAATATTATGAAAATAATTTTTTTTGTAATGTAATAAGGTGTGTCGATTACAATTATTGGAGGTGTGTCGGAGGTCCCATATTCGTATTTTTTACACCGAAAATTTGTACGTTCTTCACAAAAATTTCGAACCAAAGTGTGTCGGGTGACACACCTTGGTCAAAGGTGGGTCCGCCCCTGTCTCCAGTCCCACTGGTTTCATAAAACTGGATTCTGAATTGATATTTTCCTTAATTGATCGGTCGAAAGACTGGAATCTGTACGATATAACACTTCTATAAATTCAGTTCATGAAAATTATCCTCTTTTTAATTAGTAAAAGCAGGTTACCCTGATTTTCAATAAGATAAAAAGAAAAACTTGAAAACAAACTTCAAAAACTAGGACCACCGAATTAATTTATTAATCATGGTGGTCCAATATTGAAAAGGGTAATATTGATTGTGGGTAGCTGATTTATATATTAATACATTACCAGCAGCCGTGCATACACACCTCCACTGAATATCTAATTGACTCACTCAACCCCTCCAATCAACAACATTAATGAAGAGGGACAACCAAAATCAAACCTTGAAAGTTCAAATTACGAACTAGTAAACAACTACAACAATGGCGATCGATAACCCTAAAACATGGGAGTATCAGTATCATCACCGTGGGGCGAGGGAGAAGAAGTGTCGACCAAATTCAGAATACTATTCCAGTAGTTCTTGTCCTCGCAATACTCATGCTGCTCATTAGTCGTCGTCATCGTACTCCCGCTGTTGTTCTCTGACGAATCCTTATTACTATTCTTCTCATTACCACCACCACTAATCTCCGAGTTATTATTAACCTCGCTGCTGCTTCCATGCTCTTGATGATCCCCACCTGCCGCCGCCGTCGAATCACACAACAAAAGACTAATAAAACCCTCCTCCGCCACATCATCATCACCACCACCATTACTACTCTCTTTATTGTTGAGAGTCCATTCCCCCGCTTCCATGGAGCTGCAGCAGGAAATCGTACCTCCACTAGCAACAGCAATGTGATTGTGATGATCATTTATTGCTGAATGATGGTCAGCTGCCAGCTGGCACACTGTCCAGTCATCACTCTCATCATCATGATCATGGCGGTGATGATGAGATATGTCCTTGATGAACTCGAACATGTGCGGGATTGACGGAGAACGATCATCTTCATGATGATCATGACTACTACTACTAATCGGATTCCCCGGCAATGCGGTGGTGGAGAGAGTTGACGTGGGAGACTCAAGATCCACGTGGACGTTGATGCTGCTGCTAGCGGACCAGGACTTGATCGACGTGGCGGCTGCTGAGCTGGATCGAGTTGCCAGCTGTGCGGCGGCAGCTGAGGTGGCGGCGAGCAGGGAGTGGGAACGGAGCTTGGACTGTCGGACGAGGCGGGCTTCGGCTTCGAGCCTGGCGCTCTCCCACTGAGCCATGTGGCTGAGGTTGGCGGCGCTCTTGGAGCTGGAGTAGTTGGAGCCGGCTTGGGTGGTGAGGAGGGCGTCGTTCTTCGGCTTGTGGGTCACGGGGTCGATCCCCATTTTGGTTAGCCGCTTTTTAAGGTGGGTGTTCCAGTAGTTCTTTATCTCGTTGTCCGTCCTCTTTTGCAAGTGTGTCGCAATGGCTGACCACCTTGAAAGATCATGATCGAAAAGGTCAGAAAAAGAAAACAAATTATAAGTTCAATTTTGCTTTTTTACCATAATGTGTAAAACTTTTTTACTGTGTGATAGGAAGAAGACCGACGGAGCCAACTTGACTTTTGCATTATTGGGATGTGGGTGTCAGAGTGAGTGAGAAGTAAATGAGAGTTGAAGAATAGTAACTGAGCCAGCTCGACAATGTGTGTAGTTTCTTTCGGTTGTCGGAAGTAGTAGAGATATATAGAACATCAATTTTATTTTTAGCAAGTATAAAAGAACGTGTATATTATTTCTTGATATGCCCTTGTAGAGTAGAGTGGTGGTGAATTAATGGAGTAGGACTCATATAAAATGGGAAGATGGAATAGACAAGACTAAAGGGTAGATGGCACTTGTATAGCTTACTCGAATTTATGGAACCTCTACTTTACACAAACATAGGGAAAAAGAGTGTATTTTTAGTGTACTACTTATAAAAATGAATTAATAAATAAACAAGACTCCTCAATCACAACAACCTGATCAGAAATTCGAAATGATTTGGGTTGTTGATGAACTTGTTGCCGACATGCTTCTCATCGAAACGACAAGATTGAAAGTAAAAAAGTACTGTATTAATTTTAGCGAAGAGAAGAGTGGTGAGAAGTCATAATTTGGAAGAATACATTTATACAAGGGAGTTAGAGGATTGCTTCACAAGCTAGAATCGCAATTATCAAAGCAATGAAGATGAAGAAGGAGAGGATTATAACTACCTGTTCCCCAAGAGGGCATGGAGTTGAATAATGGTTTGTTCTTCCTGCAAACTGAACTTGCCCCTCTTAATATCCGGCCTCAGATAGTTTGTCCATCTCAGCCTGCAGCTCTTCCCACACCGTTGTAGACCTTCATTCACAAGTACAAGTACAAACACATTATTAGAGCTGGAAAGTATATATCATCAGTAGCCCATATACAAAAAAAATAATAAGGTTGGCTGGTTCTACGATTCTAATCAGCACTTACCTGCTTTGGAAGGCAAAGCTCGCCAGCTACCATGGCCGTGCTCCTCGATGTAAGCCAAGAGCATCTGATCCTCTTCGGGCGTCCATGGCCCTTTCTTCAACCCTACTTTGTCACAGCATGGCGATCTTCCCATACTCTAATCAGCACTTACCTGTCTTCCTCTCACTCTAACTCCTTCTCTCTCTACATATAAAGCTATATATGAAACTTGAACTTAAGTTGTTGCTGCTGCTGGGGAGGATGAAGAAAGACAGATGGGGAGAGATTGAGAGAGAAGTGGGCGATGGGGATATGATGGCTGGCTGGCTGGCTGGGCTGGGCTGCCTGTAAGTAAATGAAAAGATTGGGCAGAGAAGGGGAGGAAGAAAGTTCAGTCAAATAAATAATATTGAAGGCTCTCCTTGTGATTCATTCCCAAAGAAAAGGAAAATTATATACTTTGCACATGGCATCATTATTATACACCTTTCACCTCCACATATATATGTAGCCTTCTTTTCCATCCGGCTATGTTTATTTATTTATTCAAAGTGATAAACTGATAATAATGTATTTATGATTGTACTATATATAAGTTAAACTTTCGGTTTATTAGTCCTAGTTCAATAATTACCAAGTTATTATGCTTACCGTTTACTTTTAGTCTCACAACTACAAGTCGTAGCAAGTTGTTGGTGAGATCGATGATTGGTTGATGAGATTTTAATGAAAAAGATTATTGATGGTTATAATAAGTAGCTAGATTATCCGAAAACATAAGTTATTTGAGTAAATATACATTGAATTGCATGATAATCTGATAAAATAGCACAAAAAAATAAGTATTTACAAGAATATTGCATTCTACCCTTTTTTTCTCCTGACACAAGTTAGTAAGAACAAATATGACTCTGAAAAGTATCATTACCAAATCTTAGCATGTAATATAGTTAGATAGTAGACATTAACAATCAATCATATTCTCTACCATTATGGACATGAGGATCCATATCTTATTGAAAGTTGACCTTAGATGTATATAATACTAGAGAACATGACCCATACTACACAGATGTGCACATATATTTAATTAATTTGTCTCCACATCACCAAGATCACTATGATAATTATAACATATATATGTTGATGGAGCATGCAAATCATAAGCTGTTTATACGTGAATTAAGTATATGAATGCAGAAATTGCCGAATTATCACAATAGCAACCAAAATTGCCATGTGGATGCCGACTATGTATATATATTATTGGCCGGTTAGCGTCAAATATGTCATTAATGTCAATTGACAAACACATATGTAACACACAAAAAGGCGGTCGGCTCTGGTGCGGGAGGGGTCAGCGTCGTTTCATCATGTTAGATCAACCTCTAGCTAGCAATTATATTCCAGCTAGTTGTCTGGTTTTTTTTTTTTTTTCTTCCTTTCACCTTCTTAATTTCTCAAAGAGCATATGATTCAGCTGATGACAGCGTTGCTGATCAGTACTGGTGAGTGCCGATGGAAGAGAGAGTAGTGTCCACCCAAAACTCCATAACCATATGCTACACGAGTGAGGGAGCCATAGCCATCGATCCCATTGCCCACAGAAGGAAAATCGACCCTTCAAACCCCATTTTTTTTGTTTCTCTTTCTCATACAATGAAATGATCACTGGTTCGTGGCTACACAATGTGCGTATTTGAACTACAATACCCGTGTTTGGTACAAACAAAAGTCCGTCACAGGCCAAAGGTCACATAGCCAGGTGGTAAGGGAGGCAGACTGGTGGCTGAGAGGTTCCAGGTTCGATCCTCACTGCTGCCATGGTGTTTCCGTAGGCATTCCGCATTTGCTCGGATTGCTGGCATAGGTCCCGGGGTTTGGCCCGACTACGACATCACCGACGATGGTGACCGTGGAGCATGGTTGTTATGCCGGTGGCATGCCACCCGGTTGAACCTGGTTCAACCTGTGCTGGTCATGAAACCGGCATGACACCACCGGGATGACCGGTATGATCGACTTACGTATTCTAAACAAATTAACATCATTTTAATGAATTTAATTAATATAAAAATTAATTTATCATTCATTTTATGAATTTAATAGTTAAAAGTTGATGATATTTGTTGGATTGTAACTTGATTGTCCACAAATATGTTTTATATATGATTAAATACATTGGATATTAATTGTTTTTACACTTTTTTAAACCGGCATGAACCGGCACAAACTAGTTATACCACCGGTTATACCATTCCAATTGCCAAACCGGCACAACGGTATAAACCGGTTTGACAACCTTGCCGTGGAGGGTGTTCCTCGTCATAAATAAATAAAAAAGTATGTCGCAGGTAATAAAATGATTATGCATGTTAAATAGGGCTGCCAGTTAGTGTAAAAAGAAGCTAAAAATTGAACACAAGAACACCAATATTTAACGTGGTATCTGATACAAACCCTAATACGTTAGACTACTTTACAATTACACAATGATAGCTATACTTGATCATTTTAATAATAGACTTATAATTTTTTTCTTTTCCTATTTGGCAAGTGTTATGGTACAATTCAAATGCTACATAAAAAATACAAGGGAAATGACTCTTGTATATTAGTGACTACTAAACTCATAAATACAATTAGCCTTGTGTGGAAGATATATGACTCTTGTATATTAGTGCAAAGCGTACAATATCGTACTAATGGAACCATCAGATTTCAATAAGTGGCATCAGAGCATGGTCGGATTCAGTCCATGGTGGTGAACATCAGTTTGATGGGACCCTCAATCAATGGCATTGTGATTTGAGATCTGCATCTGTTTAGTGGATCAAGGGAGATCCGAGTTAGTCTGGTATATCGAAGGTGATCTATTTATGGTATGGCGGTTCAAGATAATCGCTAAAGAATGACACAAAGTTCGTGATCCTTGTCTCGAGAGGAGAATTGTTATGGTACAATCTAAGAAGCACATAAAAAATGCAAGGGAAATGACCATAATATATCAGTGTCCACTAAACTTATTAGCACGAGTCTTTTTAGGGAGGTTGCCCAAAAGTAAATTTGTGCGGGTTTAACCCAAAACGGACAATATCATACTAATGTAGCTATCCTGTTTCTTTCAGCAGCAAAATTACAGGTGACGGTTGGTTGTTCCTTGATTTACATTTAGGCTCCACAAAGAAACTTGTATTGTCACCTCTAACTTTTAACTTGTACGTTGTCAAAGAATATACAATTGATGCACAAACTAGCAATAAATCGAAAAGCATATTGTTAGAAATAAGGGAGCACACAATATACAAAAGAGAAAACCTTCCATGTTATCTTCTGCAAAATAAAGATTTTCACCCCTACCTTAAATTCTTTGACACATGCAAATAAAGATTCACCTCTTCCCTTTCTCTACCTACCACCTCTATACAAACCCTAATAAAAAAAAAAGTTACGTGCCCATAAAACTAATTATTAAATTTATGATAAACACTATCCTCTTTTTACCTTTCATTAATATAGCCTTTTGAGTTCACAGCATTATCGTAAAGTCGGCAACCTCCAAAAGACATGAATACAATAATTTTTTATGTTGTCTTTTGGAAGACCTTTATTATATTGTACATAAGTTAACAAGAAAAATAACATTTCTTAACTTATTTCAGCATTATAAAAAAGAAAAAGGCAATAAGCAAAATAACTAGTGTTGATATGACTTGAATCGGACTATCAGCCGCTACGACTGGTAATCGGGGTCACGATGTATGGGCTCAATGTTATTTGGGTTCGGGTTTTGGGCCTGGTCTGTAACCGTTTTCCTTTGCCAGATTGGATTAGGTTTAGACCCACATGGAGAAGTACTATAAATACTTCTCATACTCGTCTATAATCTGTAATCTCCTTGATATAGTGAAACTGGCTCTCTCTCGCCCGTGGACGTAGCTAACACACATCGTGTTAGTGAACCACGTAAATCGTGTGTCTGTATTTTCCATTCTCGATTTCGTATTCTTGCTTTGTCGATTCCGGCTATTTCCCGATCCGTAGCAGCGCGTTTATAACAACTAGCATCAATGCTAGACATTCTAACTCTACATAATAAACCTTATGAGCTAGCTAGTTGATTTGTTACTTACTAGCTCTTTGGATACACATGGCCAAGTCAGCGTACCATTCCATTTTGCTCAAACTTGTAGTGATTAACAACCACGGACGTAGCAAAAAGATCAACAGTGTAATTCACTCATATTCCTTTGAAGTTATCTTGAAGCTACGTACCATTTCACCCTTAGAAAAAAAAAAGGAAGTCAACAAAGTCCTCAAAAGCAACGGGGAGGCCAAACGATTGCCAAAATAGTCAGGGGCAGAATGTTATTACTACGTACCCTCATCTAACTGTCTCATTTATGATTCTTTTGCCATTTTTTTTTCTCTCTTTGCATCAATGGAGAAATGGTCCCAAAATCATCGGCCGGCTAAAGAAGAAGAAGATTGAGATGATGATGAAGAAGATGATCGAAGAAAGAGCAATCCGTTGAGAAAGCAGCATCTGCAGAGCTCCAACTTTGGGCGAGGTATTAGATGTTACAGCAGTAGTTACGTTGCTGCAAGGGTAAAAACCAAACAGTGAATGGACCGACCTGCAAGTTTACCATATCAGCTCATTCCAGATTTCTTCCATATTCATTAAAAACTGTGGTCTACCATAAATGATACCTCAATTTAAATTTCTCTTCCGGATAAAAAGTCAATATTTTTTTCCCCGATTCCTCTGTTAAATTTTACTGAACATGGTCAGCTACTGGAGTCGCATTGAATCACATCTACCTTTCCCTAGCATGAAGGGAATTTCATTTAGCAGACTGGGGGGGGAAAAAAAATAATAGCAGCCACTAAGGCCTAAGGGTCAAGTTGTTAAGGTAATTTTATTTTTACACCTTCACAGTGGTCCATTTACCATACAGGAAGAGGTAGTAAGATAAAATTTTACCTCAACAAAACATAAAAACAACTTACACAATTTTCGAATTAATTAAAACGTTGTGTGATCTTGTTATTTACCAAGTAAAAAGGAAAGCTAGCCATTTATGAAAATCAAACAAGGGAGGGGAAGTCCTCTATGGGATTCTTTTTCGCAGTAAGATAAGCAACCCTATCTGCGAAGCACAAATTCAAAAAAATACGCTAAATACGAGAAAACTGACGAGAGCTTCTAACAAAATGGCTCCTTGTTGTCCATGTTAAGTGTTTTGATGTTGCAGTTGATAAATAACGACGTGTGATTCAACTTGGATAATCATTTATCCATCTAACACACAATCGCGCCTATGGAACCCTCCGGAATCAATAAGAACATCTATATAAGACCAATTACACTTAGAGATAATGAGATATATAGTATAGGTACGAATATCAACATGGTACTACGTACGTAAACCATTCTACTCTAGGTTTTTCTCACCAACTTTGTGGGATGTATAGTATAGGTACGAATAACAATGATGATCGTATTAGGTGTATATCCTATTTATTTATCTCTTATAATTCTTATTATCTGTATTTCATCTTATGTAACTATCACACTAATTGCACTCTAAGTACAGTTTCTACTAGTAGGGAAAAGGGGGAAACTTAATAAATTATCAAGCCAACAAATGTTGACACTTGGATTGTGACATGGCCGTAGGCCATAGCTCTCTCTTCCATCTTACTGTGTGGCATATGGAACGAACGGTGAAGGGTTGATTGATTGGTGTATGAAATATGAATCATTTGAAAGCAAAGTTGCATGAAGGGAGATGGAGAGGAGATTTAATAAGGTGGGGTTGTGGGGAGAGCTGTGATCAATATCTTCATTGATATGGTGATGCAAAAGACAAAAATAATGGACCCATTTGGAGGGGGAAAAGAGAGGCTAATAAATAATAATAATAATAATATTATTATGGATGTGTTCATGGTAGACCACATATCCGATTTCTAGAGTAAATGATATTCTTTGTAAAAAAATCGGATTTTGATAATCAAAATCCGATTTGAACCACTAGTACATGCTTAATATGATATAGAATACGGATCTACAACTAATTAGAGTACACTTCTGAAGTTAGTTCTCGTAATGATCATTATATTAATTTCCGAAAATGTACCCATCTAATTTCAAAACCAAAAACAAAAATATAGCAAGTGGTAATTAATTTTCACATGCGTTTACACGTTTTCTTGTTAATTGTTATATAATTAAAGATGAGATTATTTTAAGAGGCAAGTCCAAAATGATGATTATGATATTAAATGTATATCATACATGTAAAATCGAGAATATAGCAAGTCATACAATAATAATAATAATAATAATAATAATTATTATTATTATTATAAAGATGAATTAAATGCTAATGGTGGGTAGAGACTAGAGAGGCTAAGCATATGTCTCTCATAGATCCAAAATCACATTGGAGGAGAAGAAAAGAAGGACCATGAGGCAGAGGGGACATCCCAATTTAATTTCCTTCCTGCCTTTGATCATTGCAACCCCAGCTCCAGCTTTGTATGGTCCAACCTTTGCCTTAAATTACCCCTATTCAATGAGCTTCATCACACTTGTCCTAATTTGAAAGCTCCACGTGGGTATGAAATATGGATGGAAACGGGGCTTAGTTTTGTGCGAGTATTACGAATACCGGCAACTTACCCGGTCAATATGAAAATTCGGTGGTTAACTTAATCCAGAAGGATTATTGGAATCACAATTGTGGGCACAATTTAATTGGGTTAAAGACACATTTGGTCACTGAGATTACAAAATCGGGACATGTTTAGTCACTAAAAAAAGTTAATATCAAATTTGGTCACTACAATCACTAAAATTGGACGCATTTAGTCACTCGCCGTTAGTCTCCGTCCAACTCCGTTAATGAAGTCTGTTAAGTGCTGATGTGGCAAACAAAATTGCCTAATCAGCCGGATATAACCCAACAAAAATAAAATTCGACCCGCCACGTCATTATAACCCGCTACCTCATTAAAACCAACCCAACCCAACCCATGACCCAACCCTACCAAACCCTTCTTCCTCCCACCTCGGCACCTCCCACCTCCTTCTTTCCCCAAAACCACAGCCGCCGCCGCTCTCCTCCTTCCTCCCACCTCCTCCCACAAACCTATTCGACCTGCTGAAGGGTAATCGTCAAGATTCCTCCTGTTGAAGTCCGGCCGAACCCAATTTAGGGTTTTCCCCATCCCATCCAAATTCACTGGGCGGGGAGAAGATCTCTCCGCCATTAATCTGCCGCCCTTCCTTCATCTTCTTCCTCTGTCATTCCCAATTCCAAAAAAATCTTATTTCAACTCTTATTCTTCTTTTCTTTTCCATTGATTCAATGGCGGCTCCTCTAATTCCTCAATTTCTACTCCTCTTCATCCTGGGTACTGCTAATTTCTTCCCAATCAGGGTCGTTTCCACAACCATCACAATCACCAACCAGTGCGACTACACGGTCTGGCCGGGCATTCTCTCCAACGCCGACGTGGCGCCGCTGCCCACCACCGGATTCGCGCTCCAAAAGGGCGAGACCCGGACCATCTCCCCGCCGGCCTCCTGGGGCGGCCGCCTCTGGGGCCGGACCCACTGCTCCGAGGACTCCACGGGCAAATTCTCCTGCACCACCGGCGACTGCGGCTCCGGCCAGGTCGAGTGCTCCGGCACCGGCGCCACTCCCCGCCACGCTCGCCGAATTCAAGCCCGACGGCTACGGCGGCCAGGACTTCTTCGGCGTCAGCCTCGTCGACGGCTACAACCTCCCCGTCCTTGTCTCGCCGTAGGGCGGGTCGGGCCAGAACTTGTTTGCGGGAGGAGGTGGGAGGAAGGAGGAGAGCGGCAGCGACGGTGGTTTTGGGGAAAGAAGGAGGTGGGAGGAAGAAGGGTTGGGTAGGATTGGGTCATGGGTTGGGTTGGTTTTAATGAGGTGGCGGGTTATAATGACATGGCGGGTCGGGTTTTATTTTTGTTGGGTTATATCCGGCTGATTAGGCAATTCTGTTTGCCACATCAGCACTTAACGGACTTCATTAACGGAGTTGGACGGAGACTAACGGGGAGTGACTAAAAGCGTCCAGTTTTAGTAATTGTAGTGACCAAATTTGATATTAACTTTTTCTAGTGACTAAACATGTCCCGATTTTGTAATCTCAGTGACCAAATGTGTCTTTAACCCCAATTTAATTCCTAGTTATGAAAGAGAAAAATGGAGGTAAAAGAATCATTAAAAAATTGTTGAGAGAGGAGTTGTATACTAATGGTATTTTATTTTGGAAATTAATGTGTTAGCATAAAGTTATAACATAAGTTGTCCTGCCTCCAGAGACGAAGCAGTATGTGTAGCCATGCACTGATTAGTTTATAATATTAGGTTGGTATATATAATGAAATCGATCTAAGCTTGTTGTGTATTTAGCAGATATTGTCTCAAAATCGTACAACATATATACATGGCCTATTTATCATGATTCATGTGGGTTTCAATAGGTTGTTGGAACTTGGAAGTGCCGACGGATATATATATATACTTCAACTTTCTTTTATAGCTAGAATAATGGGTGCAATATAATCAATGCATTAATAGCAAGCCATGCATGCTACTTTAACTAGTTTATCATATACATTATAATCGATGGAGGAGAAAATCTGTCAGCTATAAAACTGGTATTATATGCCAGATGTATTGCAGATGAATCTTAAATGGATCGTGATCAACAAAAAAAAAAAAAAATTGCGGAATGGAAACTAATTGAGTGAAATGCTTAAAAATTAAAATGAAGCGGCGACAAGGAACCATTCTAGCTATAATCAAATTTTCAGTATGCTTTACACTCCACGAAATAGTATAATTCATTGGTCCTTATCTCTTTCTCTTCTATAAAGTTTGATTCAATATGATGGATAATATTACATACCCATGGACGAGTGTTATACCTTTTTTATAATCAATTCAAGTTTGTTTTTCCTGTAAGCACTACACAGCTTCAAATAGTTGGTATAAGTTTAAAATCGGACTCTGAAAGTTCTTCCGAGTATAATAATTAAAAAATTTCAATGCGTTAGGCACTCCAACTTTCTCAAATAGGTCTATCGTCTAAGGCGAAGACAATGTTATGTGTTCATACTATTTTAAGTGGTTTCTTCTTTAAACAACACATTCAAACCAACTACCTCAGAACAGAGAGTGCATGATAGATAGTAGGCATTAGAATCCATCCGATTGAAAAGCACTTCTTTTTGCTTAGATGGACGAGATAGAGATCAAAGTAGGAGATTTGAGCATCCAGATATTCATAATCCTGGGTAAATTGAAAATCTTTGGTTGGGCTATGATTCTGACTCTGGTCGGGCCTTCATTGGTAGTAGCTAGTTTTGGGCTTGGTTTCTTGCATGGATTCATTCATAAACTATCCGTCCACTTCAATACTGTTCCAAAAAAATAGGTCCATTTTCAGGTTCTATGAAGCCCATTACAGTAGTCGAAAAAATTCACAGATATTGTTATTCCTTGAATTTTTTTTCTCGACAAGATATTGTTGTCTCTTGACTTGAATCTATCTCATTTTTATAGTACTCCGATCATAAACATGTTTAATTTTGAAGATATTACAAAAATTGCTCAATTTCACTCCAAAATGCATCTTATCAGTTTTGATTCAATTTTTTTTTAAGTATGAACCATAAATTTCATCCGTACTCTCTGTCTATATGAAATTTGTCTAAAGGGTTATCGTTATCTCAACTAATAATAATTTTAAATGCAATCATTGTTACTTTTGCATGGACCCTCCTCAATCCAAATAATTTACAAGTTGCTCTACCTTTTAAAAAAGCTAATAAGGATCTTTCATGGATTTTCTTTTCTTTTCTTTTCTGGGTGGGAATGGATATTTCGTTGGTTGATAGATACAGGCCGACCGGTAGTTGTTGGTACTACTTGTGGGCTGTGGCAGCTCAGGTGCCCAACGACAATAATAATACAACTTTCTCATCTCATCCGACGGTTCTTGCAGCGAGCCATATCTAATCCAACGGCCATGATCATCTTGTATACGTAACTGTACTGTATTCGTAGTATCGTACAGAATACGAGGAAAAGGAAACTACCGTATTCATAACTGACGGAGTCACATGATGCGCGCCATTTTCTTCGTCTTTGTCACCACTCCGTTTGTCGTTTTCCGTTGACAGACGGATTCACGAGTCTGACTGGACAGCTGACTCACCCGACCCAATGCAGCCACAAAATGGACACGTCACCGCACTGAGTGCCCCGGGAATTGCTCTCCACCGTCCGACCCCTATCTCCTCCTCAGATATTTTTTTCTTCCCACTCACACTGCCGCACAGTCACTCTCCCCCACCATGCACTCCAACTGTTTGTATAAATCCCCCTGTGAAGTGAACTCTCATCGCCATCACCGAAAACCTTCGCCTCATAGTAAAATCTAAGCTTTCTCAAACCCCAATTCGATCCCCCATGGCGTCGACAGTCACCTCGACCTTCAAAACCACTTTCCTCGACACCAAATCGGCCTTCCATGGCGCTCCGATCCCGGCCTCCTCCGCCCGCTTCACAACCATCAAATCTGCAGCGAGCGTCACCATGTCCATGTCCAGCCCGCCCCCTTACGACCTGAACTCCTTCAAATTCGCGCCGATCAAGGAGTCCATCGTCTCCCGTGAAATGACCCGCCGATACATGACCGACATGCTCACCTACGCCGACACCGACGTCGTCATCGTCGGCGCCGGATCCGCCGGTCTCTCCTGCGCGTACGAGCTCAGCAAGAACCCCGACATCCGGATCGCCATCATCGAGCAGTCCGTCAGCCCCGGGGGCGGCGCGTGGCTCGGCGGCCAGCTGTTCTCCGCCATGGTCGTCCGCAAGCCCGCCCACCTCTTCCTCAACGAGATCGGCGTCGACTACGACGAGCAGGACGACTACGTCGTCATCAAGGTAGTTAAATTTATTAATTACATGCGTCACTTACAACTTAATTAGAAAATGAGGTACCAATTGGTAAATAGACTTTAGAAAAGAATGTACATGACTAAATTACCAATTTACTCCCTCTATTATATTTACTTGACAAATGCATGCTTTACTGATTAATTACAACCACGGTCCTTAACTTTTGTGATCCCAATTTGGGAAATGAAGCACGCGGCGCTGTTCACCTCGACGATCATGAGCAAGCTGCTGGCCCGGCCGAACGTGAAGCTGTTCAACGCCGTTGCGGCGGAGGATCTGATCGTGAAGGGAGGCAGAGTGGGCGGCGTGGTGACGAACTGGGCATTGGTGTCGATGAACCACGACACACAGTCGTGCATGGACCCTAACGTGATGGAGGCGAAAGTGGTGGTGAGCTCGTGCGGCCACGACGGGCCGTTCGGAGCCACCGGAGTGAAGAGGCTGATGGACATTGGGATGATCGACAAGGTTCCCGGGATGAAGGCCCTCGACATGAACGCGGCCGAGGACGCGATCGTTAGGCTGACTAGGGAAGTTGTCCCCGGGATGATTGTTACGGGGATGGAAGTTGCTGAGATCGATGGAGCTCCAAGAATGGTAAGAAACTTGGGTGGTTTTGCTGTGGGTTGATGATTGTAATTCTAATCGGGGTGAACCGAATTGGGGCTGGGTGGGTTGATTTGATTCTTGGTCCTAATTGGGCTGGGTGAATTGATTCTTGCAGGGACCGACATTTGGAGCGATGATGATCTCCGGCCAGAAGGCGGCTCATTTGGCACTGAAGGCACTTGGAGAAGCAAATGCCTTGGACGGTGGAGTCAACGGGAAGGTGAAGCAGCCGGAGTTTGTTATTGCTGATGCAGAAACTGCCGTAGAGACTGTGGATGCTTAATGATGAATGTGTAAAAGTAATTAATAAATGAATGTCGAGTTGATAATAATAAGAGGAGAAGGGAAGAAGAAGAAGAAGAAGAAGAAGAGCTAGTGTGTGAATGAGGTGTTTGCTAGTTCTTTTGGGTGTTTTTTTCTTCGTTCTTTTGGCTTTTTGGAAGAGTGTCGTAGACAAGCTTTAGTTAACTTGGGGAAGTGCTAATCCGTGTTTGATCTGGATTCCAGTCTGATTGCGTGTGTGAGCCATTTCGGTCCAATCAAGCAAGCTTTATGGGCTTGAAGCCTCTATCTGTAAACATGGGCCGATGTCTTGAAGTAATGTCGTGGTGGGTTATGATTCTGTCTTCGACTTTCAATCTCCTGCATGGATTCATCAAATTGTCCCTTAACTCCCTCGCTCCTTAAAAACATTAGAAGTACAAGTCCATTTACTTAGGAAAGCCCGTGAGTGTAAATGATTTATGAACTTTCATCCATTTTTTTGTTTATATATTTTGTAGATGTTCAACATCATTCATGTATAATTTGTCTAAGTCGGGCTCAGTTGGTCACTTCGTCAGCTTCCTCGCTCACGAATTTGTTGTGCGTTCGAGTTCGTTAGGAGTCAATCCATGGCGTGCATAGCCATTAAGTCGAGCATCCGAGCTTGTAAGATGTCAACCTCGTAGTTTAGCAGCTCGTTAGCTTCTTCATCCTCGACGAGCTTGTCAGATGTCAACCTCGCGGGTGTATAGTCATCAAGCCACGTTCATCTAAGCTATGCTAATTAATAATACTAAAATCAACTTATGTTGGACACTTGATTAAAAAAATTGCTTCATGAGGATCCAGTGACATTGTAAACCAATTTAATGGTTGCTTATTCAACGCTTCCCCCCGTGATTTCTGTAAGTGATAAGATTGAGCCAAGAAAGGGCACTCCACACGTACCCCAAAATGATGTAATACAGGATAATTTGGTGCGTCAAAGCCTTCTTTTATCAAAACACACTGAATAATGCACAAAATTTTGAGAACTTTGAGTAGATACAATTAATTATAATTATGAAACCCATTTTGGGGTAAACAGCCCAAAAGCTTTCTGCAACCCTTTCTCCATTTAGGTGTAAACAGTTCTTAACTATCTTAATCAACGAAGATGATAAGATAAGTACATGCATCAACGGGGTAGTTGTTTGTGCTCTCTGGTCTCTAATGAATCTTTGAATTCCTTTTTCTTAATTATTTTGATTGGGGGCAGAATTATGAAGCTAATATGAAACCACACATCCATCATTTGCCTAAATTCAATCAATACCTCCACTTTCAGGGGCTTATCACCACCTAATCTCCATCTAACCTTTTGTGATCGATTAAGATGTGGATTTGAGTGACGACTATCTTAATTGCAACTTGTTTTTTTTAATCATCATGTGACCAACAAGTAATGACTATTTCAGTGAGATATTTGTTACGTTGGTTAACATGATTTAAATTAGTGAACAATCACAAGAAGTAAAATTTCAAATAGAGAACATGGATCGTGAACAAAAATTGAAGTCGATAAAACTATCTGAAAAGAAAGTGGATTCATTTTGCACAAAAAAGAAAGTGGTTTCGGAAAAAAAAGTATTGGCATACATGGGCCCCGAGCCCATGGTTACTAAAGCCCTCGATATAAGAGGCCCATGCCCAAAAGCAAGAAGTCTCAGACGCGGTCTTGAGACACACCTAGAGACCGCACGACATGGTATCTAGCCACTAGCCAGACAACGGAAGACCATGCGACATAACGGTCTAACAGACATCTAACCATCTTAGTAAGGAGATTGGCAGCTATACGTATTGCCTACACATTTAATGAAGCCCGAAGGCATCCAAAGACGCCTGGCATATTATTAAATGCTCTCGTCATAGCCAGAGTATAAATACCCCCAGATATGCAGCATTTATGTTAACTTCCAACTACTACCCTCTCTTATTTATAACGTTACCACTTTCTCTCACTAACTAACTTTGGCATCTGATGAGATCCTAGGATCCCCCTGAGGACCTTTCTTGCAGGGATCACGTGACCATCCCTCACGGTCGGAGTCCGTTAGGAGCTCGTGAGCCTCGCAAACTGTCTGGTACTAATTAGGCACAAACACTTACCAATCTGTCAACATAACATGTGGAGTTTCGTGCCAAAAGTGTATTAACACCCAGTATACTAAAAAATTCGTAGTATCACTAAGAAATTGCACATCAAACCGAAACAAACACCAACCGCAGACCTTATGTTGCAATACTAAGAATAAACATCACATAACCTCATCATCTCTAAGAACTGGTCGTCGTCACCCTCTCTGACAAAACCGGTAGAAATCTAAACAATCGCACACTCATGACAGTGAGGCACCAACCATTGCGCCATCGGACCGGATACGGATCACCTCATGTGCTCAAACCATAGCCCCATCCCACCACAATAGCTAATCAAGCACATCAGATGTAGCAGTTTAGATGCAATTAAAAATTGAATGCAGTCACAGAGAGAGAGGAATGAAACTTATGAAAGGGAGATTTGATACTGCCGCCATTTGCCGACGGAGGATGAGATCGGAACCAAACCCCACATTCCATATGGTCCAATTGGTTGCTTCCAAACCCAGCCTAACTTTCTTCTTCCTTATTTCTTCTGTCTTCCATTTCCTTCTTTCTTTCGTTAGCAGCAATTTGACTTATGACCCAAAAGCCACGCGATGGCAGCTGCTCTGCTTGAGCTTGACTATGGGCCCTGCTTCCTTCCGGCTCAGCATGAGACCACGATAGGGGACATGAACGTGGCAATTCCTCTATGGTTGGCAACTCTTACACTTCGAGGGAGTTGGTAATTTGCCACCCAACCTTTCCCTTATTTTAATGTCTTCAAGCAGTCAGTCACACGTGTAAATCCAAAAGCATCTTTTGGCCTTCACATTTTGACTTCCTATCCCTACCACCACAGGTTTTTCACATTCCACTTCTTCCAAATTCCTTCCTAAACACAGAATTTATGCGATTCTGTGCAGTGTTCTCACTAACAACCCGTCTTCTTCTGCTCCTCTGCACAAGTCTATAAAGTGCAACGCCAAAAGAGCTTCCCTTCCATTTTAGAAAAAGGAAAAACAGAGCAGCCAAATTTAGGCATGGAGGAGAAGATGGAGTTGCCTGCAGGGTTCCGGTTCCATCCAACAGACGAAGAGCTCATAACCCACTACTTATCCACCAAAGTTGTGAACGATTCCTTCTGTGCTAGAGCGATTGGTGAAGTCGACTTGAACAAGTGCGAGCCATGGGATTTACCTTGTGAGTGATTCATTGATTTTCCTTAGTCTCCTCCTGCTCTGTTTTTCATGTCTCTCTGTATCTGAAGCTTCTTTGTTGTTTGTGGGTGATTGAAGGGAGAGCAAAAATGGGAGAGAAAGAATGGTACTTTTTTTGCGTTCGGGACAGAAAGTACCCAACTGGGTTGAGGACAAACCGAGCTACTGAAGCTGGGTACTGGAAAGCAACGGGGAAAGACAAAGAGATTTACAGAGCTAAAGTACTTGTGGGGATGAAGAAGACATTGGTTTTCTACAAGGGGAGAGCTCCAAAGGGTGTAAAAACAAATTGGGTTATGCACGAGTACAGACTCGAAGGAAGATTGTCAGCTTACAATCTTCCCAAAACTGCCGAGGTCCCAACTTTCTTGCTCATCCCCTGCTTTTCCCCACACCCTGTTTTTAACTTCTTTCTCGCTCACTCTGTTTTTCCCCCCTTGTTCGATTTTTCCGCAGAACGAGTGGGTGATCTGTAGGGTCTTCCACAAGAGTGATGGAGGCAAGAAGGTACACATTTCTGGGCTGGTAAGAATGACCTCCAACAGGGAAGAAAAGAGTCCATCGGAGTTACCTCCGCCGATGGATTCTTCTTGTTCTTCTTCTCGTGACGAGACCAGGAATTCTACGTACAATTCCCACGTGCCCTGCTTCTCCAACCCAACGCAAGATCCTAGTGCCCAACAAGATTTGGCCTATGGTTCCGACGCTACTACTCAGTTTTCAAAATCATCGGTTCCATTGATATCCTCAATCTCTCCAATGGGGACGTCAAATTTCCATTACCAAGACTCTCTGTTGATGCCCGAACAGTCACTTTTGAGGATGCTGGTGGAAAACAATGGATGGCAGACGCCGGAAAGCTTGAAACCAGAGGAGATTTCTGCTGAAACCGGACATAATAGTGATATGTCTTCAACCCATGATCAACTGCTTCACAGATCCTACGAGGTTTCAGAGGACCCGTCATCAACTTCTGCAGGAATATTAGACCTTGATTGTCTTTGGAGTTACTGAAAACAGAGTATACAGACGAATCTTCTTAGAGGTAGAGATTTATCTAGCAACATTGGGTCTGTTTGTATTTGTATAGATCACTACCCTTTCTCGTTTAAGTAAACTGAAAGATTTGGAATCTAAAATAACACTATTTTAAGGAGTTTTGTACCATATGAATCGTGAAGTGTAGTACTTTTATCAGTGATTTGTATCTCTAGACTATTGTTTTCTTAGGCAAGAGGTTTGGGGTTATTGAGCTTTGTTTGATGTTGGGAATAGATCCCTGAATTTCATACATCTTCATACATGTACTTTTTCATTAGAAATATACCAAGTTTAGTTTAGCCATCGACTATGTAAAACATGTAAGCACGTTATTATACGTTTCAATTATCTGATTCGCAACTTGATGATTCTGGTATTCGTAAAACGTGAATGAACGATAATTCTTCGTTTAGTCGAATTCAATACATTAAAGCTGTCTTATCTACCAAATTTCACACGTGGCTATTGTTAATTGAGTTAATCAACATCAACCTTATTACTTGAGGGAGTTGCAATGTCAAACTTTTGGATCTATCTCCCAATCCCATCCTTTATCCCTTCTGCTCTCTGGCTTTAAAGCAGTTTGAGGTTCATATGTTAGGCACTTAGGCTACCAACCAGAAGTTGATCAATGATTGATATTAATAGCAAAGCACGCATTAGAGCACCTTGCGTGTCAAACATCCGCAGCATAAATGCCCGTCTCTTTCAACCCCATAATTGTTTTTTGTTTGGATTGAAGAACGTTTTCAACTCTGCTTTCAGGGCTTGGGATCAGGTGGCACATAACTCAACCAATCACAGTCCCTAGATGATTAGATGTGCCAATGATGAAAAAGATCCTTTTAACACTTACACTCTATTTGGAAAGAGGGGTAAATGGGAGGAGGGTGCAAACGTGAGGGATAAACACAATTTCCAACACATTTGCACATGTTTGGATAATTTGGAACAGTAGGGGATGGGCAATGGATCTACCCCTTCGGGTTTCTGATCCAATTGTGTCGATTCGTTTGGGTACCGGGTTCAATCTTATAGGGTTATAGTAGTTAAGTTATGTCTTCAAAGTTTATTAGTCAATCACATAATCGACTTTCCATCGAATAAGGATTAGAACTAGACATTAATGACGCGTGATAGCCTCACGCGTCGGGAACTTGAAATACGAAAACTAAAAGAAGCTGAAAATACTAGGGTTTATTATTCTTCGATAATTAAAAACGTAAGGGTTAAGTACATATTTACAGGAGAGCTCCCATAAACCTCTTTCCCCCTAAACAAGGTAACCCAATCACACTCCAACTCCTACTCGACTTCCTTCCTAAACAAGAAAAATAATCCGATAGTAAACGAATAAACCGAGAAATATCCAGATAAATATAATAACGAATAAACCGACGCTACCCTTTCGCGGCCCTAGCCGTGCGAATGCGTCAATTAACCTCGTGACAAATCCATACCTGCACATTATCTATAATATCGAGTTAAAATTTCCTACCATTGAACGTTGGAGGTTGAAACTTAGAATGGTTGCAGGGCTATGAAGAATGAATCAGTTAATTAAGGTTGACAAATTAATCTGTATTTTGTGTCCATCCTTGTTTTCCAAAAAAATTTATAGTAATTTTTGCAAGTGAAGAAACCTCGTATTCCTGTTTTGAACCACATGAGCGACATAATATCCTAGCTCATTCTTCAAATAAATGTATCTCATTTCCTTCAAAATCTTGAGGATAAAACTTTTTAACAAGTTTGTAAATATTTTCTTCATCAAAAGACCGGAAAGAACTTGTAGAATCCGGTGCACCACACAACCGAAACAATCTAATGGATGACTTGTTGAATCTTGAATTCAATGTTCCCAATTGTAAATATATGCACTGATTAAAATATTCAAAATGGTAGGCGGTTCTCAAGAGTTGTTTGCTTCTCACCACGTCCAAGTGTAGCATTCAGATTAGGCACCTCTATGGCATCTTTGAGCAAAAAGATTTTACCTCTTCGAGTAGCTTGTCCCACCCTTCATCTCGTAGGTGTTGAAGTTGAGCTTTTGCTATGGAAACAAATTGAACTGCAGCTACAATGTCAATAGATTCTTGTTGAAATGCTTGACATAGAAAATCTATTATCCCCATACACTACAAAAAATAGGGTAATTAGCGTCGATTTTTCATTGCTTTGGTGGCGGTTCTCAAAACCGACACTAAATAAGCTTTTGTCGCGGTTTTTCCTTTTCAGTTCTCGATTTGGTCATATTTTGAAAAGACCATTTTCAGAGGGTATTTTTATAAATTTTTCATAGCAGTGGTGAAAATTGAAAAACTCTTTATTGTTTAAAATGGTGAAAAACCATGTTAGCGCCTCAGCGGTAAATGAGGATCTCATAACTCCAACTAATTTGTAGAGTAAATAAAATAATCGCAACCTCTGAATTCTAACGGATCGGTTTTGGTGGAGAATGATCGCCTACAAAAGTTCATGGTTGGTGGAGAAGCCAAGCTATAATTGATTGGATCGAAGAATCCATGGCTACTCTGTTCTTGGCCGATCAAGACTTCTGGGATGGATTTGTAGTTCCACAACTACTTCACAAAAATAGGTTGCATAGTCGGACTCCTTGTCACAACTAATTTAATTTTGATGGAAATTTTCCTATGATCGATGCTCTAGATTCCAACATGCAAAGAAGAAAAAGTATTATTATTGAGTTTTGAAAATAGCATTTGAATCCCATTTGGGAACAAAAGAAGGTAGAAAACAGAACCAGACAAAGAATGTTAAAGTTTGAATATATGGGATAGCAATGCAAGATGGGAACATGCAAGATATGGAACTTTCAATATAACAAGGCCAAGAATGAGAAATAATGAAAACTGGGTTTGGCAGAAAAGAGCACTTCTACTATGCTATATAGTATTGGTGCGTTAATGTATAACTTAAAGTTGCACCATAACATTAAATGTATAAGTTTAGGTTGTACCATAAAGCAATTTGTACCCTTATGTTATGGTACAACTTTACAACTTGAAGTTGTACCATCACATAAAAGTACAAGTTCAAGTTGTACCATAAAAGAATTTCTACAAAAAGTATAGGTACAATATGAAGTTGTACCATAACGTAAATGTACAATTTTAAGTTGTACCATAAAGGCAAAAACCTATAGCACCAACGTTATATAGCATTGTAAAATTTCTTTAAAGAAAGATAAAGGAATAAGGTGTGGTTCTAATGCCAGGCAATAGAGATTACATAGTTTTAACTTTTATCTCAGATTTTGTTTGAACATCAGTTATTTTTTGATTCATAATTTGTGTGTGAGTTACACTCGTTTGATGCTTAGATTTATCAAATGGGGAGACTCATGAGATTCATGCATTATAATCCCTTTCATCAAGTGTAGATTGAATATAAACTTCAAAGTCTTGATATTTTTTGAAGCATATCTAGTTTGAGCTCGATGTTTCCTTTTTTAGAACGGATAAAATCTTCAAACACCAAACAAATAAAGTGAAAAGAGCCGATGATGATTTTTGTTTTGTTTTAATGTTTTGGAATTTTTTAATTACAATTTAATTTTGAATTAATAATTTCTTATATGGCATATAAGTGGATAACAAATAAGCGCCACATCATTAGTAGTCAAACATAGATTAATCACCATTAGGTTAACGGTTAACTTTAACAGTCAAATGAAATTTGTGTAACACAATTGGCGTTGACTCTCAATAAATTGAACTATTATTGTAATTATTTTAATTCCGTAATACAAATGAAAAAGTCGATAAAGTTGATATTTTCACCATATTAGCCTTTTTTACTTGGTTTAGGATACTTGTCATAGTTTCACTTGTAAATCTTAACAACGTTCTCTCTATGTAGACTGTAGAGCGGCATGGCTCTCTTAATTTACGAGACTTGTCGTTATATATATGCGTGTGACAGACGGTCTAACTGGCGATGATAAGGAAGAGAACCAACGACAGGAGCACCAACCGCGCGCAATGTTCGAGCTTATGGCGAACCTGCACAAGCTTAAGGCTGCTAATGCAAATTCATGCTTCTATACTAGTGAAAGGCTTCAATTCAAGTCCAGCAGCTCTAAGAGAGCTCATTTTCGCGAGTGCGATTGCAATTCCTGGCACCATAGATTACGCCCACCAACTGTTCGCTCAAATTACCGACCCGGACACTTTTATGTGCAACACCATGATGAGAGGAGCAGCTCAGAGCCAAAACCCACTGAGAACTGTTTCCGTGTATAACGTGATGGCGCGTTCTGGTGCAAAGCCTGATAATTTCACGTTTCCCTTCTTGGTCAAAGCTTGTACGAGGCTTCAGTGGAGGAAAATGGGTAGTTGTGCCCATGGGATGGTGGTGAGATTCGGGTTTGGAGGAAACAATTTTGTGAGGAACACGATTGTCTATTTTCATGCTAATTGCGGGGATTTAGGAGTAGCAAGATCGATTTTTGATAATATGGTGGAGAAGGATGTTGTTGCTTGCTCTGCCTTGATTGCAGGATATGCAAGGAGAGGGAACTTGAATGTCGCCAGGCAGCTGTTTGTTGAAATGCCAGTTAAAGATTTGGTGTCTTGGAATGTGATGATTACTGGGTATGCAAAGAGAGGGAAGATGGGTAGTGCGAGGGAGCTCTTTGAACAAGTCCCCAAGAGGGATGTGGTGACTTGGAACACTATGATCGCAGGGTATGTCAATGTTGGGCAGAATGACCAGGCTCTGAAGTTGTTTGAGGAGATGAGGAATGCTGGAGAACATCCGGACGAGGTTACAATGCTCAGCCTTCTATCAGCTTGTTCACAGTTAGGAGACTTGGAGACTGGAAAGAGTGTGCATTCTTCAATCTTGCAAGTGAGCAAGGGAGAGTTGGGTGTTTTACTTGGTAATGCTGTTATATCCATGTATGCTAAATGTGGCAGCATAAAAGTTGCAGTTGAAGCATTTCAAGGGATGAAAGACAAGGATGTTACTTCATGGAATTCAGTTATAGGAGGATTGGCTCGAAATGGGCATGCTGATGAATCAATCAGGTTGTTTGAAGAGATGCTGAGATTGGGAAAAATTACTCCAGACGAGATCACTTTTGTTCAAGTGTTGATTGCTTGTAATCATGCCGGGAAGGTTGATAAGGGGCGTAGTTATTTTGATCTGATGATAAATAGGTATGGTATAGTTCCAAATATGAAGCACTATGGGTGTATTGTCGACATGCTGGGGCGTGCAGGGTTATTGACAGAAGCATTTCAGTTCATTGACAAAATGAATGTTGAACCGAATGGCATTATTTGGAGGACCCTTCTTGGGGCTTGTGCATTGCATGGAGACATTGAACTTGGGAAGCGTGCAACCGAGAAATTAATGAAGCTAAGAAGAGATGAGAGTGGAGACTACGTGTTGCTTTCCAACATGTATGCTGCAGTAGGTGAGTGGGGTGGGTTTGAGAAGGTAAGGCAGGTAATGGATGATTATGGAGTGTGGAAAGAGCCTGGCTACAGCATTATGGAACCCGATAACAAAGCTTCTTGCAGTGTGGAAAGAGCCTGGCTACGTGATGATCATTAAGCTTCTATCTCCGCCAAGAAGCAGCCATGTTTCATAGAGTTGAGTGTCACAAAGTTCTTGCAGGTAAATGCAACAAAAACTCTTCAACTATTTAGAAGCAATTTATTTTGTTTGCAAGAGTGCAATTATTAAATTTGTTGGCAATGGAGAAGTGAACTCGACTTTTGTTATGCTTAATGAAATTTGTGAAGCTGAATTCATTGCGCTATAGTTCAATTGTTGTGTTCCAGCAGCTTCGACTATGGTTCATCTGAGTGTAAGTTGCTGGGAATAATTGGAAGTTTATGTCCAGTTAAATGCACAGATGCCATTGACTTGAGGACTGAATCCAGTGTGTATGCGAAACTATTAAATGTTCAGAAAGCAAAAGATGGAACATTCTAGCTGAAATGGAACATAAATTGGTAGTCCAAATAATGTCTTACTGCTTATGAAACTATCATCTCAATGAATTGTAACACATAAACTTGCACGCAGAGAAGGCAAGTTTCAAGAAAGTAGAAAAGCATAACCAATGCAGTCAAAATCTAGATTTTAAGTAAAATCGAAAACTGAGGTAGACAAACACAACTAATCCATATATTTTTCTTGTACATAATAGAAACACACAAATAAGAAACCCGAAACATTATAGATATCACTGTTAATTAATTGTTAAGAGTAGAAAATCACATAAGATCATTAGGATCAACATTAACATCGCTTACACATCATCGTCATCATCCCCAACCTCACTCTCATCGTTTTTATTTGTTTAAGGACTAATATCATTACTCTTATGATCACTTGAAGTACTTTCACCATTAACCATATTTCCTTGATTGCCATCATTTGGAAAAGATAACTCATTGATTGATGCATTCCCTTCTTAATTGATAAAAGGTCGGGTTAGTGGTGCTGAAGGATTGGGAGATGAACAAAAGCTTGCAATGGAGATTTGGATTATTGTGAGGGTGGTGGGAACAAACTACAAGCTAATTGGGAGGGTGGAAGATATTCGTTGATGGAAGGAGTTGGGCACCGACGTGCGAAAGAGGAAGATACGAGGAAGAGAATGAAAATAAATTGAGGGTTAACTATCAGGTTGGGGTTGTGTTGTTCATTATATTGGGTTGGGGAAAGTAAATTTGACTCGGTTCATGGGCATAACCCAAGAACCTTGACATCGTACAAAATCGTAGAAATCGTAGATTTCATGGATATTAGAGTTTTAAATCTGGATTTTATGGGATTTTAAGGTTCAAAGATTTTACAGTAAAATCAGGATCGGAACCCATAGGTAAGATCGTAAAATCGTAAGATTTTAAGATTAAAATCGGGATTTTGACTACATTGAGCATAACAACCTTTCACAAGCAGTAAATCTTCTTCATCACACTCACACAGCACATTACACAAAACAAACGTACAACCACAATTCATATTTGCATCTTGGAAAGTAAACGATGCTTGTTCTCTCTAATTTAGCGGCGAGCAAGGGCTGAAGCGGACAGCAGTATCAGGACTATGAACACGGTGACTCCAACATAAGATCCTATCAAGGATCCTGAGATGCGCTCGCAGAAGGAGTTGAACTGTTGGCAGATGGCTAGCCAGTTTGCCTTCGTATTCCCTCGGTGTGCCAAGTACACAATGGCTGCCCCAGCTGAAGACCCTGCTGTCAGTAAAGCCAGCATCCCCTACAATTTGGTAAACTCTCAGTACTCTTGCATTTCTACGAATCTATAAAACCAACTTAAGGTGTAGTATAATTACCGTATCAAATATGATAAGGATGATTCTACTGTTCTTTGCAGAGCTCCTCAGGATGTTGAAGATTGAAAGTGGAAGCGATAATAGAAAATAGGCGCTCACGGCAGCGTTTGCTACCACAAAGAACCTGGCCAGCAACCCAGAGGTCATCCAGATATGTTTATTCCCAGTTTAAGCGAACAGTGGAAATGGTCAAATACGATGAATAGATAGACGATAATATGCTTACGTGAATGTTGGAAGGTCATTGTACTCGGCCCTGAAACGAATGAACTGAGTGAAGAAGGGAAGAGTTTCGTTTGTGGTCGCCATCATAATTGCACTACTCAAGGTACCAATGAAGCCAACAAGCCTCAAGATGAAGTCTAGAATGGCAATCCCTCGTTTCACACCAGCTTTCTGCGCGGTATAGCCCTTTGGCTCACCAAGCACCACTGGAGCATCTGCCTTCATCTTGCTAGCTGATGGTCTCTTAAGGGTTTTCTTTAGAGGTTATAGGATTAAAGCAGGTGTTGTGTTAATGAAGTTTGAATGAATGTGCATGGTTGTGAAGACTTGGCATGGGTACTTATACAATTCACAGCAGCATACGTTGAGTGGAGATTATTGGAATGACATTTCGGCAATCCTTTTCTTTATTATCTTTTCCCTTTTGTGGAACAGTCTGACCTCAACAATAACTAAGCCAATTTAAGAACGAAAACTCTACTTTATAACGACTACAAGAGTTTCATATATCACAAAGATATGGGATCATCTGTTCAACTGCAGCATTAACAACTCCACTCCAACATAACCCATACCACCAAAAATAGGTAATCATTTTTAGCTACATCTATTTTCCAAAAAAGGTTTAAGTTCTGTGTTGTTTAGGTCAGGAATGGTATATTGAAATTCCCAAATTGAACAAATCCAAACACCTCCCCTACTTACTGAACCAACCAACCCCATTTGGTTCCAGGACACGGTTTGTACCCGGCAACTGCATCAGCTGGTAGTTGCTGAAATAAAACAAACGGGGCAGGAAAAGCTTCCAGGGAGAAGCTGATCTAACTAACATGTCAAAGTCTCTGGAATTAATATGCAGATATGGGATATTAGTTATCGAGCTATGGTCATTAACAGAGACTCAACTTATCAAACATTTACAGAGGTTTATTAATCCTATTAGAGTTGCTTCTAGTTCTGACAGGATGGCCACTGCCAAACAGAAGCCCAGTTAAGAACCCACCACTTGTCTTATCATTATCAGCCTCTTTCACCATGGAACTGGTGCTCAAGTTGCTGATCAAAGACCAGTGAGACTCAAAATCTGGATCATATCCACTTCTCTGCATCATTCCCATCACCTTGGAAGCATTTCGTAGATTGTTCTCTGAACGGTAACTCTCAATCACGCAAGAGTACATCTCTCTCCCAGGGATTTCTCCAGCTGCAAGCATGGCATGGAGAAGCTCTTCTGCTTCTGAGGCTCTTCCTTCCTGGCACAGCTTGTGAGCCAACAAACTCCATGTCTCAATGCTCGGCTTACCATCATCTCTATCCAACAACTCAGCATGGAAATCAAGAGCTTCGTTCACTTTATTGTGTTTGCAAAGACTATGAATTATGTAGTCGTAGCTCCTCGAGTTTGGGAGGTTTCTTTTTTTCAGCATTATGTTCAGAAGATCAATAGCTTTGCTTGTTCTTCCATAACAGCAAAATAGCTTGATTAGACGGTCATAATTAATGGTATCTGGAGCTAAACCTTTATCCACAACCCTATCCAGGAAATTCTCTGCTTCTTCGAACTTATTTTGGACAAGTAACTGCTCTGCAACTGCGTTTTGAAGGATGGAACCATGAACCCAGCCTTTTGATTCCATTTCTCGACTCAAGTCCAAGACCTTACTAGAATCGTCTTGCTTGAGTAGACAGGATACTAAGCTTCTCAAGCTGCTGGAGCTTGGCTGAAGGTCCATTGAAACCATGGCAGACATGTAGTAAATAGAGCTTGAAACATCTTTGCATTTGGCAAACCCATCTATAAGAAAGTTATAAGTGGCATCATTGAAGGGTAAGTGCTTTGCCTCCATTTCATTCAGAACGCTCCTTGTAAGCTCTCTGTTACCTGCTGAGAGTAGATAGAAAACTAGAATGTTATAGTAAATCACAAGGATATCAGACTCTGTCTCTCTTGCTGTTACTAGGTCCTTGATGTTTAATGCCATATCGTACCTACTCTCTCTACACATCAATCGGACCCAATTTCGATAGCTGGGTATTGAAAGGGTTAAACTTTTCCGCATCAAGATACCAAGCAACTCTTTGACTTTCCTCAGGTTACCTGCTTTGCAATATCCTTGGAAGAAAATTTCACAAATTTCTGGATTTGGAAGTAACCCTTTTGACAGTATACCCTGTAGCAGACTGGCTGCTTCTTTAACCTTTCCTCTCACACCGAATCTTCTATGTAGAGCTCCGACAAAAGAAAATGAAGAGGATGAATCTTTTCCTAGTTCAGTCTCTTCCAGTAAATTAGCTTTCGGAACACTAACAATACACAGCTGAGGAATCAGAATAACAGTAACATCCGAGCCGAGGACCAAGCTTCTAGCTAAAGCATGGTTGAATATTTTGTACGCATCTGCATATTTCCTCTCTTTGTATATCCCTGCTACAAGATTACTGTAAGTAGTGTCATCCACAATAAATCCATGTTTCTCTAGCTCTTCCAAAACCAAATAAGCAATTGATGCCAAGCCGGTAACTGAAAGCTTCTCCAGGAAAATACGATAAATTTCTGGCCTCGAGTTAGGATGCAAGACTAACAATTTTTCTAGAAGCTCTACTGCTTCCATCAGCATTCCCCGGTAGCCGATACCTTCAATAATACGGCTGAAGTCCTTCAACTGTGGCAGCCATTTGCTGTTCTGAGCAATATCCCAGCACTCATGCAGATTATCAGACAAATTTCCCTTCTTGCATAATGCAGTAATCAGAGCAGTAAAGCTTGAACTGTCAATCTTCATATTTCTTTGAATCATTTGACCAAAAATTATCCTTGCTGTCTCTGCCAATCCAATTTTACAGTATGCCTGAACAAGATAATTGAGGACGTCTTCATTTAGCAGATTTGAAAACTTGGGCACTTTTTCAATGAGGAAGTTGCACAATCTTATTTGGGATCGGGATCCACAAAGCCCCTTTACCAATCTAGTAAAGACATCTGGAGTTGGCTCCTGGCCCCATCGAACCATTTCATCTACAATGGAGAAAGCATCTCTGAAGTTTCCATCATCAAGTTCTTCCCTTAAAAGCACATTGAAATCAGGAATCAGGGAATCTTCCAGGATTTGCTTGACTTTGTTTCTAAACTCCTTTATATCTGCATCCAAATACAGTCCATTTCCAAGTTGGTCGAGAAATTCTGTCTTCAGAAACTCGACCCATTGTCCCTTTTACACCTCACAGAGGCTGGATTGAATCCCAAGATAAGAAAAGCTTTAGAAAGTGGGTCTTCAATCGGAGATGGGGCAACTAAGCCGATCTCCCTCATCTTATGAATTATTTTCTTTGCTTCTTCAAATTGTCTAGCTTTAAAGTATCCCGCAAGGAGAATTCTAAAAGTTGATAATCCAGGAGTTATTCCAGAATCCATCATCTCATCAAGAATAATGCCGGCTTGATCCCACATGCCCCCTTCAGCATACCACCAATAAGAGCATTGTAAGACCAAGTCCCAGGTTTTAAACCTCTTGAAACCATCTCAGAAAAATGCAAGAAAGCATCCCTTAAATTCCTTTCCTTGCAGCATTGACCGATCAAAATCCCAAAACTTTTATCATCAGGAATGAAGCCCAGCTGCTCCATTTCGAGCCTAAACAAATTTGCACTCTCAGCATCGAAATTGTGGCACAAGCTCCATATAATTTTGTTCCCTGTCAGAACACTTGGTGCACACTTCATCTTGGCGAAGAACTGGAGAGAATCTTCATAGTCATGTTTGGAACAATAGCCACAAGCTATCTCATTCACAAGGAAGCTGCTAGGATTAAATCCTAAACCCATTGCCTTCTTCAAAAGCCTCCTTGCCTCCTTAATCATTCCATCCACACAAAGTAATCTACAAACGTTCTCCAAACCAGCATTCAACCCATCATCTAAAACAACCTGAAGTTCGACCATGTCTACACACACCTGAAAAGCCAATTCGCTTCTCTTCATCCTCACCAAAAGATTCAAAAGACCATGATAACACATTGATGATGGGACCAAGCCTTGCTCCCTCATCTTCTCATACACTAAACCAGCTCTCTCTGGCTTACTAGCTTCAACATACCCTCTAAGCAACCCATCATAAATCTCATTCCCATCCAACGAAATCCCTTGTCTCTCCACTTCCAAAAGCAACAACTGGACCTCTGTAAACATCCCAGACTGAAGGAGTAAAGAGGCCATTGCCTCACAAGACTTGGGCAAGTGCTTAAACCATATACCCTGCTTACTCGCAAAATTGAATATCCCCCACAAAGATTCAACCTTTTCCTTCTTAACATTAACCATTCGAGATTCAAATTGAAAACCCAGCAATATTTCAAGCACATGTTCGGGTTGCAAACAATGGTCTCGACGAAACCTACGCGCGACATCAGGTACTGTATCGGAGATATCCCAAAGTAGGTGCTTGACAGAAGGGCCAGAGCTTAAGTTGTGAACTTTACCTTTATTACTGTTGGGGAATAGAGAAGAAGCCTTGCAGATTACCGATTGCGCAATGCCAACACAGTCTATATCCGAAGGAGCAGTGGCGGAGAAGTTGGATTTGGCAGAGACGAGAAGTTTAAGTAGTGAGAATCGTCGGGGTTTTCTTATGGAATTGCCAGTGCGAATAATTCGGAGCATGTGAATGTGAGTGCCAACAGGAGATACTGAAGATCGCCAGCCAATTCTCAGTTCTTCTCACACTCAACTCAAGTCCTGTTTTCTTATTCCATCGAACTTGCTTCTGTTAATCTGTTTCGACCTTTCTGTATCTTTCAGTTTGATGCAATTCTTCATTCAGCCCCTCTACTATGTTTTCATAATTCATACCAAACAAGTCCATCTACCAAGTCTTTTTTCAGTTTTTGCTATTATAGTGATCAACCTTATCAAAACAGAAATATTTGGATGATTGTTATTCGGTTTTCAATGATTTGATTGACCTGAATCAAATTAACTATGTCTTTTACCAAATAAATCTATTTACCAAGTTTTTTTTTGTTATTTATACAATGATTTGATTGACCTGAATCAAATCAAAAAATATTATTGTATAATTATGATTCGATTTGATATGATTGTGGTCCTCTTTACACCTAAAATATTTTTGGCCTAAATTCAATGCCGTAATAATGAGTCTCGGCATTTAATTCGATATCGCATGGCCAAAACGATGTCGTTTGGAGTCAAGCAATACCGCGGAGAATTTAAGCGAGACCGCGAAGAGGCTCGGCGGTACCGTGGTACTTGAAACGACATTGGTTGCAGACCATGTGTGAGTCATGCGCAGGACATGTGTTGCTGTTGGACAAGGAATGTTTTTTATTCTATTTTTCCTTGTCGGAGGAGGAGAGTAACGTACAGCACCGTTTGGAGTTAAGCAATGATGCGAAGAGATAAAACGGTGCCGCGAACCTCAAAGCTCAACGGCACCGCGACAAGCGGCACTGCGAGACTGGGAAACGGTGTCGCTGTACTAGCAAACGACAGTGTTTAAAATAACAAACAATGTCGCGAGAGGAAAAACAAACGGAGTCGTTGTGGCGCTAATGATGTCGTTGGCCATGGCTAGTGATGGACGGATTAATTAATTAATATTTTAATGACTGTTTAGGACGGTGTCGTTTAGTTGAAAATGATGCCGCAAGAGGAAAGAAACGACACAACGGATTTAAAAACGATGTCGCGAGTAGGCCAAACGATGCCGCAATGGGTAAAACGACAGTGTTAAATTTAAAACGGCATCGTGAAGTTCGACAGCATCACAGAACTAAAAAAAGATGTTGTTTGAATAGAAAACAACGTCGCAGTGGCGAGAGTTCAGCAATTGCGGATTTTTGGCTCAGTGTCGTTTTGGCCAAGTTTCGGCGTGTCCAAGCAGTTTCGCACTCGTGGGAGTTACGCAGCAAGGAGGAAGTTACCTGCACGGTTGACAGGAAGACGTGGGAGACAAAGGCGCAAAGGCAGTTACTACGACGGGGAGGAGAGCGAAGTATAAAGATTGGGAAGAGAGAGAGAAGTTTGGGACGGCAAAATCAAATCTCAAACTGCACCGTCGGAGATCTATCAGTTTTTCTCCGTAGTTTCGTAGAACCGCTCTGTCAAAGACCTCCTTTGCAGAGTCGTAGTAGTTGTAGTCGTAGTTGCGGAGCTCTCCAGAGGAACCTCCATAGGAGTAGAGGTAACGTAACTTAGAACTCCTGGTTCGATTTTCTAGTTATTCGCCGAACACCCTCGTTCGAACGTAGTTTGGAGAGGTGGTGAACCGAATAATGGTTGTTTGATTAGAAGTCAAAGGTGTATCGATCAAATCAACATCGCCGACATCGGTGGTGGATATTTGACGGTTGTCCTGATTTCTGCTTTAATCGATCAAATCAACGGCGCCGACATTCGGCGGCGGATATTTGACGGTTTTGCTGACTGTGTGTTTGTGCTTACTTGAAAACAGTGCGCATTGAACACACGAGTTTCGCCAACGAAACAGGTCCTCAATTTACATTTCCCCAAGTTTCATCTTTATAAGGCTATTTTCATATTGAAGTGGACTATTGCACACCTCAGCCTACTATGATTTGTAATATTCTTCATTATAACGTTTTTATTATGCTTTCATTGAACCGTTCAAGTCACCAAAATCTAATTTAGATGTGTGAAAAAGAGATGATTTAGCATATTAGTTAGGACATGCTAAAATGGCAAGTCGCAATTTACAATTGTCATGTGCATGCTAGACAACTACTTACAAATTTTTTACTACAAACAGTTGTTTAAAAAAAATACAAAATACACGATCGAACATTATAAATCACACTTGACTAGAACGTCCTATTCCAATGAACGTCAATACCGTAGATGGGTTTGTTGGGTATTACACTAAACATTCAAAGCTGACCAGTGATTAGTTTCTAATATAAATGGAACTATGGAAGTATTATAATAAATGCAATTAACGAATAAACTATTTAAACTAAGTGAGTTCATTCAACCTTTCGGGGAAGCCATGGGGCGCCGGCAAAGGATCAGTTGACTTCCATTATCATCGGCATATCGAGTTGTTACATTTTCGTCAATGGTTAATTTACTACATACATACATGGGTTCTGAAACCTGAAAATAGATCTATCCATCCCTCTATCTCTCTACCTATCCCCATTATTAGCTTGTGAAAAAAGCTTGTAAGCTTTGAAGTCAAAGAGGGCAGGAATCAAGGAGGATGAACGAGAAGATGACCGCGGCGGTGATCGGAGTGATAGGGGCGGTGATGACGCTGGGAGCTTATTCGCAGAGCATGGTGTCCCCAAGCAGCTGCATCGGAGCTGCTCTTTGTGTTCTCATGTATGGCTTGCTTGTCGGTGAAGGCTTCACCCCTAATCCTCTCGAAACCAAGTCCATCGACGACTCAGCAATAACAACCTCCGTCGTCAAACCCAAGGCTAACTGATCTCATTGCTTTTGCTAAGTCATACGTTAATCGTTGTCTCTTCTTTACTAATTACTTCGCCTGTACTATGCATGACAAGTCTCTGTTTATTAGTTTCCAACGGCCTTCTGTTAAACTTCCAATTTGCTTCCATATTTCCTGCTTGGTGTATTGCTGCAATCCTTAGAAGATGGATGGGATCGTCTTTGTAGCATCCAATTTTCAGCTTCGTGACTTATTGACTTGGACAATGGAGTCCTTGATCTCCTGCAAGATCAAAATCAGTATAGTGTCCTTCAGTAAGATATATATATATACGAGCAACAGATTAAGAGGCGCTGAGTGCCGTACGTACGTGCCTATGTAAGCATGAAAACAGAGGATCTGCGTTGTTTGTTTGTTCGTTCCTGTTTAGGCATGGATGAATGATATGCAGATGGCAGCAATGTAATGATTATAAATCGAGGAGTATGAACGGCCATCGGAGAAACTAGCATGAGAGAACAAGGGAGTGGCGTAGCCAGAAATGGCTTGCCGTCCGGTCTTCATTTCCCGACTAATGCATATTATGATATATATGTACTGCTGGCAAGTCATCCTTGGCTGCACCACATGGATAAAACTCCCTCATTCCCACATGCAAGCATCTACGATGATGATGATGATTGGAAGCAAAAACGGGTAGAGGGCCATTTAGACGAATGAACGTGTATGTGCATGAATGGTTACCTTCAGCTTAGCTCAGCTCAGTCTACTTATAAGGAAGCCAAACCGATTGCCCGAAATGCTCTCTTCTCTTCTCTTCTCTTCTGGTTGGTCTTCATTTATGAAAACTGTGGAAAGAGAAAGAGCTAATAAGACAGTTGATACAGTGGAAGGAAGACAGAGAGACATTAATGTTGGAGGGACTTTCCTTTTCTGTAACAGTAGGCTTCTTAAGATTGGCGTCATTTGTCCATTAGGATTTGCCCCCTGGAAGCTGTGGAGGGCTCATATAAAAGCATAAGCATCAACTTTTGACGTAGAAGTGGCAGTTCCCAGCCTTCTGGAGTAGCAGGCACTTACTATCTTACATCAACACAGTCGAGCTATAGCTCAAAAGTAAAGACTGTGAAATGAAAGGGCCTCGAAGGCAAATCACCATCTCAAACTTCCATTTATTGTTGTCTCTGTGCCAAATCCTTTCATTTTGAGGATTGTTACCAAATTCGTCAAATCATAGGTAGGGGTATGGCCATTGAGCGAGCAGCTATCTGGATTTCTAGTTTTCTACAGTCCTCTTGAGGACAAGTCGACATGTAGTAACATATGATTCGAGAAGAAATAGCTAATGAAGGTATTCAAATAAGACGGGAGGCTTCAATTGATCATTTACATAAAATTAGTCAAGAACTAAGATAACGAAAAACGACGACTAGTGAAAGAAGTGTTGAACATCTGCTTTCCCACACACAAAAGAAGAGGTGCGTACAGCAGAGAGTTAGGTGGCCAAATTTACTCTTCAATAGGCAGCCCTGCGTACACATATAAAGCCTATGAATGACAGACTGACCGACTGTATTTCTAGACCAGCTGGACGGCTGGATATTGGCAGCAAGTGCAACTACACCTCTAGTGTTGTTACACATACACCATGTACTAAGTACTAAGACTCATGGTAACTCGCTTTCACTTCGACCTCGAAAGCAAGTCCATATCTACTACAGCAGTTGATGCCTGCAAATTGGAACTCATCCCTCTAACAAAGACAAGAGAGAGATCAACGGACCTAGTTGAGTAGTCCTCCTCAGTCCTCAGCTTTCTCATATTCCTTGTTATTTATAAGACTCGTCTGATACCAACGACCAAGCATCCAAAAAGGGATCCACCTTCGGAGCAAGCTATCTCACACCCCCCAAGCCTCCTATATAATGATGTTCAAGTCCTCCGTCATGGGAGAGAAAAAGCAAAGAGCAATGAAATACCCATAAACAACTCCACACCATCCTTCCATTCTTTGTCTGAAGCGAGAGAAGGTTGTTATCTACTACCCCTTCGACTTGGAAATTTCAGCATGCATGTATATATCCAGATAACTGGAGACGTCATTAAAACCTGCAAACACACACTCATGGCAGTAAACCAAAATCCAAAAAACTACAGCAGAACAAGTCATGCACAGTTTTCATGCTGTGAACGTCCTGTTCAGGACTTCAGTCATTCTGCACTGATTGACGTAAAAAAAGGTACTTCCCTTACAAAGGATAAGAGAAGATTTCCTCCCGTCTGGAATGGCCAAAACCTGCTCAAGGTACCCAAATATCAGGTAACTGGCATATAATGATATGAACCATGGATCTAAGGAAACACAAAAACCTCCAACCGCAGATCAATAACAACTATCAAATCCCCAGGCTTGCTAAATAACGTTCAGCAATGTGATACAACATGCCTTTCTCCATTGAGTCATCAACTTCCCCTGAAATAACCAAACATAATCCATGCAAGTAACCAAAAAAACCTACAGGCATGATCATATTATTCCATCTGATGGAGCAACTAAATGCACCTACAACCCCCAGGTTGTCTAGTGCTAGAGTGTTGCTATTACCAACGGGAACTTTAACCAGAATACATTACAACAAACCACTCGTTAGTATCAGATGAACAAATTCTCCATACCAAACCAAACTTCAGTTCATAGACAAACTTCCTAGTTAAATGAAGAAGACTAGCTTACTGAATGATTATGAAGATGAAAGGAAGGATCCATTCTGCAATTCAAGAAAACATTAGATTTACATTGTACTCATAGTAGCAGAACAGTGTACGGGGTAATCCAGCCTATTCAAAGGCCTCGAGGGAATCAGAGGGACGGTCTAGTGCGGTAGAAACAGAGTGCTTTGGAGTACAAGAGCCAAAATGAATAGACTTAGAAGCAACAGGGTTCCAAGATTAAAAACGAACAGTTTGAAAGCAAAAGCAACAGAGGTAAGGCAACTACAGGTTCTTGGAAGCACATCACATATAGCTTGGTTTGTTGTCAGGGAGAAGGCAGATTTGATAAGTTTCAGGATCTTCAACTATGTTTGGTTCCTCTAGGGGAGATCGTCAAGGGCAATGTCCGGGGTCTTCCAGCTTAAGGCTGTAGGCTTCATCAAAAGAGGAAGTAGGTCTGGCATCAGGCTTCAGGATCTCAGCTGTTGTTATGGGACGGAAAAAGGCAAGCACGGTAACATATGAGCATCAGAATCCTCGAACGGTCAACACATGATAGGTTGACCAAATGGAACTAGGGGGTGCTAGGAGTCTGATTGGCCAATATCATAAGAAATGAGAACTGCTTTCATAGAAAAAGGGGATTAAAAAGAAAAGGAGAATCAATTCTACCTCCATGTGGCTATTGTTGAATTCTAGTAATGGTTTCTACGCCGTGCTGTCGGGACCTGGTTAGAATACCTGGTAAACAAGAAGTAACCTTCAGGATATATATTCATTTGCCTATGGTTGGAGTAAAAGAATGGAGAACGCAAAAGCAGGGTTGGTGAACACCAATGAATATTGGGAAAAGAAATCATCAAGGATGAAGTGGAAGATTATGGCTCTACTAAGCCTAGCTGTTGCCTCTCATGATGAAGTTTGTGACAGGAGCTTTTAGAGAAATTCAATTAATGGATCAAAATGGGCAAAAGAATATTCTCCTTACATATAAAAGATAACATTCTATACTACAAACAAGTTCTCCTGAATGGCTCCAAATGCTCTGGGTTAATGTTGTAAATCTAGAGACCAAGTTTTCTAGTGTTGGGTCTAGCTAGGCTTCTAGAGCAGAAAAGCTCCACGAAAAGCCAAGCCAAACACATGCTGCAAGAGCATATTCTAGGTCAGAAACTACAGAGCTTTATAATTCCAACGTCAAATCTTACCCAGAAGTGCTTGCACGTGCAGACGAATAACTCCCATAGGGTCCATATGGACCACCACTACCACCGATCTACAAGAAACATTAAAAGAGTAACAAATGATCACATGGGTACATAAATATCAATCACACGGAAAAGAATCAATGTAAAATAGAATGGTTAGATAGCTACAAGTATAAATGACACAAGATACCTGTGAATTACTGTAACTACCATATGTGTCACTGGCAGGATAATCACTCAAGGCATAACCACCAGAATAAGTATGTCCGCGTCCAACCCGTCTACTATCTCTGGCATCATAATGAAAGTCATCTGACACATCAGTTGAAACAGGGACATAGGGTAGCACTGGCAAATAAGCAGAGGCTGCACCACGATCTCGGTCAAATACATTGTCCCTTAACCTCCGGCTTACTTCTATGAGTGCATCCTTGGCGACATCAAGTTCCCCAGAGATCTGTTCATGAGCATATAACCAAATTCATAATTAGCAGGTTCAGTAAAAACCGAAACTAAAATAATACCCCAAATACAGATCGGAAAAACTCTTCCATGCATTATTACCTGTACCATCTCATCATCATCCGCTGCAACTTTAGGAACATTGCCCTTTCCAAGGATACGTATGTTAGCATTTGTAACATTCCTCATCTCATTGATAATAGCTCCGCCCTTACCGAGAAGGCATCCAATTTGTGAAGAAGGTACAAGCAGCCGGGTTGTAAATGAGAGAAGTCCGGAATCTCTCTCGGTTTTCTCACTACATCTGGGTTGCAACCGCAAGGCTGCTTCAATTGTCGGAGAATGTTGCTCATCAAACACCTAAAGTAAATATTGCCCAATGAGCTATTTTATAAAACAGTAAAAAGAGTCGAAAAAATCTATCAAGGAATTTGAATAAATGAATCATACAACTTAAATAAAACACATTAAAAAAACAATGAAGTGAATTATATTTTCGATTCTGAACTTTTGTGTACTCTTTTATCATTTCTTTTCCTTTCCAATTTTCAAACAGATTGGTTAATTACACTTAAGATTGTCCATTACAAATAAAGGTGAATATATTCAAGCTTCCTGACAGGCGAATACTTCAAATATGAAATTCATTACTAAGGAAAGTCTAAGATAACACTAAGTTGTCATACAACTGCTATTTTTTTTATGAAGATCAAAAGACTGCTATTTTTCTCAATAGAAAAAGATCATACAAACTTAAGGTATAAGATGCTATTTTAACACTTGACTAGAATCAAACATCTCTTAAAAGCATATGAATAGATATCCTGTCCTTCATTATATTTAACAACTAAAACTGAAAGTAGCCATAAGAGGATATCAGTCTTATACCTCCCTGGCTGAAATTGCTATCAAGCAATCATCAGCAGCTGAACTATGAACCTTTATACCGGCTCCAGTCTCTTGTCTAATTTGATTAATGATGGCACCACCTTTTCCAATCACGGCACCTATATAACCACTTGGACAAACCATACGAAGAGAAAATTCTCTAGGTGGAAGTTCCTCTCTGGGTGTCGAGTACAAGGACCGCGACCAATCTCTAGCATCACTTTTATATCCTCCATAAGGACTCATCAATGGAGCCATTCCAACAATTGGTGCCCCACCAGTAGGACCAATCAGTGAACCACCAGAAGGATACATGTTGGGGACAGCAGAAACCAGCAAGTGCTGAGACCGTGATGGATTTTCATGAAGGCGAGCAGCAATCTGATATAGTGCCGTTTTTACTGTTCCAGCTTCACCAGAAATCTAAGACCCACCAAAGGGTAACAATCAGATACCAGACTTAACAGCTTACCATATAGGAAAACAATCGACAAAGTATGACTACAGAAGATTCGAGCAAAAAGAGAGAAAAACATAAGCCTATTCGGGTTGTTGATCCATCATACCTGTACAAGTTCATCAGAGCTCAGTGCACAGAGTGGCAAATGGTCGTCCTTCAAAATGCGGATCTGTGTGCGAGTTTCAGTACGGATACTCTGCACAATCTGCCCACCTCTCCCGATAATGCAGCCTATCTGATCAGATGGAACAAGAAGCCTCGCAGTCACTTGCTGACCGCCACCTTCTTCAGAGTCTTCATCGACACGCAAATCTTCCCCAACAACTCTATCGTGCACCCTGAATAGAGCATCCTGAGCCGGTGAGATCTTATCATCACCATCTGCATATGGATTAGTCTCGTCACTAGAGCTGTAGATGGTAACCACGCGATCATCACACCCGGGTATGGTGTCACCAATTCTAATCTTGGCGTTGGTGTCTAACCTCAACTGTTTGACAATTTCACCTCCCTTCCCAATGATCGTTCCAATCCTTTTACCGGGGCACAAATACCGGTAAACAGTATCACGAGGGTCAATGACCAAAGGGTCTCTATCTTCACCTGAATTTCTTCTCTTGTTTCTTCCATCATCATAATCCGAGTGAGAATGAGACCGCTTTCCGTAACTGTTTCTCTGACCAGCCATTTCAGCTAAAAGATACGGTATCTGCAACCAATGACGTTCATCAACCATCGTCATATAGCACAAGGAAGTATAAATCAGCCAAGCAAGTTAGAACTAATCGAACAAAGGTGAATGACGCAGCATACTTCTAGAATATAAGCTCTGCAAGCACTGAATTTGGAAAGGAAAATACCCATAGATGCCAAGCTCAAGCCTAATTCTAACTTCGGCAAGAAGAAGGTCAAAGATGCGTTCGAGAGATGAGAGCAACAACGCGGGAAAAAGAAACGATTAACAGAGAGAACGAAACCAGGGTGTTAGTGCTTGATTAGACTGGCCACGGTACCTAAATTCAATATTCCGCTGGCCTAAACGATTCTGGCCAAAATCTGCTCCCCTTCACGATGAGTGTTTCGAAGAAGAAGAAGAAGAAGAAGAAGAAGATCTCTAGGGTTTACGCGGGCGGTCTGTTTCTTCATTTTCATCAAAAGGCTTTAAGTTTTTTCCCCCCCCGAAGTTAATGGCTTTATTAATTTACGTTATTTATGTAATATTAACAAGTGGAAAAAACTGCTGTAAAAAAGAAAAAACAAGTGGAAAAAACTTGCAATCTGAGGTACAAATACTCTCCTTCAAGAAACAAAAAAATTGCATGAGTGCATTTTTTTTCTTTGCATTGTAAAATACTTATCGTATTTTAAGTTGTGAATAAAAAACAGTGTCCATTAAACCGTACCGTACCGGCGGTTCAACCACGAAATACCAGTATCGGAGGCTAAACTGATATGCGACATTTACCGGTATAACGGTTGAACTACGGTTAAACCACGATTTTACCATAAAATACGCTACCGCTGACTTTCCCGATACGGTCTCCGGTACGGTTTCATGGACCATGATAAAAAATGAGTTCAACAATTTCAATTTAAACCGTTTCAATAATCTTCAATGAAAAATTAGACTGTTCAAACATTCAAGTGAAGTGATAGTTTATTTCAAATCAAGCATTTACGAATTTTAGTACAAAAAATATATATTCTAAAAATCTCATAAAAACAATATGTGCATATGTATTGAACAATCATAAAACATAATTTACATGTTGTTGACAATTTGATGACTTATCCCATTTGCAACCGCATAGATTACAAATTTATAAATCATGAAACTAGAATTCGGGCATTATCACGATCGAACAATGGCAACACAGATGTATAATTTACATGAATAGCTTTATATTTGATGCTATTTATAATGTGATAGGAAAAACAATTTCAATTACACATTTTATTATGTATTAAATTATTAAGTTTCCTACAAAAATTCGACCTTCTATATTAGTCGTCAAATTGAGTACAAATTTAAAGACATTTTTTTTGTAAAAATTATATAAATATTTTTTAAGTCGTTGTAAAATATTTAAGACAAAATGCTTTAAAATGAGATATTTTGCATAATTATTTCGTTAGGAACGAAAAGAAAGTGAATTTTGTTTGGTTCACGATCAAAATGACGTTACTGTTTCCTATCAAAAAAAGAATGACGTTACTGTTAATTTTATTGAGATTATGTACCCAAATGAGCTAAAATTTTAAATTTCAGTCACAAATCAGTGAGTCACAACTCAAACTTTACAGAACAGGCTCGGAAAGACGGAAACGTAAGACTGCCAACCGCTCGGGCCGTAAAGTCCAATCCCGAATATCTTCTTTCTCTTCCGCACCCCAGAGACGTTTCTCTCTCTAAAGCCCTCTTCTTCGCCTTTCATTCTCTGCACGCGCCAGCCCTAAATCCTGCGAGTCTGCTTCATATGTCAACATCCGGACCTCCACAATTCCGATACACGCAGACCCCATCCAAGGTTTTGCATCTCCGCAACCTGCCATGGGAGTGCTCGGAGGAAGAGCTGGTCGAGCTCTGCAAACCATTTGGGAAGATCGTCAACACCAAGATCAATGTTGGCGCCAATCGCAATCAGGCCTTTGTCGAATTCGTAAGCTTCCCTTTTCACCTCTGCATATATACGCTGTTCAGTTTCGTTTTCCTGCTCTAATTTCTGCTCGTTCTTTGATTATTATCTATTTGCTTGTTTGGTGCTACTGTAAACAGAATAACACCAGGAAACGCTATTTCCTTTTCTTTTCCACATGAGCTTAGTGTAGCGCTTATAAGCTTTTAGTGGGTCACTTCGGAATGTTTTATTTCATGGTAATGTCCTGTGGTTGAGAAGTTGATTGATTTGGGATGTCATTGCTTGCAGCCCGACCTAAATCAGGCAATTCAAATGGTTTCCTACTATGCATCATCATCTGAGCCGGCACAAGTTCGTGGTAAAACTGTGTATATACAGTACTCGAACAGACACGAGATTGTCAACAACAAGAGTCCAGGCGATAATCCCGGTAATGTATTACTGGTGACTATGGAAGGGGTAGAAGCTGGCGATGTCAGCATTGATGTTATTCACTTGGTAAGTTTACTGTTTCAAAACCTACGTACAGTTTTCGGTTAATGATTAGCTGTCCTGAGGTAGGCTGAAGGTACAAGAATGGATTTCAGTTCAAAGGAGGAATTGAGTATAGAATAATTTATAATTGGGTTTCCGAGCTTGGAGGCCATAGTCACATGTTCAGAGAAGCACTTAAGTGAACTCGATGGGGGTGCTGGCATTGTTATATAACTTGTAAAGGAACATTTTCGGTTGAATGTCTTTGGTCTCTTCATTTGGCCGAAAGGAGAAACATAATAGTAGCAATGAACTTTCAGCTGGGTCTGGGAACGATATAGGCTTTAAAACAGGAATGTATCCAGTGTTGTAGTGGCATGTAGGATAGTGACGTTCTGATGATAATTGCAATTCACATGGGAGAGATGTGGAAAGAAAAATGAGAAAAATGTAGAGGCTTAGGGGTCCAGCACTAATGAATTCCATGCAGAAAAAGCTATTTTGCTTGTTCAGCGTGGAAGAGGAACGATTGAGAATGTAATTCCCTACCATCTAAACAACATATACCGTGCCTTGTTGCAAGGAGTGATTAATATGATGTCCATATGGTTATTGTTGTGGTTATCTTTTCCATTCTATCCCCATAGCCTCTCCTTTCTTTTTTTCTCCCTGAAGCAGTCTGCAATACCTTCCACTGTACATAGAGTTGTAGGTATGTAAATACATTGATATATGAGCCAAAACTGAAAATGTCCGGTTGAGTATTAGGAATTGATATTCGGTTTTGTCCAAAAAAGGCTCTTGTTTGGTGAAGAATGGCTTCTTCATGGTTGTTCTCTTTGTCTTAATCTGAATAATTCATGTGCTTTCTTTGTCAATATGAAATATGAATTATACTGGAATCAGTTTTTATCCAAATCAGGTTGGCCTCTTATTTAGATTCTTCTGTTGGAGACAGTTTGGAAATATTTCTTGTACGTCATACTCCATTCTATGCTCTGTCTTGACGAATACATGTTCAGGTGTCATTCTACACTTATTACTTATCTATCTGGATTTTACTGGTCATTTATTAGCGTCCTCATTGCTCTTTGCTATATTTCACATATTGGTGCTATTTTTACTTATTGTTATCCCTAACTTACTATATTTCAGGTATTTTCGGCTTTTGGCTTTGTGCACAAAATTGCTACCTTTGAAAAAGCAGCTGGCTTTCAGGTTAAGTCCCACAAATTTCTTCTTTTGTGATATGATTTTTATCATCTGAAAAATAACCGTCTTACTCGATTTGTTGCCAGGCTTTAATTCAATTCACTGATTCGGAGACAGCTTCTTCGGCAAGGAATGCATTAGATGGCAGAAGTATACCAAGGCATGTTTTCCTTCTTCCATTCCTACAATCATCACTAAACTGCGGCTTTTTTGCCCTAGTATAATCTTTTTCATTTTCCGGACTCTGCCTTGTCCTTGAAGTCATTTGGCTTCTCATGTCAATTTGCAGATACTTGCTGCCAGAACATGTTGGTTCATGTAACTTGAGAATCTCATACTCTGCCCACACTGATCTTAATATTAAGTTCCAGTCTCACAGAAGCAGGTAATAGCAACTGAAGAAACCAATACCTGGAATTTTTATGCTTTACTTGATTTATGTTGCCTGAATATTTCCTTATTGTTCTTCTGCATCATTACGGGAAATTTGGAACTTTGCTAATTGGTATGTGTGCTTTTGTCATCTAGGGGGTTAGTGAAGCTTTGTAGCAGGCACACAGATGTGTTTTCATGGCAACTTAGTAATTTCCTACTTCTTTGTTTGTATCTCTTGGATGTGATCAATATTGCTGTGGCTATTACTGCTTCTGAGATACTTGAAACTTAGTAATCACTTCTTTAGAGAAATTAGTTTAATCATTTATAGAAAGTATTACTTTGCCTTTATGGAATGTTTCAATCAAAATCTGTAATGGTTATTTTTTATATCGTGATTGAAATGCTACCTTGTCATAATTGTTCCACTGGTTAATGGAATGAGTTAGTTTTGGCTTAAGAAGCTGCTACCTAGGCAGTTGCAAGTGTGTATATAATTCTTTTTCTAATAACGAATAAAGAGCGTGTCAAGAACCTAAGGCCCACCTAGGGGTAAGCCAGGAAACTCATGTTCTTCCCTGCTGAAGAGTGAGTACTGTTGAACTTCTCTTGCTGCAATTCTATGAAAGTAGATGTCCTTTTCCAGGATATAATTTATCAATTAACATACCAGACGTACTCACTTACTCTAGTGTTCATGATAGCATTATCCAGCCAATTGAAAAGCCACAAAGCTAGCAATAATGTATACTATATGATTTCGGCTACACTGCTGAGTTAACTATATCTTCAATGTTTGTGTGATACATGTGTCTTTCATGCTCTGCAGGGACTATACAAATCCATACTTGCCTGTGAATCCTACTGCCATTGATGGGTCTCTGCAGGTAACTCACGGCAATCACTTTAGTAGGATTTATAGCTTCTTTTTAGCATAGCATGTAACAAGCAGTCATCTTCAGCTTGCTGTAGGCCCGGATGGAAGGAAGAAAGAACCTGAGAGTAATGTTCTACTTGCATCAATAGAGAATATGCAGTATGCTGTTACTGTGGATGTTCTTCATACGGTACAGAACCTCCTTTTGAAATCTAGGATATTTCTTAATATAAAATTTCCCTCAGAACCTGAATTCAAAGCACTGGCTGGTTTATTATTGTAGGTGTTTTCAGCTTTTGGTAACGTGCAGAAGATTGCAATATTTGAGAAGAATGGCAGTACTCAGGCGCTAATTCAGTATCCTGGTATCACATCACTCGGCTAAACAGAATTTGCTTATCTAATCTGAATCGCTTCTTCTTTCATCTATTCTCCTAGTTTTAGTTCATTCTGGGATTAGATGAGAACCCATGCATTCAATTATAAAACCTTCCTGGTTCATTGTCATGTAGGTGCGTTTTGTGAACGCTCCTTTTCTATTCTGTGCTCTAAAGGAATGATGATAACACTTCACTTGAACAAGTTTTTGGTAAACGAGGTTGACTGGTTAAGAAAAAAACTACTCTCTTACCACATTGGTGGTTGGGTATAATGTGAAGATGAACACTGCTCAACAACTGCCTTAGGCTCTTCTTTGCATGGGATGTTTTCTGCCTTCACTGATATTGCCCCTGCCATATTAAACTCCGAAATGTTTACTTTCTTTCTTGCAGATATTGCAACGGCATCTGTAGCGAAGGAAGCTTTAGAGGGACACTGCATTTATGATGGTGGCTATTGTAAGCTTCATCTATCATACTCTCGTCATACTGATCTCAATGTAAAGGTATAAAATATATGCTTTTGAGTTAATATTCATGGGGGGAATAAGAAGCAAACTGTGAAAAATTGGGCTTAAGTGCGGCTTGGTCGAAAAACGATTTGGTCATAAAAATTGTATGCTTCTCTATACTTCACTTTCCTGTTTTGTGAGATTTCTGAATCTTATTACTAGGAATCTGAATGATTGCTCCTTTGTTTTTTGTTCTATCCTTTGTTATGTTCCATGGTTGGTAGGCTTACAGTGATAAGAGCAGAGACTATACAATCCCAGACGCTAGTTTGCTTGCTGCATCATCACAAATCCCATGGCAGAATCATCAAGCTATGCCAGCATATGGTGGGAATGCATACAATGCTCCCCCAGGTGTGCCCGGTATGCCACATCAAGCTCCCACTGGCCAGTCGCCCGGTCCAGGACCAGGCTATGGCTCAAACCCAGGATCTTATGGTGGTCATACATCATATCAACCACAACCGCCTATGCATCCGTATGGCAATACTGCAGCTGGTCCTCCTCATTCATCCCCTCACATCTCATAGGGCAGCGCAGCTCATCCTGGAGTCCACCTGAATTTGTGAATCTGGTGCGGTGCTTCACACTCGAGGTCAGCTTTCCTGTCGTGGGTGGATGATGTATTTTATGTGGTAGATGGGTTTCCTGAGCTTCAATGACAGTGAGTGTGTAATGTTTAATCAGGAAAAATTATATGTTTACCATATTGTTAGATGATGCTTATCAAACAATCCTTTTGCATCGAACCATGTCCTTATACTGAGTAATTCTGAGTACTGATTGATCCCTCAGCAACGAATCCAATTTTAGAATCCATTTGTCTGTCAGTATTTTCTGGTTTCTTGTATGTGACATTGGGTTTGTTTTTGCTATTGTGACACTCTACTCAGTACTCATACAGTTACTGCTAAGTTTGTGTTTCTTGATGATAACTTTTGTTACATTAATCAAAAAGACTTGTGGACCATTGTTCATGCATATGTTTAACTTTAAACTAGTTAACTCTCTGTCTACTTCAATTGCAAACCATGTGACAGTGAGAGGGTTGGTAGGGCTACGTAACATTGTACCTGTCTGCACCATTTAATGAATTCGTGGGACTAAGGAAAAATCTCAGGAAACTACGGGGACTGACTTGTTAGTATTTTGCAGCCTGTTGCCGACAATTAGGCTTTCACCATTAATCCTTTTATTCATACAAATAAAATTTGTGGGGGACAATTAGGCTTTCACCTCATATGCGACATGTGGGATTGTCACAAATAGGAGTTATATACTTATATATAAAGGCACTAGTCCTTAAATACATGGAGTGCAAGCAACTAGTAAGGGCCACAAAATTTAAGGACCAGTTTGTAACCAAACGCATACAACATCCACATGCGCATAATCCTTCATTCAAAAGGTTAATCAACTACATTATATTCCAAATTTGTACAAATTTACATGTGTTTATAACTCTAATTTGAAAGTTTAAGGTCAATCGCCCTAATATACACTCTGTCACTATATATTGTATGCGTCTAAACCTCTCCTTATACTGTTGTGTAACCGTCTCATCTTTTTATCATACTAAATATGTATTGTATGTTTAATCCACGTAGGTTAACGAATTGATTTGATTGAATATTTTTTATATTCACTTTTCAATTTTAAGTTTATGATATTTAATATTGGGTATAAAACTTTTAATCCTTTAATTTAAGTCCCCCACCCAATCTTGTAGGAAGGATCTTTTGTGTTGCTTGCTCCACAGAAATATTGATTTCACTTTCCTCCTCTCACAGTTTCCTTCCCCTCCCAAATTCACAGAAATTGTAACTTACGTCTACTTATTGTATGAAGAACAATAATTGATGCTGATTATTTACTACGTAATTTGCAATCCAAGATAATAAAATCTACAAACTCCTCTCCTTCCTTCATAATCACATCTTAATTATAGTAATTCATTCATGATGGAGAATCGGGTTCCTCGCACCGGTGATCTCGAGCGATTTAGTAATTAGTAGATTTAGTAATTAGTACACTGCAACACAGTCTGCAAGTTGCATGGTCCCCAACTGCAACATGCAGAGAAAGCTGGTGGTGGTGAAGGTTTTAATGCTTATAGCTATACGATGCTGACTCACTTCTCTCTATTTATTCCCTTGTTGGATCTGCTTTCTCCCTTACATTTCCTTCTTCATCAGAAGATTCCCAACCTGCAAACATTTCTCTTCTTGTGCTTCTCAGTTCTCCCCCTCTCTACTTTTATCTCAAATTGGTATACATAGCTAGATGGGTGGTGGTGCTGGTGTTAAAGATTATCGCTTGATACTTCAAGCTCTCGTCATCGTTGCAGCTTCTTCAGTCGGTCTGACGTCAGGTCGAGGGTGGTACCATAGACATGTTGGAGGAGGAGGAGCTGGTCCTTGGATCAACGCTCACGCCACTTTCTACGGCGGCGGCGATGCTTCCGGCACAATGGGTACGTACGTACGTCGGTCCACCTATTCTCGTACACATTCATTATTAATCGTGCTCATTTACGAAGTACTATTCATTTAATCAACCCTAATACTCTAAATTTAATCGGATTAGCTGGACTAATTAATATTGATCAGTAATTTTTTATGTGATTAATTAAATAAGGGGGAGCGTGTGGGTACGGGAACTTGTACAGCCAAGGGTACGGAGTGAACACGGCGGCTCTAAGCACGGCGCTGTTCGACAACGGGCTGAGCTGCGGGGCTTGCTACCAGATCATGTGCGCCAACGACCCGCAGTGGTGCCTCCCTGGCTCCGTCGTGGTCACCGCCACCAACTTCTGCCCGCCGGGAGGGTGGTGCGACCCTCCCAACCACCACTTCGATCTCTCCCAGCCCATCTTCCAGCACATCGCCCAGTACCGCGCCGGCGTCGTCCCTGTCATGTACAGGAGGTAATTAACGTAACCTAGCTTCTCCTCCTCTTATCCCTACATATTTATTTAATGTTATAGCGTATACCAATTGACACACATCAGTTTCATAATCTTCTGTGTCGTCGCATTGTAATCGAATCGTGAAATGGTAAGATTTTGCTGTCCCAACAAAGTAAGCGTCAATAACTTCGAAAGAATCCGAGCTTTGAATTTTTTTTTTTGGGTACTTATGGACCCAATTGTGTTGAAAAATGATAAATATATATGTCCAATCGTTCACATTATCATTAAAAACACATCTATTGGCATAATTAGTTAATTACAATTCAAATTATATTGCTTATATGACGGTTTTATAGAGTGCACGTCATAGACTTATTTAGTCAATTCATTGGGGGAGATTTTATTACATAAAAAAAATACGAAGAAAATGGAAGTCAATTTTTTTAATTTTATCTCGTGGTGGATGGATTTACTGGCACCATTAATAAATTGGTTTAGAACACTTACATAATGGTTATATAGAGTGCACTTCACTAGCTAGCTTAATTATTTTAGATTAGAGAATACGATTCGTTATTTTTGTTATTACTTATCAGTAAGTAATCAAAGAATCAACTAGTTTCAAATGATTCATTCAAACGGATCTGACTATGTATCTAGGTTTAATCAAATTGTATATATATATATATATATATATATATATATATATATATATATATATATTTTTAACAAATGTTAGTATCTAAAAACCTAGACATTTTAACCACGTGGTAAAAACCCATAACAAAAACGTAACTGAATATCTTGTAATTAACACATTAATCCTGTTTGTGGTTCTGTATATATGCATTTTACAGGGTGAGGTGCAGGAGAAGAGGCGGGATAAGGTTCACGGTCAACGGCCACTCCTACTTCAACCTGGTCCTCGTGACCAACGTCGGAGGAGCCGGCGACGTCCACTCCGTCGCGATCAAGGGCTCCAGAACAGGGTGGCAGCAGATGTCCAGAAACTGGGGACAGAACTGGCAGAGCAATTCCTACCTCAACGGACAAAGCCTCTCCTTCCTCGTCACCACCAGCGACGGTCGAGCTCTGGCGTCGTACAACGTTGCCCCTCCCAGTTGGTCCTTTGGCCAGACATATACCGGCCGACAGTTCAGGTATTAATTAATCACCGTTGTTCGCAGTGGTTAATTATACCATAAAACAATATTATAAAATATTCTAGTATATTCGGGAGATCGTTATCGTGATGGAAACTCGCTCACATGCTCGACATTAATTTGGTAGTTACGAGTATAATTGAAGAAGTGAAGAGTGGTGGGGATAATTGATCGATGTATTAGGCCTAGGAGACAAACTTGAAAGCGATTAGTTAATGTTGTTGTTGGTCTCTGGGGCCATCATCATTCATCAGCTTGCCATGCAAGGCTGGGTTTTTTTTTTACTCATTACTTTTTTCATGAGGGTGTGACATGTGGTGGAGAATTGAACTCTGGTTCTCCAAGTTTGGGGCAATGTATGATTATGTATTGTACACAAAGTTCCATAATATTGGAACGATAAAAAGAAAGAAGGGAACGATTGGAAAAGAACTATTCTACTCATAATGAAATTCGACGAGATTATGAGATTCGTATGTTTACGATTTTTTTTTCCCAATGAGTTTTCGTATTCGGAATGCTCACACTAAAAAATTACTACGTGTTAGTTTGACTACATAATGTATGATAAATTTGTTCGGACTTAAAAGATCATATGTTGGCTTTCATACAAATGAATCATATCAAGTCGTTATTCAGGACATTTTGGGGGACTAGCTTGTCACATGGTGGAAGGCACTCCAAATCAGATAGCTACATGTCATGTGTGACTGTGAAAGTGACCAGATTTTTGGAGCAACACCTTACTATCCTCCTTTTAAATGAAACATGTGCATGGCAAAGATATTTTTTTTTTGTTTCTGAACTTCTTTTACAGCCTCGACCGACAATCTATGATATCCAATGTGAATTCCGTCGGAGAATTAGGGGTGGGCCGGAGGTGTAATTATATTGAATTGAATTTACTTGCATCTGTTAAACGGTAAAGCTAATCGCTATAATTGAATTTCGCACAAAAAAATGGTTTTGTGTGATTTTATCGCGAAAATCACACCGCAAAAGCTGAGCTCGAAATTTTTTGAAAAAATAATATACCAGTGGATGGTTGGTGGGATACATTTGCTCTACATCAACCTACCTGCTTCTAATGAAACCATAACGACACAAGTGCTCGTCTGATTAAATTCTTTCAACATTTGAAAAAATAGCAACAAACTATTTAAAGGTGAATGTCATAATCTACAATGGACATAGAATTCACGGTTTTCCATTGTTCTCAATTAGCGATTCAAGGTTTTCCGTTGTTATCAAATTGAAAAGGTTGTATAGAATTGATACTCAGTTAACATAACATAATTTTGTTATTTTTGTAATCTACTGATTCATAATTCAGCATTATTTCGATCGTGTCGCGAGCTGTGATATGCGTGGCATATTAGCGTCCCAGCAGGCAGCAGCTGTGATAATGGAACGGACCTGCTCCAAGTTAATCTACAGGTGGGCTATTAGCTATATTCTGGCCCAGTTAATTTAAGATGGTTCACTTAATGAAACAATACGGAGCCCAGTTTGGTCTCAAGCCCTTATAAGTATAACCTGGTCTGAGCCCATCAATGGATTGGATCAATGCCATGCATCTTTTTCACAGAACACGTTCCATTCATTTTGCACCCAGTTTTCCATCATTTTAATTTCATTTCGATCAATGCTTTCTCTTCGTTCTACTACGAAGATTTCCAATACAAAATAAACCTGAAGAATCCAAATTCCATGTTATTCTTTCGGCGATGGAAGGGACACTTTGGATTTTGGATTGTTCGGGTTTATATGGATAAACAATGAGGAACAATTATGTTGCTGACACCTAACGAAGCTCGCGAAGGTAAACAAGGACAACTTGAATCCACTTTTACGTGTTTTCACAACCTAATTCTTAAACAAACAACAAATGTTTTCACCAGTTAGATAAGAGTCTATTATCCATTTGTTAAACCAGATGTTTAATCTTAATATCTATGGAGTCTCAATGCTATCCTTTATCAGGTCATCCTCCATATCTCTAAGTTGAAGAAATTATTTCTAAGTAGGTTATCTAGCGAAACGAAAAAAGACCAATGTGATCAACAACATTTTGATTGTCTAGCCTATGCTCCTAGAGCTTAATGAAGCACTTTCTTAGTATATGGTCTTGGAGTCAAAGGGTGTACAATAAGTCAACAACTATTTTAACTATTACACAACTATTTTAACTCCAAAAAGTACGCATTAGTACATTAGAGAATTTGGGTATGCTCCATGCTGCCCTTGTTGTAAGGTTGAGCTTATGTTGTTAGATTACACACAATTCATAGTCATTAGAAGCATGGTTGATGAATAAATTAATGTAACATTGTCATAATTTTGAGACCCACTATTCAGCCAAATGGATTACGTGCTTATGCCAACGCCTACAGCGGTAAGCATGCTAACAAAATGCACATTAGAACAATGCAATCTGCAAGCTGCTGATGTGGTTGTTTGTTTTGCAGAGACTAGGAGAGAGATGTCAGGGTGTTAGTGGTGGTGACTGGTGAGTAGGGGTGTCAGTTCGGGTTGGGTTCGGTTACCCAAACCGAAATTCGAAACAGAAAATTACTGAAACCGAACCCGAACCCGATAAGGACTTGCGGGTTCTGGTTACCCGAAACCCGAAAATTTCTTATCGGGTTTGGGTTCGGTTAAAGCAAAACCGAAACCCGAAAACCCGAACGCCTCAGAATACGGGCTGAGTTCTATTCATTGGAGGTTTTTAGCCGGAACCCAAAAAATCGATAAGCAAAACCAAACCCGAACCTGAAACCCGAAATGAACCCGAACCTGAAAAACCGAAAATGTATATAATCGGATCGGTTTCTGGTAAACCCGAAAAACCGAACCTGAATGGACACCCCTCGACCCTAGTGGTGAGGTATTTCTTGCACAGAAAGAGTCAAATTTATTACATCAGTTTTCTTTTCTTACTTTCTAATACATACAAAGTCAGAGGGAAAAATGAAACTGCTTTGTCAGAGGGTGCAGGCCAGATAGCAGGGGAGCAGGCAGAGAAAGGATGAGTACTCGTGTGGATTTCTGTTACAACTTACTGCAACAACAAAAAAAACACCCCACCACCCCTTTTCTTTGCCCAAGTACACTCTTCTTCCCCCATTTCTTTCCTCTATTCACTCTGCTTTCTCCCTCTCCTCCCCCCTTCTGTTTTTGTTTGCTTTCCCCGTTTTAGAACCATGGAAGTGACCTTCATGTCACAGTTGCATAACACAACAACAAGCACCACCACCAACACCACTGGCTCCAGCTACTGCTGCTGTTGCTGCTGCTGTCATCAAGACAAGGATGGCTGCTGCTTCCCCAATCACATCTCTCCCATTCCTTCCTCTTCTTCAGATACTCATTATCATATACATTCTTCTCCCTCTCAAGCTCAACTCACACCACCACATACCCTTTTGGCCTCTCCTTCTCCAGACATGGCCAAGTGCAGTAATAATGACAGCAATAACAACAGTGTGGAGAGGCAGAAGAAGAAGAACAAGAGTATTGATGATAGCAGGTGCTTGAAAGTTAGTACTGCTAAAGGGCATTGGAGGCCTGCAGAGGATGCTAAACTCAAGGAACTTGTTGCCCTTTATGGCCCTCAGAACTGGAACCTCATTGCAGAGAAGATGGAAGCAAGATCAGGTGGGTGGTTTGGTAACTGCACTTATCTCTTACTCTTCTTTTCTACTATTTCTCTGTCCCTCAAGGTTTTTTTTTTTTTTTGTCTCATTCTTCTGCTTCTTTGACTGATTTTTGAAGGTAAAAGCTGTAGACTGAGGTGGTTCAACCAGCTGGATCCAAGGGTGATCAAGAGAGCCTTCAGTGAAGAAGAGGAAGAGAAACTGATGGCTGCTCACAGAACTTATGGCAACAAATGGGCACTGATTGCCAGGTTTTTCCCAGGGAGAACTGACAATGCGGTTAAGAATCACTGGCATGTTATAATGGCTAGGAAATACAGAGCACAGTCCTGGAATAATGGCAGGTCCAGGAGAGAGATCAACCAGCCTTCCACTGCTAATTGTTTTGTTGGAGAAGAAGAATACACTCCCAGTGGCAGCACCCAGGAATCATTATCACTCCACTGTCCATCTGGAACTTCCAGTGGAGGAGGAAGCACTAATGCTGCTTCTCCTGGAGACACCAATGGCAAAGGAGGAAAAGAAACACTGGGAAATTGGAAATCATCTTCATGTTCAGTATTGTTTGTTAGGAGCAGCAATCCCAAGCTCAACTCTTTTCAACAACAACAACAATCCCTCATGGCCTATGGTGTCTTTTCTGGTTTGCTCCAAAATGCAGTTTAAAAGTTGCTTTATTTTCCTTCTTATCAGTGTCCACATTGTGCTCCATGGTTCCAATTCTACTACTCATAGTTTTCCCCATCCAGTTGTAGAGAAAGACTTCCACTGCCATATGATAAATGACACCATGGTTCTTCCCCAAAATTTGCAGGTCAGGAGGGCCAATGGAGTCCCAGTCTGAAGAAGAAGCAGAGTAGCATGGTGAAAGATGATGGTACCACCAACACCACCACCTTCACTGCTTTCAGTAGCAAGCAAGCATCTGGAGTCACAGTCAGTGAAGCATCAACGTCATCATCATTATTATCACTATCACTAGCAAGGAACCCAGAAACCACAGCAGCAGAAGCAACAACAACAAGGGACCTATTCAACACCAGCAAACCCTCAGCCCCACCACCACCATTTATAGACTTCCTTGGAGTTGGAGCCTGAAGATACAGCAAGATATAAAGTTTCCAAACTAGGTAAAAGGGAGACATGGGGAAAGAAAGAGACACTCGTGTGGGTAGTGGGTTAGGATTATATATGAGATCAGTATGTTATCATGAGTAGGGGAAAAGATGCATTTCCCAAGGAGGCAGTGTTTCTAGGTTAGGACTAACTCAAACAGGTTAGCTAGCTAGTAGCCTTTCAAGTTTCAACCTTCGTGTTTGCAACAAACAATCAATCAATCCTCTTTTGCCTTGTCAATCTACTTCTTTCTGAATTCTGCATGTATTTTCTTTTTTGGGGTAAGTTTACGCAGCCCCGATATTAAGCATAAAAAGGGGTAGATCTGGAAGCATGGAAATAGCATTAGTCCCATTTCAGTAACAGACTTCTTTAAATCCTGCTGCTTAAGACTGTTGGACAATTAAATTCCAGCAAGGAAGTGACCATGTGTTTTGTCATCTCGTTTGTGTCAAACATTCAGAACAGACAAACAACACACTATTATAATAATATTCATGGACGGTTACCAGAAAATCGCAACATGCAACAGTAAGCAAGTAACAAAACTGGGGAAAAGAGGCTTGTGGTGGGCCTTACAGCAAAAGCAGGACAACAGTAGTAGTTTTCACAATACTGTTTCTTTTCTTCTGTGTGTTGTGTTGTGTTGTTTACGTTTCACTGTGACCCTGCAGACTTCAGGTGAGAGTTTTATCAACTCCATTGAATACTACAGACCCCTACCCACGAGGGGGTTATTCAATTGACTCTGCCTCGCATGAACTTGACAAGCAGGACTGTAAACAATGTGCTTGTGTACTAATAATCCGATGCTGATGAATTGGTCAATTGGTTCAACGGTTCATGTTGAAGATGGAAAAAAGTAACAATATGAACATAACTCCTGAACATTATGAAACTTGGGTTAGCGTTCAGTGTAAACCTGTGGAAGGAGCTCCTTGACATTCGAGGCAAGCTACAACACACTTTCTGATTGCCGAATCAAATGCTTGCACTCTGAGCTATAGTCCCAGGTTTACTAGATGAGCAAGCATCCTCAAGTTCTTGCTTCGACAGAAGCCTAGTGGAGTGAGCAAATTTTGCTACCTGACAGGAGCTAACTTCAGATGGGTTTGCTGGTTGCACCAAAAAGTAGTTGCCAAGAGCTTTGATGGTTTTATCTATGAAAGCTGATCTCTGCAAATACTCCCTCATCCGACACACAAATTCTGTATGATCTCTTGCCTGCGACAAAATAAATATACCCTTTCAACAACTAATTGATCAAGTCAAGTCACAAACTACTGCAGTTTTCAACAAAAATATAACGGGAAAACCTGGTAAATGAAAACAATGTTTTACCGATCTGTACTCGGGGGCACGAGAAGGTAGCTTCAAATAAGTCATGTTCCGATCCTCATAGTCCCACAAAAAGGAAGTATGGTGAATCCATCGGTCTTTTGTTATAGATTGGGCATTCCCACCAAACTTGCGATTACCAAATACATAATCTGTTAGCAGGAAGAGAAAAACACACCATGATTTGGAACATTGAAATATAGGCAGTGTGGCATAAGCAAAAAGATAATGAGGTAGACTTGGCAATGTCTCAAAACAGTTTCTAATGGAAAGCTTTTGCTTACCATTCTCCCGCAGTTGAAAATCCCCAATCCCTTGGAACACTTCATCATACAATTTACCACTCCATGACATGATTGAACGAGGATATGGTTGCACCTTAGGAACAGCATCCTTGTTGCATATGAGAGTGACAAAAATAGTCCCTTCATCGACTATAACTGTACCACCACCTGTAAATCGTTTGATAACAGGAACGTTGTCTCCAATCACAGACTCGAGTTCAAGAAGTTCAGCAAGTTTCCTGCACCAATATCCATATCTATCAATTTCACGCCTCAACAGCTGCCAAGATTACATTTTGGAAGAACCACATTACAGACTCGAGTTCAAGAAGTTCAGCAAGTTTCCTGCACCAATATCCATATCTATCAATCACAGACTCGAGTTCCTTTACCCTGATACTCCCATGACTATGGTGGGGGCATCTGCTCCATCATTCACAATACAACAGTTATCTGAAGTCGTCCGTAGCAACTTTTCCTCCAACTTGAGTTGGTCGAGTATGGGCATTCCCTTGAATCTAACAAGATTCATCAGCGGCAGCCCTAGCTTTTCAGATTGGCGAAGTATAGCCATTGTATAGGTTGTTCAAATACAAGTTTAGCCTATAGAATTTGCAGCGGAATGGTCAAAATCCAAATTCAAACCCAAAAAAAAGGAAGGAGAAACGGATCAAGTTGGAAGCTTTAATGAAGCTAAGACCATAGTTGATGGTGAAAGCGCGGGAAGAAAAAGGTTCAGGCCAATTGGAAATTACCTCGACAAATAGGTCGCCGGGAAACTGACCGCGAAACTTGATCGCAAGGTACCGAGACGGAGTTCCAAGAAGAAGAAGAGATACTGTCGTGGCCTCCGGTGTATGGTGGATCGATTCTATTCGTCACAGGCAGCAGCCAACTATGAATGAGCACGAAGAGAGACAGCGACGAGGGAGACGACTGACGACGACGACTCCAAACGCCGCGCGTGTAACTTTTCTTTTCGTTTATCGGGTGAAAGAAGAAATACGAATTAGTGATATTTGCAAATTACACAGACAGTCACTGAGTTTACGGTCATTAGCCAAATTGGTTGCTGAGCTTTTAATTTTTTTAGTGAACATTTTTTGTTGAAATTTAGACTGTTTCACTTCGTTTATTAGCGCGTTAGTTCATCTAACTTATTTATTAAGCATGCATATCAATTCATAAACTAACTTTCGAGAGGGAAAATATAACGTAAAGGTTTCAAGTATTAATGAATTGATTGAAGTTTGAATTCATGATTATTAGTATTGATATAGAATGACACTGTAGATATTATATTGATGAAAATCTAAACTCGTTAAAGTACATGCAATTATCATTGTTAACTACTTTTAACCAATGATATTGATACAATATATAGAATTCAAGTGATAATTAACCTTTCTGGATTAATAAAAATAAAAATTTGTCAAATTTTTAGCAGAATAAAATCAGTAACTAAATAACCAATTTTCATCAGGATTCCAGGAAAATATCCTCAAAATTCTGATTAGGGATTCGGGGGATTAGATTATATTCCCGTTCGTAGCTCACATGCTAATGCTATTAAGGAAATTTGTAGACAGATAGAGAGCAATTTTGAATCAACTACATTTGGATTAACTTATTATTGATTTCCCAGGTTTTGGATCTCTCGCCTCTGACGCTGCTGACTGTTGGCAGAGTCCAGAGAGAGATAGAGAAAGCTATGGCGTTGAGAGCCTCCGGTAGAAAACTATCCTTTGAGATCCTAACGAAGACCAATTCTCTGGAAGAAGACCAATTTCTTCTCCTCGACCAATCAAGCCCCGATACCGCGAGATCGAGCCCGACGAACAACATTCCGAAGAAGAAGCGAAGGAGGAACAAGCACAAGAAGTCGAGCCCCCATGCCGATTCCTACTCCACAATCGCCGAAGATCCATCGGCGGCGGGAAGCAGCGTCGCAGGTTCAAATTCCAATTCGAATTCCGTGATCGAGTCTCCTATATCTGCAGCAGGGGAGTTGCAAAATGGAAGCGTCTTCATGGAGGATAGGTTTAGCAGCCGTTACGGTGGAGGAGGCAGCGTGGTTTGTACTACACCAACAATCACTGTCGTCGAGTGTGTGTGCGATAACTCTACAAACAACGGCGGCAACAACTATGTCGAGTTGAGGCAGCGGAATGTTGTAAGCGTTGGAGGAGAAGGAGGGGGAAGGAATGATGAGGATTTGCCCTCTGTTTTGAGGGTGATTGGAGAGGCCGCCGTGGAGCGCGAGTTGGAGGTCGTTTCTGATGATAAACCGCGGAATGAGCCGCCGCCGATGCCCAATGGCTGTTGCTTGCCGAGATTAGAGACTGCAGAGTCATTGGATTGGAAGCGACTCATGGCTGATGATCCTACTTGTAAGTAAATAGTTTCCGTTACTAAATTATGTTTTGATGCTTCAGAAAGCCATGAAATTTAATGATAGTGGTATCTTGTTCTGCTTAATTGAACCTTATTATCACATGCCAGCTGATCCCATACCAAAGACTCCCTTTTGCTGTTAATGAGTGTTTCTTTTGTAGGACCTTATGTCTTATTCCATGATGTTTACGGTCTTTCCTGTTACATGTGCTGCTTCAGATCTCTTTTCAGTGGAGAAGTCACCATTGAATTACTTCATGGATGAAATAGACGAAGGCAACTCATTACGGCGAACAACAACCCTCGGCAGTGAGAAAGAAAGGGAGAGGGTATACGACACTCTATTCCGCTTACCATGGCGATGTGAGCTGGTAATCTGAGTTATCTTTTCTGGTCCCAGGTTTCAGCTTCTGTGAAGTCCTGGGTCGCCTGTCTCGTTGATTTATAAGCCTTTTCAGCCCGTCTTGTTTTAACATGAAAAGGAACTACTATTGCAGCTTATTGATGTTGGCTTCTTCGTGTGTTTGGATTCCTTCCTGTCACTGTTGACTGTCATGCCAACAAGGGTTCTGATGACTCTTTGGAGGCTTCTCAAAAGAAGGTTAGTCATACATGTACTTGCACACATACATCAATTCTTGGACCAGTAAAAAGAGCGACTTATTAGACCAGAGCTAGTTTTATATTGCAAGGATCATCATCAATTTCCTCTGAGTTGACTCCAAATGCTTTCCTCCCCCAGTTCCAAGTTATGCTTAGTCTTTTTTAAAGATAAGCTAAGATCTTTCATCTGGCTTTTTACTGTAGGCGTATGGTCCCAGTTGTTACATGTCCTGCAAATTTTGAGGATGAATAAGCTAAGATCTATAAGATAGGCTAGATGCTCTATTCATTAGCACTTGGTAGTTGTGTTCAGTAAGGATCTCGAACCCTCAAAGAACAATATTCAAAACACAGAAAGTCTTACTATAAGTTACCTGTGCTGCTGTCAAACTCTTACATAGTCAGAATTTTGCAGGTAGTTTTCTGTCGCTCATTTGAGGTTTTTAAACTATTTACTTAAGTCGGACTATTCTGTCGAGGGATTTATGTGGGTCCAGTCTGTGATTTTTATTGGTTAATGGAAGGCCTGAACTGTGAGATTTCGGGGTCACTTTTTGTTCTGCTTTGGAGCCCCGAGCCCTTATGATGTTTTTTCCTTTTCCTACTCAATTTAAGCCTCTTTATTCGTTAAGTATCTTCCTGTGATGGGAGAAGACTTACTGTAATGTATCAGCTAAATTGTGAAGGTATTTGCTGAATCAGTTAGGGATCAGGCCTTCTAGCCTATACTAACTTGAAGAACCATGGTTTGCGTGTCAGCATGTTAGTTTTTTTTTAACACTTTAATTTCGGCTTAGTCTCATCGAATAGATAGGTGCTCCATTTTGAGTTTGTTTGAATGATGTTATTAGATTTAGATGCAACGTTCTGGTTTTCATTTAACATAACTTCAGAGATAGGTTCGATATAGTTTATCATGGCATACCTTTTTGTTTGGTGGTCTGGGTCGAAATTAGTGTTTATTTAACCATTTTGTTTATATACTTATTGGTTTTTCTTCCTGATCCCTGAAGTTTTCCATTTTATTGAACATGATTATGCTTATGATTTCATGGGTGCACTAGGCATGCAGTAAATAATTCCTGGAAAATCTTCTGTAACTAATATTTACAAAATTATATAACCATGTTTATGGCAGGCAGTTCCAGAAGCTCTCTGCTGCGGACTATTCAGATTTTGGCTGCTTTATTGTGTTGGCCTCTGGAGTCCTTCTTTTAGACCGAACAGGTATACTACCAGCTGCTATCGGTTTTGGGGTTCAGGTTTTCTGAAATTGGGAGGGGATGGAGTTCTGCTTTTGTTTGCTTTCTTTGAAGTAGTAATGCCAACTGCTGATATTCTTAATTTTCTTATGTCAGATATCAGCTTAATATATCACATGATTCGTGGTCAAGGAACGATCAAACTATATGTGGTTTACAATGTTTTGGAGGTGAGATTCAAAAATAAGCATTATTTTCAGTTCTCACAGACTTCAGAAATTTGGATTTACTAATGATTTTGAACCGCTTAATGAGTGTTCCCCTCTTCATTTCAACAAAAAAAAAAAGGGAAAAAGGATTCTGAAAACCATGTCTCTTTGTCCCGCCTTTGTTCAGTGGGTAGAGCAGAGGACTGCAGTAGACTTTAGCTGTCATCATAAGAAACCATGTTTCACAGTTCCATTGGTGGTTATAATTAGTGTTTCTTTAGTCAGATTTACGGAGAAGTCAAATTTTAAGGAAAAAGTGTCACTTGGCATACCATAGAGCTTCACCATCAGTAGCCTAATGATTTCTAATTTGGACTAAGCTAATTTTGAGTCGGATCAAGAAAGTCGGAGATGAACTTTTGCCATATGTACAGATATTTGATAAATTATGCCAAAGTTTCGGAGGAGATGTATTTCAGACATTGTTCAATTCTGCTGAGGGGCTTGCTAGCTGCCAACCAGAAACCAAAAGATTCTGGATTTGGAGATTTCTAGCAGATCAAGTCTTGGCAATGGCATTTTCCAATATCCTTTATTGATGCCTCTGTGTTTTCATCCACAGTTCCGTTTTTTGTTTTACCAGTTTTTCTATGAAGAGATCATTTTTTACATTGTTTCCTTCACTATTCTATACTTCTCCATTCTTTCCTTCTATTAGCTCAGGCAATTACTTTATCCACATGCATTGTTGCTCACAATAATGCCTTATTGGCTTTGCTGGTATCAAATAATTTTTCGGAGATAAAAAGCAATGTCTTTAAGCGTTTCAGCAAAGAGAACATTCACAATATTGTATACGCTGGTGAGTTCATTATATTCATCTGTTTTTTTATACCATTTTGTCACCTTTTTTGTCTTAATTCTGTCAAAGTAATAAGTTCCATTCTAATTGGAATGCATTACTCCTTTGTGCGGATTATAGCAGTTGAATGTCATTGAACCAAACTCGTTTAAATTTTAAACATTGATGACTTTTCAAGTGATTGTATAACCTTGCAGTAACATCCTTGCCTATTGCTTTCCTCCAGATTCAGTGGAGAGATTCCATATTACAGCATTTCTACTGTTCGTTTTGGCTCAAAACATCCTTGAAGCTGAGGGTCCATGGTTTGAGAGTTTTGTTTATGTGAGTCGCTTCAGAGGTTACATACATAATTAAACTTCCTATAGAACTTTCATTATCTGTATTCTGATCCATTTCCTTTCCCCATCTTTGTTTCTGATTGCAGAATGCACTTTTGGTTTTTGTATGTGAAATGTTAATCGATATCATAAAGCATTCATTCCTCGCAAAGTTCAATGACATAAAACCTATCGCCTACTCCGAATTCTTAGAAGAGCTGTGCAATCAGGTACCCTATGCTTGTATATTGTGGTTTTGTTTCAGAAGCGGAAGTTTAGTCCTTTCACTACTTATTCCCTGCTCAATCCATGTCGTTTGCTTGCAGACTCTAAATATTCAATCTGGGGATAAAAAGAAAATCCTCACTTTTATACCGCTGGCACCAGCATGCGTTGTAAGTCCTGCTAGAAGTTTCCCCTCCTATTATGTTTACAATTGTGTGTTGCTCATATTCATCACCAAATGGCACAGTTTGTGTTGGTTGCCTGTTGGGTTAAGAGCATTAATATGTTGTTTGCAGGTCATCCGAGTGCTCACTCCAGTATATGCAGCTCACCTACCGTACAGCCCACTCCCTTGGAGGCTCTTCTGGGTATTTCTGTTGACTTCCATAACCTTTGTCATGCTCACAAGCCTGAAGATAATGATCGGTATGGGACTGCAAAAGCATGCCTCTTGGTATGTAAACAGGTGCCGCAGAAGGAAACACCATCTTCACTCCGAGTAATCCTGGCATGGAATTAGTAGAGAAACGTAATGGGTGAGATTTCAAACTCCATTCCTTCCAGCTCCACTGCTGCCATGAGTTATCCCGGGAGCCACCTCGAGTTTTGCCGGGACAATTGCTCTCCTGCATTCTACTCAGCTCGCTGACTCGTTGCTGTCGTTGGTCGGAAAGAAGTTATCCTGTCACCCGAGCTTGCCTGCATCGTAAAATTTTGTTTCAATCACGTGCTTTTCATTTTCGACTCGAGAGAGCACGAAATCTTACAATGTAATCATAATGAAGCCTCCTGCATTCTCAAGAACCTCAAGGGGGTAACAGAATGATAACTTAGACAACAGCTAGCTTCCTCTGTTTTTTTTTTTTCTCGCCTTTAATAGTTGGGAGTGTGTGAACTACATTGATAGAATGAACATATGCACAGAAATAGTTCGCCCTGAAGTGTACAAATTTAGTTTCCACCATTAGCAAACATTACGCAAAGATGGATTTCAAACATTCTCTTCCCCAGTGACGATCTTGCCTCAGACTCAGAGCATATCCAGGTGTTCTTTCCTATTGGTGAGGTTTAACAGTTACATTTACAGAATACACAGATGAAAAGGGGGGAAAAAAAAAAAACAGGGGAAAAGTATTCCCTTTTGCACAAGACCACATAAACGAAGTCAATCCCTCTGCCCGCACAAAATTATGGAGGAAGGAGGAGGATCGGCTTCTGGACTAGGCGGCGCATCTAAACAGGTTGACGACGATGTCGGTGGTGATCTTCTGGCCGTGCTGAACGAGAACCCGGCGGCGCTTCCCGGCGAAGGCGAGCAGCACCAGCACGGTGATCCAAGTGACCATGACGGCCCTGCTGGCGACGACGACAACCAAGGAGGCGAAGATGAAGCCGGCGGCGAGGACGAGGGAGCTTTGTACATTCGGGGAGTAGGCAGCTGCAGCAGCAGCAGCGACGATCACGATGACAACGGAGACAGCGAATACGACGAGGGAAAAGAACAGCACGGCTGGCGTGGCTGTTGTGGTCCGAGAAGCTGCTGGTGATGGTTTGGGAAGCGGCGGCGGCGGCGGAGTCATTGAAATGTCAACGGCTAAGTGGAGGATGATTGAGGACTTGATACTTGAGAGAGAACGAGAGAGGGGAAGAGGGAAGAGGAAGGTTCATGGGCATGGCTGGCTGCTGCTAGGTGGGGGATAATTGAGGAGAGGAAAATGAAGAAGGAAGCATGTGCGGCCACATGGACAATTTTGATCGTGTGGGGGCTTGGGGTAGCTGAGCAAATCGATGCAGAATAAGTTTAGGAATTTAATTTTTTAAAAATAAGGTAATTCTTCTACTAAATTGTTCTATCGAAATTTTATATTATCAATTAAGAACGGATCAAATTGATCTATTCCAATTTCTCATCTAAAAGAAAAAATTTTCAATCAACCGGTCAAGATACAAAGCTAGTTTTTTCAAAAGAAAATATGAAGTTTTGTTAGAACTTATATTTGCTAGATTTTTTTATTATAATTGTATTTATTTAGGGTTAATTCCACACTTACACTACAAATTTTCACGAAAAAACGTTTGTTTGTGATAACAATGACAGAGAATTTTGAAAGACATATTTCTTGCGTGAATCATGATGTGTGATATTGTATAGTATCTTGATCGGGATACAAAAATCTTCTATTGCTAGTTAGATTGGTATGGTATGCATGTATAAGAAAAGTTTATGTAGGCTTATATAATGAGGTTAAATGGTATGTCGAAAATATTTTAGTTTGTTTTCTTGTCTCAGTCAAGTGTTATTCTTACGACTTGAATATATTTTTGTAATTAGTATTATCTTGACATTAATATTTTTTCGATATGCTATCAAGTAAATCATGTTCATACTAGTAAATATCATTAACTTGTTCGGTATATTCGGATTTCACGCACCATACATCAACACTTACTTTGTGATGCCATTTGGTGGCAGCTACTCTTTGGTATGTGAAATTTGTACATCTGTGCTCTAAGCCTCTAACCTCTAATCAAAACCATCCACAAAGTGTATAATGCACAAATAAATCTAACCGTTAAACATATGAATATAGAAAGTGTCACCATACTAGGATAGTTAGTGACAAAGATGTATATAATATTCATTCCTCTGTAGAATATAGTTTTTGTAAGAGTTTATGGTTTCAATGATACAACACAAGTCACAACACAAGGTTGAATTTGCCATGATTAGGAATGGCAATGGGGCAGGTCCGGGGCGGGTTTCTTGGTACCCAGACCCGCCCCGTGACAGGTCGGGTCCAGGTCGGGTAATTGATCACGGGTCTCGGGTTGGGGCAGGTCGACCCAATGGGTATGCAATTTATATGAAAAACATTAGAAATATTCGTTATTTTTATTATAAGACTAAGAAAACAAACAATATTATGACAATTGTAGTTAAATTATTGGAGAAGTTGAAGTTTTTACTAATTTACAACTTTATTATAGCTAAAATATGATGCAATAAAAGAAAAATTCTAAGTAATTTGACTAAGATTACATGTAATTTAGACAAGAACGGGTCGAGAATGGGGCGGGTCAGGGCAGGTCGGGTCGATGAGACTACCCATGCCCGCCCCGCCCCGCCTACGGGGCGGGTCGGACCCGCCCCAAAACAGGTCAAACGGGTCAGGTCGAAATTGCCATCCCTAGCCATGAATATTGCATCCATACCTTGAATTTAACCGGCATTGCAGACATCTTGATAGGTTTCGAAGCAAGAGCAAGTCCCATGTGTAATTTTTTTCATTCATCCCTCCATTGAATCTAACCAAATACAGACTGAGTTATTTGTTTAAACTAGCTTGTCATTATGCTACAATGCTGATAGAGAGATTGAGATTTGATTAGATTCTATCATCTTATACATGCACTCAGAAAATCAAAGTACACCGTTTCATGTCCATATATGACCTAGAACAATGAAAATTTTAAGTATACGGTTTCTATCTAGGAAACTGTAAGTCTAAACAAACATAAAACTTGTTCATCATGGAATTTCCATATTATATCAATTTTGCACAAACCTCCCTTCTTCTTCTTCTTCTTCTTCTTCTTCTTCTTCTTCTAGGCCAGTCATTTCAAGAAGGCAGCAGCAGGTTTAAGCGGGTTTCTCGTAGGAATTCTTGTCTCTGAATTCTGAAATGGCAGCTCGTATCGTACCACCAGAATCGGGCTGCACGAGCAGATGTGTGTCGTCCAGAACATGAATGATAAACTTCTGCGACGGGGGCTTTGAAGCATTCAGGTTGACGATGAATTGTGCCATTGGTATGTCACTGTGACCATAGATGCCAAAACAACAAGACGAGAGGACACAAGAAACCAGTCACTGGCAATGAAAGGGAAACCTGAACAGAAACTGTGGCATGGAAACCTAATGATTGCTCTATCGTTGTTCTTCACATGCTACACATACGCAATCAAAAGGTCTTCCATATTGTACTGGTTCATCACACATTTGTAGCACCATGGGTGACAGATGCATCATTTAACTCTTCCCAAGCAGGTAAAGGAATCCAGAAGGAACACATTCTAAGCCATTTGTATTCACACAAATTTCATTCACAAGCCATCAATTATGGGTGCTTGTACTAATAAAGCAATCAGCTTTCCACCCCCAAAGCAAAATTGTACACATCACTACAGTAATATTCGGTTTAGAAATAGAAGTGAACAACAAACTCACCAGGCAATGAACAATCCTTTGGTGGCATTCGCCATCTTGAATCAGAGTAACAACAGCAAGCTCAAGAGCCCCAAACTGCCAGCCAAATTAAGATGGCATGAAATGAAATCAGAATCCACCCATTTATCAGAAATGGAAGATAAAGCATGAACATAAAAGCAACCTGCAAATAAGGTCATCACCATTTATCAGAAGCTCGACAAAACCCCAAATGGAACGCTAAATCCAAACATGATATATCCTATTAGGATCAGGCTCTAACAGATCCCGGTTAGCAGAAGCAGACTTACTCGAATCAAATTGCAACAAGGGAAGAAGCTACCAAGCTCCGCTCTTCTCTGCCGGCTGCGACCGTTGCCGATTGAAAGAAGAGAAGGAAAGGGGGTGAGATTTCTCTCCGGCAGCTGCATAACAATTAACAGCATGAGAATCCAGATGGGCCATTAAAAAAAAAAAGAATTCAGATGGTTGGGTTCAACTTCTTGGGCCGAATCTCCATCAGCTCATTTAATGCGGCCCACAGTATCCAGGTCCAGTTCGCAGAAAATTTTCGTTTCGTCTTCGATAGTTCGTTCGTTTGTTTCCTGCCGCGAACAGTTTCCAATTCCATGGCGATTGATTATTACGAATCAAAATGAAAAAAAAAAAGAAGAGAAAATGGAACGAAAAGGAAATTGCTGACACGCAAAGAGGGCTGGGCAGGGAAAGGCAGGCGAAGAGAAATAAAAAAAAGCTGGAAGCTTAAATCTTCCCAGCTGCTCAATTCATTCGTTCGTCACAGTCCTCTTATCAAAATTGAGTCTTTGCCCCTTCGTCACTTACCGTAAAGCTTTTGTTTAAGGTTTCGCGGTCTCCCGCGATTGAAGAAAACCCTAGAGATGAACTCGTCCGACTCGAATTGGGTCGACATCTCCGAGATTTACCTGCGTTACTGTGGTAAAGCTTCATTACTTCATTGATTCCTTCTCGCGATAACCTTGTTTTTTTAAAAGGATCTGTTGTTGATTTAGTTTGATTCTCAACTCCCTTGTTCTTAGCTTTCTCGTCTTGGATGTTGCTAGGGCTATGTCTGGGAAGCAGTAATTCAAGACTTTAACTTCAAAATTAGTGTCTGTGTTCTGAAAAACAATGGGATTATGTGCTTTGTGTTAGCTGTGCGTGTCTTTATTTTTCTTAAGTTGGCTTCTTTTGGTAATAACATTTGAACCTGAGTCTTGGGCTTTTGCTTGTAGCTATTAGAGCAGGGAATGCGTACCTGGAAGGCAGCAGTTGTTCGGACCAGGATGAGCTACAGAAACTCAAAATTTCCCGGGATGAGTTAGCTGAGCTATTAAAGGTTGTTCAGAAGAGAGTGCAGAAGGACCAAGGGTATTGCTCTTTTTTTGTTAAGTTACTAATGCGGTTGGAAAATCCAGAGGAATGCTAGATGGAAGATGAATAATATGGATACGGAGTTACTGCTTTGATGTGATCATTCGTCTTTGCGCGTTTGTGTAATGTGTGAGGGTATGTGCTGTGCGTCTATGTGACTGCTCACTATCAATTAAGTTGCTTTAAAGCCTTGATGGTGTGGGTGGGGTACATCTATGTGTCTCGTACTCGCTATCAAATTAAGTTGTTCTAGAGCCTTTATGGGATTTTGATTCGAGCCCATAGTTTGACTGATGCAGTCTATATACTTCAAATGCAATCGATGGAAAGCATCAGCTCAGCTTCAACATTGAATTAGAGTGCCCTTCCTGGAAACCTTTGTGGCTCATTTTGTGCTCACTATCTGCTCGAATGCAGTTGTTTCGTGATTAACGTATAAAATTTAAGAGAAGAGTTGAATATCTAGTTAACTATTACTTTTCTGGATTTCCCACGTGTCAAAAATCATTTTTTTTCCTCTTAGCAGAACTATGGAATCTTTTATTTGCCTTTTGTTAACTGAAGTAAGTTTATTTTGACAGGTTTTCTATTTTTGATGAACTGCGCAAGCTCATGTCAAATTCAAGATTGATGGTTAGTTAGTTGTTATTTTGCATTGTAACCAGAAGTTTCAAGATTGAAGTTCCCCATGCTCAATAGTCTGTGGTTAATGCTTTTGCCTTTTTTCTCTTATTGTAGAAGGATGTCCGCGACTTTTCGTGCTTCTATGATTTTGTATTCTTTATCTCTCGCGAGAATGGTCAAAAGAACATTAGTAAGTTCTGAGCTCATATTTTTATGGACAGAAAGTTGATAGATGTCCGTATTAATTTAATGGAGAATCTTTTGGATTGTTAACATACTTACTATCTCTTTGGGATCAGCTGTAAACAAGGCGGTTACTGCATGGAGATTGGTTTTGGCTGGGAGGTTTAGGTTGCTAAACCAATGGTGTGACTTTGTAGAGGTGCGCATTATAATAAGCTGTCATCAGTATTTTGGCTTCCTTGATCATGGCCTATTAGGGCATGATTGCTAGCATGGTGCTTGTTCCTTTGGGCATCATGCTCTCTCTGCGTGCCTATATGTTGTGAAACTTTAAAATGACTGATGGCCTGCAGAGGTTATAAAGCCTCGGTATATGTTTATGGTTCTTTCTGTGGCTTCTTTTGAAAGACTCTGACTCTTTAACATGTCTCTGTAGAAAAATCAGCGATACAATATTTCGGAGGATACATGGCAGCAAGTTCTGGCTTTTAGTCGCTGTGTACATGGAAATTTTGAAGGCTATGATCCTGAAGGTAGACGATAAAATCAGCTTCAAGTTGACCTGCCTCATTCATATGATGCTGTTTGCCTCTGATTATTGGTTGCCCTTCAGCTGTATGGAGGAATAAAATTGCATCTATAGTTTTGCTTTAGAACAGCTTAAGGGCGACAAATGATCACAGAAGCATTCATTGTTTTGCAATATATAGTCTACTGCACTACTTGACTCGTTATTGATTTATTAAAGTGTGTTACTGTTTCACCTTCCCACTTATCATCTTTTTCGTCTTGTTCACTGGTTGCTTTCTTCTTTATTAATTTTTCTTTTCCTTCCTTTGCTTCCTCAACCTTCCTAGTAGCTCTTTCTTCTGAATAAGCTTCTTTCTGTTTGTCAACAAGTAAAAGCAATTCTGTCTTGCTAAATACGGTTTCACTTTGCAGGTGCTTGGCCTGTCCTTATAGATGAATTTGTGGAGCATATGTACAGGTACTGGTTTACAATATATTATTGTAATATCACTTGAGAGCTTTGGAGTTTCCTTAAAATCTAACTAGTTAACATTCTGATAACTTGTGTGACAATGAATATAAATTTCTTCTTTCTAACTATAAATGACTAAGAAGGGTCTCTATTGACGTCAACTCATTGTGCCCAAAAATTGTCTTGCAGAACATCTGGGTCTAAGAATAAGTGCAACTGTAAATCCTATGATAGCGGTGAGTTGGAATCTCATCCATGTGCTTTTGAAGACCCTCTTCCCGGTGAGCGTTTGGCTGTCTTTCTCCTTATGTGTGATGTATCCATCCTCCTGTATGTTGCCAAAACTAAAAAATAAGTTTTCTATGCTTTGTCCTTTGCCATGGTTTTCCAGGGTTGAAGGTAACTCCTGGTTTGAAGAGGAAGTTCGCCAACTTGGGATTAGATGAAGAAATGGAGCTCTGTGATTCTCCAGAACCGAATCTTTCTTCAAAGTCGAAACGAAATAGGCTAGTCTACCACCAGAAGAGTTGTATGGTGGATAATCCGCCAGGTGGCGACTCAGCTGATGATGGCATGGAAGTAACGAAACAGAATAGTCCAGTTGGGTGTGCAGTTGAGAATTGCTTGTCCAAAGGGATTGCAGGGCTGTTTTCTGGGGGTTCATATTTGCAGCTAGATAAAGAGAGGAGAGTTTCATATATATAGAGGTCTGGCCGAGCCAGAAAATAGGCTTTGAATCAAGAGGAATCGACCTGTACATGCCAATGTGGTAGTTCTATATCGAAGCTCGTGTTGGAATTCTGTTTCTGGCAATTGGAATTAGGTATTGACGGGTTGTTTTGCAATGATGGCAAGATAGATTGGATTTGTGTCACTACAGAATAATGGAGCAGTTTTTGTATAGGCCGCTTGCATGCATAGTTGTGGTGTGTATAACAATTTAAACTTAGAGCCATTAATATTCTTTAGGCCAGCAACTACGCACTATGTGGCCTGGGTTTTACTCAGAAGGTGAAGGTATTCTATGATTGTTTGCCCTTTGTGAAAGGGGAAGAAATATGTGAGATGGAATTTGCTTGATTAATGTTGTCTCTAACTTGATCGCAGGGTGTTTCTGAATTCTGAGTGTTTTCGAGGCTTGACTAGTTGACTACTGGACAAGGATAAGTTTTGCAGATCCAGGAGCTTTTTGTCCAGTTTCCATTCGACATCTTAAAGTTCATTAACAACATGACATTTACATCTCCCTAAGGAAAAGAAAGCAAAACAAAGTGTGTAGAGCTGGTTTGTAAACAAATTCTTACAATGGCTTGACATCTGAAACCCAAGTTACTCGTGATTAGGAATGGCATACAAGTGTCGCATTATTATTAATTAGATGATAGCAGAATTAACAAAGATTAGCCATTAAATTCTGCCTAATTAAGTCTTGCTTCGGCAACTGGATACCGACTTCCTTGCCTCTTACTCCTACTCTTATTTTTTTACCACGGTAAAAACTGAGATCTCAAAGAAAGAAAGAAAGAAAGAAACCCAATTTACCCAAATGATCACCATTGATACTTGGCAGCAACTAGAACCTCCTCGTACAACTCCGCAGCATGATCCCAGCTCAAATCCTGCTCCATTCCACGCCTCTGCAACCCTTCCCAACTCTCCTTGAACTCTCTATAGGTCCACAAGCAATTCCCCAACGCATGTATCAACTTACTCGCTTCAGCTGAATCAAATGTCCACCCAAACCCAGACTCGTTAAATGGATCGAATGGTCGAACTGTATCTCTCAACCCGCCAACTGCATGAACCACAGGAATCGTCCCATACATCATCGCGTACAGCTGGTTCAACCCACACGGCTCGAACCTGGATGGCATCAGCAAGATATCTGCACCGGCAGTTATCCTATGCGCGGTCTTCACACAAAACCCTACCCAACCTCTAACTTTGTCCTTGTATTGCCCCTCCAAGTTCTTCAACATTTCCTCCAAATCCTGCCTTCCTGTGCCAAGCATCACCAATTGCACATCCTGTTCCACCATCCACGGGATCGCCTCGGCGATAAGATCGACGCCCTTCTGGTTATCGAGCCTTCCGATAAAACCAATCAGTGGAACTTCTGGCCTCTCGGGCAAACCGAGCTCTCTTTGGAGTGCTGCTTTGCATTGTGGCTTCCGGGAGCGAAAAGTTTCGAGCGAATAGTTCGTGTAACCATCGGATTTCAGGTGGAGATCGTGACGTGGGTCCCACTCTTGAGTGTCGATGCCGTTTACTATTCCTCTCAGCTTCCAATCGTTTTCGTTTATGATGGTGTGTAGGCCCCAACCGCCCTCTGGTGTTTTCAGCTCCCAGGAGTATCCTTGACTAACTGTTACCACTCGGTCTGCCGCCTTCAGACCAGCAGCGAAGATGTTGAAGTGCTCACCGCCCACTGGGTCGTAGAATTTGAAGAGGTCGATGTAGTTTCCCGGCAGGTCCACATACCGGAACTCCTCCACTGGTCCCCGACCCTGGATAAAGTACACAGCTTTTTGAGTTAATACTCGTTTACTTGCAGCGTTGATTTGAAAAGCAAACACGTCACTAGATTGAAAGTTGAATAGAGGTACGAACTTGGTGAGCTATGTTGTGAATCACGAGGACAGATCGTGTGAATTGCATTAACCCGTTGTCACGGTAGTATGCTTTCAGATAAACTGGAAGCAGAGCTGTATGCCAATCATTTGCAATGAATGCCAAGTTTCCATCTCCATAGCATACACCACCGCAGGGAACATACCAAGGAACCTGACACCAGAACAGATAACTTTCTTCACACTCAAATGAAAAATGGACCAAATAGAGCTTGTATCAGCCCCGATAACGTAACTAATTAGTCCTTAAACATACAGATTCTCTGATTTTATGTGATATAATCAATAGAACACAGACAGTTAAAAGCGCTGAAGCAAGATCTACAGGGAACGGCACAAGGACACAGCAAGAATAAGCATTACAGGAAGATACTTGACAGTTATGGAAATGTACCTCCACAGCTGCTTTGCAAAATAACACCATGCGCTTCAGAATATCCTGCAGGATGAATAAAGGACCAGTAAGACTCCAACTTCATGGTGATGGCAAAGAACAAAGTAAAGCAAAAGGAGACCATATCAAACTTACCATTCGGTTTCCTCCATATATATTGTTCCCAAAGTGGCGAAACCATGGGCAGTCTATGAAGACAAAGTCCACACCATCAATATAGGCTTGGAAGTAGGTAACCTCTATATCCTGAAATTAAATATTACAGACCGTATTTATGCCATGCGAAGAGTATGAGAGCATAAGTTTTATTCAAAGGCTGCAATGTGAACACACCTGACCATCCACCTTATAAATCTTTCTGACTCCAGAATGTTGGGCCTCAGCATATTCACCATATCGAGGTGCAACAACCTAAACGACAACATAACTTCTGTTACAAACAGATATAAGAAGGAGAAACTTTGTGGTCTCGTCATGGGGAGTCAAACATTTTTTATTATCTGATTACTCATATAATACACCGTTGAAAGCAATAACTATTACTCTCTTTTACCAAACACCTTACATGTTGAATATTAGCAGGATTGGTTCAGCTAATCCGGAACCTATGACAATTTAGATTAAAAGATCAGAAAATGTTACATTACCATAACCCTATGTCCACGTCGGGCTAAAGCCTTTGGTAATGAACCAGCAACATCCCCAAGCCCACCTGCAAGAACCAACAATCCTTCAGTGTGTGACTAAGAAAAGGGTGCATCCCCAGCCAAAATCCGAATGTAAACACAGGGGATTTGAAGAAACCTGTTTTAGACCACGGAGCACATTCTGCAGAAACCAAAATGACGTTCATGACATTAGCCCCAGCCAAAGGGGGCGGCTTTGAATCTTCCACATTTGAAACACCTTCAACATCATTGGACACTCTGGATCCATTGATATCCACAGGCTCCACAGTGGGTGCATTTGATCGGACTGATATGGGCTCCTCTAACTGAGCTATTGTATCATTCACACTGGAATTTCCTTCAAGATGATTGATCACTCGAAAAGTTGATTCATTGACAGCTTCATGCTTCACACTGTCAATAATAGAAACTTGGGGCGTATTTGCAAAAACTGATGTTTGCTCATCCAGCTGCACTGACCTTGGCAGTATTTCTTGACTTCTACTCCATCTTTGACGATAACTCCCGCTTGTATAAGCATTCCCAGTTTCTGGTTCACCATCCTCATAGCTGCTAAAAACATTCTGTGGCTCAGTAAACCCCCCAGCATCTGCTGAAGCAGGTTCCGCATTAGTCAAAGATTCCTCATCTTGCTTATACGAAGATTCACCGGCAGATTCTGAGTTCATAAAGCTTTCTTTAAAAGAAGACACCATTTTCCTTCTTTCATCGATCTGCGAAGTCATATCTAAATTCGTCACATGAACTACCCACACTGATTATGCCAATGCGAAAAGAAAATAGGTCTCAACACAAATGTGCAATCGATCAAAATGGCAAGGTAAACCTAAGAGAAAACTAAACAAGTGCAATCTGACAAAATTACCTTCTGAAGTAAGTTCCTCTGCGCAGCAAGAACCTTCTTGCTCTTCTCAATCGTGGCCTGAAGCGCATCCACATGTGACTGATCACCATCCGTCTCACTCTCTTTCCCAATAGCTCTGATACTCCTAAACCTAGGCGGGAACCCATCACCATAAATTCCAAGGCTGATGGACGATTTCCTATTCGGCCTACAGCAGAGGAAGTGAAACATGGTGCGGCCGCTCTGGTTGTTCCTGGAGTTGAAAAGAACAGAGCTATCTGCCATGACTTCAATGCGAGGCGAGAATGACCCAGCACCAGACGCCATTGAGAAAACCCACCAAGATAACTAATCCCCTTAATGCAAAGACCGAAATTTGGAAGCAAAAACCCACAGTAAAGTAGAAAATTGGGATCTTGATTGAAGAAGAAGCAGAGAAATTTTATGACGACAATGATTGGGATAGGATCATCATGATATAAGAAGCAGGAGGGTACAAGAGAGGGTCCCAGAGCAAGTTTGGGAAAAAGCCATGGAGAAGGAGGGGATGAAGAAAATGAATTTGCGGTTCAAGTTCGCGGAGAAACAGGGAGAAGCCGTAATTTGTGAGCAGAAAGTGAACTGAAGAGTGAAAGAAAGAGAAATTGGATTTTCTGTTTTAATTTTTTATTTTTATTTTGCGGATTTAGATAATAAATTTTGCGGTGCGGAAGCATAGAAAGAGAAATTACTGGGCCCAATATCCATGGTGGCCCAAAATTCTTTTAACTTGCTGGAAAAGCCTATCTGTTCTCTGCCATCTGGAAATTGGAAATTCCATTCAAATTTTGTTTTTTTTTTTTCAATTTATGCAGAGATATGACAATAGAATGTTAGAAAAAAAGCCTACCCGGGGAATTCAATTCAAATTTTGTTTCCGCAGTCATTTCCCACGTATTGAAACGTGGTAGTTGTGTGATACACATTTGTGAATGAAAACGTGCAAAGAGCCAAAGATGTCTATGGACGGTGGAAGCCTCTTCCGAAATAAGCAGCCCCTAATTATCTGGGCCTTTAGGCCCACCACCATTGCTTGATCTTGGCAATGGTGAATAGGCATGATCCATTAAACCGTACCGTATCGGCGGTTCAACCACAAAATACCAGTATCGGAGGCTAAATCGATAGGCGCTATTTAAAGGTACTAACTTTTGAACTACGGTTAAACCACGGTTTTGCCATAAAATACCCTACCGCTTATTTTTCGGGTACGGTTTCATGGACCATGTGAATAGGGCACTTCAATGTTGAATGAAGAGGTACAAAATGGATGAAGGCTGGTACTTGGTTAACAAGTTACTGTGATAGGCAAATGCGTGTTCAAGTTGTCCTGTGGAATTTGGGATAAAGGTAAATTTGGAGGACGACTAGTTTAGCTCGTCAAATTCGTTAATATATTGTATATTTTTTATCAAAACAGGTTAAATAGGAGATTGAGGTATTTGAATAAACATATATTTATATAGATCGAAATATTCCACATATTATTAGCAATGATTTAGATATTTGCTTCCTCGGAACATTGTCATACTAATTACTATTTGACTTTTAAGAGATTCGGAATTCTTATCTTCTATCAATACATTAGGCTGGGTGTGGCTTCCAACTACTAAGCATGAACCCTAATTCAACAATACATGTTATTGAACTAGGCTTTAAGTACAATTACAAATCACCTGAAAACCTATCCAAATTCAGGGAGGAAACAATAAGAGTGCATCATCTCTCGGACAATGCCTTACAATTTTACCATCCCGACATTCGATTCTGTCCAGCTTCTCCTGGCACCATTTCAGCTGGCAAGTGGTGATCACAGACAATCGGAGCACTCTTGATATGAGCTTCATGTCTATCAATGTGAACAAAATCTCTTTCCTTTCACTCTCTTCTTCCACATGGCTCTCCATTTTCCTGAGCCAACATCTTCGCTTCCCTTGTAAATCTCTCAACCACATTTCCTTCTACAATGTCAAAAATATAAATGGCATTGTTGATCAAATGGTTGGAAAATAAGGATGGATAGAAACTTGTGTAAAACAGTCTGATTCTCAAATAATAAATCACCTTTCGAAATTGTCTGGTGAGATCGTATAGCAATGTTATATCTCTTAGATCTTCTAAACAACTAGTCGAAATAAGAGAGCTCATTGGTTTCCACCAAGGTTTCTTCTTTATCGTGTCTGTCGTGATGAATGCCCAGAATGTATTGATACACTTTTCTAAGATGTTGAAGGCATCTTTCACTTGCAATGTTCCTTCTCCTCTTCCTTCCCTATCAACGGTCACTATGTGTAGGGAAAATGTATAAAATAACAAAACATAAGCACTGTAATGTCATGTTGCATTTTTTCAAGACGGGCACACATTTTTTGGTGGCAACCTACATGCCTAGCCTAGGGAATAGCTAACAAACACAATGGACCATGTAAAATCGAGTCTAATTAATTAAGCTCAATTGGTTCAGCTGCCTCAAATGAAATATCACAAGATGCATATGTCGATACAAGACATCGAACACCAAACAAACGATATATCCTATATCAAATCAAACATGACATCATTACAGTCTACGATCATTCCCTTGTTTGCAATAGCCTCACGGAGCATTTGTTGAACGGAAAATTCATAAATTGTGTCGAAAATTCTTAGTACCTGAAAGGTGAGGGACTTGAAGAAGGCTGTCAAGGGAAAATCTTGCTCTAACATAGTTCCAAACTCGTTTTCCATGGCACCTTTCATCTTCCATGAACCTCTCCAAAAGCACCTCAAAGTTTTGAAATTGTTGCCCAATGTTATGGCCATCACATAAAACACTAGTACTACTACTACTAGTGTTTTCTTGGGAAGCAAGGGCCTCAAGTTTCTTGTATTGGTGATGGAGGGCCTCCCATGAGAGGCATGATTGAGCAACATAAACCAGCTCAAAATCATTCTCCATGCTTTGCATTAGCCTCTTCTTCTCTAATTTACTCAATGCCAATGGCGAGACAAAATTGAAAGGAGATGAGGGGAAATCTTCAGGTAGCTGAAGCTTTTCAAATGGACTTTTATTGCATAACTCCACTTGCTGGTTTAGGACGGCACCTGCAATTAGTTACCAAGGAATGACAAAATAATCAATTAGCCTCATAAATTGGACCTTTTTGTTGAAACCCACAAGATGTAATAGCTAGCCACTTACTCACTCCAGAAGTTCTGTCTTGGTTCAGAACGTCAAACCACCTCATCCTTTCAAGGTACATCTGGTAGAATGCTGCATCTACAGACACTTCTTGTTCCTCTTCTTCTTCTTGTTGCCGGTTAAGTTCCCCTGCTAACAGAGTACTTGAATAAATACAATCAGTTGATTGCCGCCCTTCTACTAAGTCACCGTCATCATCATCATCCTCTGCCTGCGACGGCGAATCAATAAAGCCACCAACAACCATTGATGATGCTGCTGATGAATCAATAAAGCCACCACCACCACCAACATGATCCTCGTCGCTTCCACTTTCAACATCCTCCTCAGAACCAGCTCGAATGGGTTGGTTTAGCAATAATGGTTGAACCCAAAAATCCAACTGCTTCAGGTTGCAACTATCTGTGCTAACGACCTCGGAGACGGACTTCTCTGTACAATAACAGTAGCTATTATTTACAACTCCAACAGGAGTACTGCTGCTGCTGCTGCTGCTTCCAACTTGTTCTGATTCCGTGTTCGAGACTATGGTTATTACCAGATTGTGGAGAAATCTGGTGGCCTGGGAAATTATGTTAAGAGGGTAAGATAAGAGAGATGTGAGGCATTTTAGGAGAAGTTTGAGCCACAGGAAAATCTGGCAAAATACGAGAAAAACAGGGTGGATGTAGAAGCTGAGAAAAAACCACTTCAGAAACCCATCTGGGATCACCCTCGATTCAACTATCAGCCAACAAACGGCTAAGATAGCCATTGTTAATAATAATATGACCGCCGGCCAACCTAATTCAGTTTTCTGTTGGCTAACTAGCTCACTAGTTTAGTGAGACTTGGCGTCTGGCTTTATATAATTGATCTTCAGCTAACTACAGTCTACAGATGGGGGGCAAAAAAAATATGGATATTTTCTTGTCTTGTTCCCTCCATTATTCTAATGCTTGAACTTCGTGGGGGAAAAAAAAGGATACATTTGAATATCGCCTGGAAATGATAAGGTAATGAAGATCGGAGAGGAAACAACAAAGGAGCAGCCAGGAAACATATGATATACCAAAGGTGTCAATCAAACCCTTAGTAGTTGTTGGAAAATGCAGACCAATGAACTCTGCACTTTCTTCGCAAGCCTCTTTGAGCTTTTCCAATAATTTATGGAGCAAGGGAGAGTAGACTTGCCGAGCATTAGGGTCAACTACGTTACTCTTTCATTTGTTAAGTGTGTTTTGGTCAGCATCTTTCTTCATTTGCTTACTCGGATCTTATCTCCAACTTCCAACTCCTATAAATTTAATCCAACTTGTCCATATGTTTTCCATTTTCGGCTTAGAGTATTTCTCCAAATTACAGGGAAAAAGGAAAACACCTACAGGTAATATACACGTTGTCTTTCGGCTATTTGGTTTTTATTATTATTTCGAATTGGTCTATTCGTAGCATTATGTCACTTGATTGGGTGTGTGATTCGAGATTAAAACGTTGAAAGATAATTGTTTCTAATATGAGAACTTAGGAGTGAAAGAAAAGGGTTTGTGTTCTTATATAAACTACACCTTGTGTTTTAGAATTAGGCCGTATGGGAAAAAGGATGATTTGAATTTGAACCCTGAATCTTCAAATAAAGGAAGACGGATCAAATACTAATAAATACAAGTAATCTACAGAAAAAACAAAAACAAAATACAGAGTCATTTGTAGGGAAAAAGAATACCAGTGATTGATATGACTCTAAAGTGAAGCATATGGGGGAAAAAAAAACAGATCATCCATATTATCCCGCTTAATTCATAGCACTTAGCAGTGAGCAGCAATTTTAGCTTCTTGTGAAGGTCTTAAACAATACAAATATGGTATGTAATGTGTTTACATTTTTTTTTATGGTACACTTTTGATTTTGGGTACATTATAATCATTTGGATAATTTGATTTATCTCCTAAAGATATCAATGTAAGTTAAGACGAATATCATTGACGATTTGTTTGTAATTTACATATTCCTAAAACATATTTAATGGAAATTCAAAACTTTATCTGAAGATGAATTTACAATAAATTTATACATATCATTTTTAATTTTCAGGCCATATCATCATATTAAATAAATGTTGACAATTAACATTCACCGATTGTAAATATCAACAACATACTATGGACGTACTCTCGTTTAATAATCGATTGTGGAAATTGTAATATCAATGTCAAGTTGTTCATCCACAATATTAAATTGAACTTTTATCATAATTACAAACCTAAATTGAAATTTATGATGAATTTGTTAAATCTAAAGATATGTGGATGAATAGTAAAGTATTTATTTATTATTTTATTTTAGTTCAAAGATGAATTATGACTAATTATGTTAAGAAATTAGGAGATGCTAAACTTTGACCCTATTCATGCATAAAGGGCCCAAACGAGTAATGGAGAAGAGAAAATTGAAGCAAATCGGAAAGCTTTTGTATGTTAAGAAATTAGGAGAAGAATTCATGACTTTTCCATATCATCGGCGAGCCTGAAAACAGCTGATCTGCATTAACTTTCAGTGGGGACATGCAAAAGCTAAACTAAAGTCGAGACTTTCAAATCCAACCCCAAAAAACCTACAAAACTCCAGCTCCAAACACTGCATTCTCTCTCTCCCCACCTCTGGCTCACAAGCCTCACAAAGCAAGAATCTTTTCATCATCATCGGCTGTAAACTTGAGAATTTACATACAGTTTTTACCTTTGGAAATCTTTCTCCTTGTTAGATCTTTGCGCGTCATGGTTTCTTCCCCTCCCTCCAGTTATAACAGCTGGTGCAATATCTGCACCAGAGAGGTGTACGTCCCAAACACAACAATGATGACACCTAACACCACTATCCCCCAGAGAAGCACCGTTTCGAGCGAAAACCTCTTGTAGCTGCCGGAGATCTTCAAGTAACATCCACAGGGAAGTATGATGGACGCAGTGACGCTCAAGAACGCTCCGACCAGCGACATGAGTTCACCGAAGAAAGGCAGTGCTAGAGCTACGATTACTGTGCTGATGACGAATGCAGTGCTGATGAACATGCTGAATGGCCTCTTGTTGCAGTAGGCACGGAACCTCTTTTTGGCTACGTTCACAATGGGGGTGACCATGAGAGCGTACTTGGCAACTGGGTTGACCAAAGTAGTGTAGATTGCTAGCTTCGCGCTGAACTTGTTCGTTGGAAGGTCTAATGTTATCTGGGATTGGACATGCGGCCCAAACATCATGTACCCGAGAACAGCCATCGACGCGTAGCAGAATGTGCAGAGGATGAAACACAATAGTAGGACCTGCATTGTGATGACAAACAGTCAGATTGAATAATAAGATCATTGGATTTTATCCATATTCAACATATGTTGTGGCCATTAGATATTTGATCATCAACCTGGAGTAAAATCGTTAAAAGGCATGGATTTGACCGAGTTCACTGATTCTTCCACTACTAAAAACATTAAGATTCTATCTATAGCAGACATATGAACAGACTAGATTTGGTAAAGTAAACTCGTAAAAACATAAGCTTTTTAGGAGTTCACACAAGACTGTGACCTGCTGCGAGTACCCAAAGTGTTTCCAATAGCTAAAAGTCATTCACGAAGGGAATGGTTTCTTACATTGGAGAACTGTTGCTTATTCTTCATCGATGTGTAGAGAGTTGGGAAGACGGGATGCGCACAATAACAGAAGGCATACAAGCTAACCGCAGTTGGGATTCCACCCAAGTTCAATGGCGTACCAGTATGACGAAACCCAACTCCCTCGAACGCTCCTGTCCAGAAAATCGAAGCAAGGATGATGGCAGACGCCAAAACTCCACTCGCAGAGACGTAGGAGAGCAAGCTCAAGTTGTCGAGCCAAACTGAAGGCAAAATGATGAGTGCAACAAGTATGACGAAGCTTTGCCTGCCCCCTAGGTGGAACCCTCCAATTTCTATTGCCATGTCTGGAAACAAGTTCACCAAGTTATCCCCTTCGAGTATCAGGAATCCTGTTGCAACCAAGTATAGCTCTACATTCATGAAGACCGATACCACGAGCCTTCCTTTTCTGCCAAATGCACGGTCTCCTATGTCGGGATAAGTTCTGATGCTGGAATCTTCCTCCATGCACCTTTTGATTAGCAAACCTGCGTAGAAGGTTGCGCCGGCGATTACCATTAGGAAGATCAAGCTCAACCATCCTCCTGATGCTAGAGCGTATGGGGTCGAAAGTATCCCAACACCTGAAAAACGATAAACAACGAAGCAGCAATATTAGCAGCCGTGCTTCCACAGAAAAAGGAAGGATCTTGAAACATGTTTATCCATGCTTCGCCAAAGTATTCACAGTTTAACCTGACAAGGCATTTAAACCATGGAAAATGGTCTTGAAGGTGGAAGTTTTGCCTTCGTTACGAAAACTATAACTGGATTCTAAATCATCATCAAGTTTGCACGCATCCCTGTGCTGCTCTTGATCAATTAGCAGAGGCACATCCAGTGAAGAGCCGCTGTGAGGAAAACCGTCCATTCTTGCAGTGAAGAGATAAGAGACAGAAAGAATGGAACTTTCAAAAGGAAGAGGTTTCGACTTAAACGAGAACTAATACCGGGTAAGGCTTTATAGAGGCTGCTAAAGGTGGCTGGGGAAAACATGTTAAAGATGAAGTAACCAAAACACATGCTTAGTCCTCTTTGGAACCACCAAATTTATGGCGGTGTAGACAAATGGGAAAGCAACAAAAGCAGGGCAATCGACTCGACAAGAGACCACCGTACCACACCATCCGCACTAACTTTGACAGACGTTAAACTGAAAACATAAATCACATGTGTATTAGGACCCAAGTTGAAGCAAACTCGCTAATTTTCCCATACTTTGCAAGACAACTCACACTATAAAGACCCTTAATCGCGTTTTGACAGTACAAATCGCTCCCCAGGACTGGCTTACCGGAACTTGGACAAAGCCCCTTCCTTTGCTGTGGGACACATCCACTAAAAGGAAAGGACCATCCTCCCACTTGCTAACCACGACAACCCCTTATCTTCCAGCCAATTCATCCCTCTGGAAACTGGCAAGTCAGTGAACCACTCTTAACATGACCATAGGAAACATGGCTGGTAGCGCTTGGAGACTATTCATAATACCCATATTCCATATGCCAAGAATTATCAAAATTATGCGCAAAGTTCAGAACTTTGTAGCAGAAATGCAGAATATTGGAAGGCAAGCAATTATTATGTCGACATCAGAGCATATAATTCAATGCCCTCCTCATACCTACTCTGGACCTTAGTGGTCTTAAATAGGATGTACTCCAAATTTTACGGCTACCTTATAATTACTAATCATGAAGAAGATGGGGCCTTCTGACCAGGAATGAGAGGCTGCATCGTCACACCATAATCAATATAGCAAGTTCTTTCTATTTACAAGAAGTTAAAATTTCAAAAAGGAGAAAGGCCTGCTGGCTGCTGCAGCAGCTTACATGCTTGTTTGTCTTACCCACCGAGAGAGATGTGGTTCCCAGATTTTGACAGGTTAACTTCTACAGTCCGCTAAAGTTTCTGTGGACCATCCCATTAGGAAATCTGAATCCCCATCACTTAATTAATTTAGTACCTATGTTCTCCATGTTAAGCATGATTTTAATCTCGAGATTAAAAATAGGTAGCTGCTCCAATCATTGATCATATCGACTATAATCAAAGCACAAAATCATCCTGGCTACATCAATGGGATGAAAAGTTGAACAAGGCAAGCCTTAGCTAGATGAACTGAACAGAGAAAGACAAACAATCAGCTTGTTGGCAAATTGTATGAGAATGTGGAAGTAAGCATCACGATGTATGAACATCAGAATTTCAGAAAGATACATGTTAAGATATGCATGAAAAAGATATATACTGCCAAGTCATCATTGTTATTCTTCATGTTTCATCATTGTTCTTGGAAGGATCACAAACTCTTGACAATAATCTTCTAATCCAAACTGTGTACGTAACCTTGAAGTGGAATTGAGATAAGGTGGCAGAGAAATGTTTAGTGGGTTGGTGAATCACTAGTCAAACGTCCATCTTTCTATAACCAAAAAATTATACAGGTTTGGCAGGCGACTTTGTTCTGACATTCAAAGGGTGCATTTATCCTCCTCTAGCTAGGGAGAAACACATCTAATAGAGAAACAACAAAACAACATAACTCTCTACTAGCATATTTGCTACTCAAAACAAGTAAACAGAGAGGTCAGAATCCAATGTTTCAATGACACGTTCATTCAAATTCATGTGATGTCATGATTACTGTACAGGGAGCTTAGCTCAGGATATGTAAGCGTTACCCATCAATTAAGAGTAGAAATAAAAACAATAAAGAATTCTTCAATGAAGTTGATGACTCATCATCAAGAACTAGAGGGCTCCCCTGTTTCCAGGGGAAAAGAGGTGCATATATCCCTGTCTTGTTCTGTTCTGTTTGACGTCAATCTAAAACAGGGAGGTGGTGTAAGTGTACAACGACAGCTAATATTTTTCCATTCATTCTCTAGCTAAAGCACCGCCAGAAATGTGAACCGATTCTGAAACAAACAGTCTCTCTTTGGATTCATACGAAACAGAATATAATCTACAAACAAACAATCGCTTCACGAGAAGCTCGCTTGATTACAGGAACAATGAAGCAAAAGAAAAGAATAAACAATTAATATTATTTCAGTGGGTGCATTAGGTCATAGCGGCCGCAGCAAATAGACAAAAGGAGTAAACAAAGAGCGATACCCTTTTTCCCTCTTTTGGGTTGGCGGAATGCAGAACACAGAGAAATCACAATGGAAGGCTGAGATTAATAACCTGACAACGCGTTGAGGCCATTGAAGCAGGTGTTGAAGAATGTGGTGGTGCCCTCGCCGCCGCCATCAGTGGCGGAGTAGTGGTGGTGGTGGAGTAGTATTTGGTGGTGGTGGAGATTGGCGTTGCTGTAACCCTTGGCGTCGAAATGCTTGGGCTTCTTATCAGTGTCGTTTTCGGAGGAGAGAATTAGAGGGATTGTAAGCGACGACGGTGGACTGTCTCGATGCCCTGCGGCGCCCTCCATTGCCCGGCCGTACCTATTCTCTGACGGCGAAGAAAAAGAACAAACGGAGGGAGAGAGCGAGGGAGTGGGATCTTCTCTTCTCTACTCTTTTTGTCCTTCAATGGCGGTCTTGAAACAATACATTGGCATTATTATCCCCTTCTCGTATCCCGCAACGTTCCCGGCTCCAAAAAATTGCCACAGCTGAGCTCCACATGTCAAATCTCCTATATCGCCATGGCCATAAATTACTTACCTGTTCAGCTGTTCTCGATAGGGAGCTAGAGCGGAGCCGAGGTTGTCAAACCGGTTTATATCGTTGTGTCGGTTTGACAAATAGAATGGTACAACTAGTGGTATGACTAGTTTGTGCCGGTTCATGCCGGTTTAAAAAAAATGTGAAAACAATTCATATCCAATGTATTTAATTATATATAAAACATATTTGTGGACAATTTAGTTACATTCCAATAAATATCATCAACTTTTAACTATTACATTCATAAAATGAATAATTAATTAATTTTTTTATTCATTAAATTCATTAAAATGATGTCATTTGACTTAGAATGCGTAAGTTGATCATACCGGTCATACCGGTGGTGTCATGTCGGTTTCATGACAGGTACAGGTTGAACCAGATTCAATCGGGTGGCATGCCACCGACATGACAATTTTTTATAAAGTAAATTCAAAAGTATGTAAGGAATAATTAAGGGTGAATTGCAAGTTTGGTCCCTTGTATGTTACACGATTGTCACTCAAATTATTTTCGCTTCAATTTATTCATTAACACTACACATTTATATTATTTATGGTCACTCGTCGTCTAATTTCGTTAAATTTATCATACCTAGCAGTCATCAGTTATTCTTTAATGTTAAAATGGCAACATAACAATTAAAAAATAATTATTTTTATTTCCACATCATACTAAAATTTAATAAATGTTTTCTTTCATAAAATTTTTAATAAAAATTATTTTCATGGAAAAAGCCCACTAAGTGTTTGCTTGTTCTTTGATTTGATTTTTGGGTGCTGTTATTTGTTTGATGATTCTTATTCATTATTCTTTTGTTTCCTGCAAGTAACATTCAAATCTCTTTGATGCTTATCTGCAACTCAATCGATTAGGAGCAAGTACTTGCTGTGTGATGGGTAATTCTCGCCAGTCAAGGTCGAGTGAGCTTTTTCTGGTCAACTGGAAATGCAGTATTTGCTCTGTTACTATGAGCGGCTGTGATTTCGTGAAGCACATGAGTGCTCATTACTTGTCCTACACTAAGGTATATATTGTTTAAATATAAGTTTTGTCTTGTTATGATTGTGATCACTCTTGTATAATACTTGGGATTGCCATTTCTGTATCAGCTTATGTATAGTTTATATATGAGTTTTCTTTTGTTATGACGGATTATACCATTTTCTACTCATGATTTAGTTGTATTTTTTAATTGGGAGGTGGAGTATTTCGTTCTATATGTTCTAGGTTTGTGATAGTAGTTCTCTCTATCTTCTCAGGTGATTGGTCATTCTGCTGTGAAGAAACCTAGGAAGGTACTGTTTGGGATACCTTCCTTCCCCCCCCCCCCCCCCCCCCCCCCCCCGTTTCATCTATGTGATCAAACAAGCATGTTGTGATCTTCTATTTCTTAGCGATTTTTGTGTCTTATTTTTCATATTCCTTCTCTTGTAGGGCATAACCAAGGATAATGCTGAGGAGAAGGAGTTCGTGACTGCACCCGTCAAGTCCAAAAGTTGATTCTCTCTGTCTTCTCAGGGCAATCCTAATTCAGGAGTTTTAGTGTCGATTGGATTTTCTGCTGTGAAGAAACATACGAAGAAACTTACGAAGGTAATGTTTGTGATACATTTTCCCCCCTTTTGTTTCGTCTTTGTGATCAAACAAGCGTGTTGTGATCTTCTATTTCTTGGTGATTTTTGTGTCTTATTTTTCATATTCCTTCTCTTGTAGGGCATACCCAAGGGCAATGCTGGGGTGGGGAAGACTGCACCGGTCAAGCCCGAGGAATTGTTCAATCCTTTGGCATGAGGAGGCTTTGAAGTAGTCATTTTTGTTGTTGTCCTTTGAAACGGATAATAGGCAACAATGAACAATGTGTTTTTGTTTGCAGTTTTGCTCATAATTTGACTGATGGGACGTATATGTTGATGAGTATGGGAAACCTAAAGTCCGTATACTCTTAAGCGTTTTCATATCCGTATTCAAATAACATCAACTTCGTACTTTTTTTAATTGTTTCCCCCTTGTTGTCTAGATTTCATTTTGTTATTTTTTATAAATTAAATTCAAAAGTATATAAGGAATGATTAAGGGTGAATTGCAAGTTTGGTCCCTTGTATGTTACACGATTGTCACTCAAATTATTTTCGCTTCAATTTATTCATTAACACTATCATTTATTGTCACTCGTCGTCTAATTTCGTTAATTTTATCATGCCTAGCAGTCACCAGTTATTCTTTAATGTTAAAATGGTAACATAACAATTAAAAAATAATTATTTTTATTTCCACATCATACTAAAATTTAATAAATGTTATCTTTCATAAATTTTTAATAAAAAATTATTTTCATGGAAAAAGCCCACTAAGTGTTTGCTTGTTCTTTGATTTGATTTTTGGGTGATGTTATTTGTTTGATGATTCTTATTCATTATTCTTTTGTTTCGTGCAAGTAACTTTCAAATCTCTTTGATGCTTATCTGCAACTCAATCGATTAGGAGCAAGTACTTGCTGTGTGATGGGTAATTCTCGCCAGTCAAGGTCGAGTGAGCTTTTTCTGGTCAACTGGAAATGAAGCATCTGCTCTGTTACTATGAGCCGCTGTGATTTCGTGAAGCACATGAGTGCTCATTACTTGTCCTACACTAAGGTATATGTTGTTTAAATATAAGTTTTGTCTTGTTATGATTGTGATCACTCATTCACTCTTGTATAATACTTGGGATTGCCATTTCTGTATCAGCTCATGTATAGTTTATATATGGGTTTTCTTCTGTTATGACTGATCATACCATCTTCTGCTCATGATTTAGCTGTATTTTTTAACTGGAAGGTGGGGTATTTCGTTCTATATGTTCTAGGTTTGTGATAGTAGTTCTCTCTGTCTTCTCAGGTGATTGGTCATTCTGCTGTGAAGAAACCTACGAAGGTACTGTTTGGGATACCTTCCCCCCCCCCCCCCCCCTTCTGTTTCATCTATGTGATCAAACAGGCATGCTGTGATCTTCTATTTCTTAGCGATTTTTGTGTCTTATTTTTCATATTCCTTCTCTTGTAGGGCATAACCAAGGACAATGCTGAGGAGAAGGAGTTGTGACTGCACCCGTCAAGTCCAAAAGCTGGTTCTCTCTGTCTTCTCAGGGCAATCCTAATTCAGGAGTTTCAGTGTCGATTGGACTTTCTGCTGTGAAGAAACGTACGAAGAAAACTTACTAAGGTGTTGTTTGTGATACCTTCCCCCCCCCCCCCCCCTTTTGTTTCGTCTTTGTGATCAAACAAGCATGTTGTGATCTTCTATTTCTTGGTGATTTTTTTGTCTTATTTTTCATATTCCTTCTCTTGTAGGGCATACCCAAGGGCAATGCTGGGGTGGGGAAGACTGCACCGGTCAAGCCCGAGGAATTGTTCAATCCTTTGGCATGAGGAGGCTTTGAAGTAGTCATTTCTGTTGTTGTCTTTTGAGACGGATAATAGGCAACAATGAACAATGTGTTTCTGTTTGCAGTTTTGCTCATAATTTGACTGATGGGACGTATATGTTGATGAGTATGGAAAACCTAAAGTCCATATACTCTTAAGCTTTTTCATATCCGGATTGAAATAACATCAACTTCGTACTTTTTTTAATTGTTTCCCCCTTGTTGTCTAGATTTCATTTTGTTATTTTTTATAAATTAAATTCAAAAGTATATAAGGAATAATTAAGGGTGAATTGCAAGTTTGGTCCCTTGTAT